ATTTGGCATGGGTCCTCAGATCCTCAAAAAATTATACAGCTGCACCATCGAGAGCATCCTGACTGGTTGCATCACCGCCTGGTATGGCAACTGCTTGGCCTCCGACCGCAAGGCACTACAGAGGGTAGTGCGTACGGCCCAGTACATCACTGGGGCCAAGCTTCCTGCCATCCAGGACCTCTATACCAGGCGGTGTCAGAAGAAGGCCCTCAAAATTGTCAAAGACTCCAGCCACCCTAGTCATAGACTGTTCTCTCTGCTACCGCACGGCAAGCGGTACCGGAGTGCCAAGTCTAGGTCCAAAAGACTTCTCAACAGCTTCTACCCCCAAGCCATAAGACTCCTGAACAGCTAATCATGGCTACCCGAACTATTTGCACTGCCCCCCCACCCCATCCTTTTACGCTGCTGCTACTCTGTTCATTATTTATGCATAGTCACTTTAACTCTACCCACATGTGCATATTACTTCAACTACCTCAACTAGCCGGTGCCCCCGCAAATTGACTCTGCACCGGTACCCCCCTGTATATATATAGCCTCCCTACTGTTATTTTATTTTACTTCTGCTCTTTTTTCTCAACACTTTTTTTGTTGTTGTTTTATTTTTACTTTTTTGTTAAAAATAAATGCACTGTTGGTTAAGGGCTGTAAGTAAGCATTTCACTGTAATGTCTGCACCTGTTGTATTCGGCGCATGTGGCCAATAAAATTTGATTTGATTTGATTTGATTTACAGGTTAAATAGGCAGACAAACTAACATAATGGGGAACAGGTGCGCAACAACAGACAACAATCAAGTGAACATAGAAACATCTAACATAGAGCGGCAGCAGCTAGTACTCCGGTGACGACGAACGCCGAAGCCTGCCCGAGCCAGAAGGAAGGGCAGTCTCGGCAGAATCCGTGACAGGAAAACTATGGAGGGATTGGGGAAAATGAACCACAGCTAACCAAATGACTGTAAATCACACATCTCTTGTTTTTAAGTTAATGTTAATAATGTGTGTCTGAAGGCCTGTATTTGGGGCCAAGTTTGGTAGTACAAGTACATATTCCTTACCATATCCAGCTGTGCTGCTACATGTATTGTCATTCATCATTAGGGGACAAAAACTGTGATCAACCAGATATTCACAAAATGCATGGGGCTTTGAGACTACATTCCAATTCTAATTCCTAATGCCACCAGGGTCAGTATGTGTCACATTTGTATTTGTATTTGTATTTATTATGTATCCCCATTAGCTGCTGCCAAGGCAGCAGCTACTCTTCCTGGGGTCGAGCAAAATTAAGGCAGTTATAAAATAGTTAAAACATTACAATACATTCACAACAGATTTCACAACATATTGATTCAATCCTCCATGGGGGGCACATTCTTCCTAGTCTGCAGCAGGCAGAGTCCCTGGCTGTCAAGGCCTGAAGGAGAGGCTTTTCTATGGGAACAGAGGCTTCGTTAGCCCTGGAGACCTGGGCAACGTTCAAAATGGCACCTTATTCCATTTATAGTGCACTACTTTTGACAGGATGCCATTTGGAATGCAACTACTAGCCTCTCAAAAAGACCCACAGCCCGACGTTCTCAGGACCTGGACCATTCCACAGGGCGAAGGGAAGGGCTCAACATCCAAACAGTCCCAACAAGAAGCGTCTTGACCGGGTGACTATGGGCCATTAGGGCAGGCTGGCTGCAGTATGACCTCATATCCCTGCTATGAGCCGTCTGGGTCCTGGGGGCATTTGGCACTGGTCCATGGCAGCAAGGCAATCCATTCTGACCAGCTTCATTCTCTTTAGTTTCCACACATCCAGAAAATGCCTCAATTGCTGATACAGTCGTAGCTAACATGCGTCATTAGTGGCTATGGTAATGGTTAACCTGTAAGGGTCACTGATCATGACTCTGGATTTAGGTTACAGTGTAACCCTTCATATTCTGTCATTGTACTGTGAGCCTGGTACAGCAGTAAAGGTGTTAAAACACGAATAGGAGAAAAGGCAAAAGGTCCTGTTGGCTCTGTCCACTGTTGGTGTTATAAAGACATTTCAGTTCCTTCTGGATAAAGACACAGGAAACGGACACAAGGTCAACCCCAAATCTCTGCCAACTACACTGTGCAAGCTGCCAGTGGTGTCTGTTTTTTTGTAATTGTTTCAGTCAGAAGCAGGTTTAGGTCAGTGAAATAATGACCATGATGATCATGAGGAAAACAGAGGGGACTTAGCTGCAGTACTTTGTTTCCATATGTTGACTTGATTCCGTGCCTCTGGTCAACATATGTGTTGACAAAGAAAGCATTGTTGGTCTAAATTCCCCTCATGCATTTTATTGTGTTAAAACATTGATTATTTTAAGGGCTGTCATTGCACCTGATAAATGCTACCTTGTGAATGCTCTGTTTTTACGGCTGACTGTCCACCAGCAGTGGGTTTTCTCACATGTTCATGGGTTTGAAATAAGCCAGAACCCAACGCAAGACATGATATCACTGATAGAATATCAACACATGCTTGGCTGTAGACTGGGTATGCCAGTATAGGCGATATGACTACCAAATATGAGCATTTTTAATCTATCACTGTCATGTCTTATTTCTGCACGGTATCTGTCATACAACCAGGCCGTAACATTGAAAGGGTCCTAACTATCTGAATAACAACCAGGCCGTCATTGTAAATAAGAATTTGTTCTTAACTGGCTCGCCTGGTTAAATACAAGTTAAATAAACAGTTCTTCACTAAATCTCTCCTTTTGTCCCTCTCAAGTAATAACAAAAACATCCTCCATTTAGAGGTGGAGACAGAAGATCAGCAGCCAAATGATGATCAACGCATCCCAGCTAGAGCTGACCCAAGGTCATATTAAACCAGGTCCAGCAGACTGCATCTCTCTCTGACAGTACATCTCCCCCAAGGAGTCTCCAATATCGTGTCTGATATTAAGATTCTAACAACAACAGTGTGTTATATAGACTTATTTAAGAAAAGTCACTTTAAAAATGGCAGAGTATTTAGAAAAGTACATTTGTTTTGAGTCATTATGATTCTGTCGGCTCTCCTAATGTTAAAGATAGCGTGTCTTGGTGAATTCAGATGCCCCAAATATAGCACTGTGTCATCTCCTTGCATTCGGAAGCAGGGTCAGGGGATATACTTAGCCAGTTCTCCAGTCTCAGGCCTGCATTTGAGCTCCTTGGAGGTAACCTAAGATGCCCAGCCCAGGCTGGGGTATTAAATACAGGCAGGCCATCATGACCATAGATGGAATGCTATGGTATCGCTATGCCAGTGGTTGTAGCTGGCTGCCTGGAGGTTTGATATCAATACTCTGAACAGTCTAAGGCTAAGCATTTAACATACCTCCACAGTTCAGATATTGAGCGTGAATGGTTGGTTAGGTGCTAGGATGGGCATATCTGAGTAAATCGGTGTTTTTCAACTGATAATGTTCGTGGGTAAATAGCTTACTGCACATGTTTATCCACTAATGTCTTCCCAATACATGTGCATGTATGTATCTATCTATATCGACATACTCTGGTCATATTTACGAGATACCATATATGGATGGCTAACTCTTGAAATCCTTCCGTCAATACAGATATAGTTAAATCTTCTTTTAGTTATGGAACAATCTTCAGAATACCCTTCAGTTGGATGCGTTGGTGCCTTTCGGGCAGTTCAGATTGTTGGTAGAGGACCTCTTCACAGAGGATAGTGCTTGTTTTTCTATAATTGTGTTTTTGTATTTTTTTTTCTTGATTGACCTACTTGCATCTCTAACTTTGAATGTGGAATTACTGCCTGTCTTGTCAAAATAGACCTTGGTCTCAATGAGACTTTCTGCTAAAATAAAGGTAAAAATAAATAAAAATGTCAGCCCAAACGTCCTAATATTGTCGACATATGGAGGTTCCCTCTGGTGGAATATCTGGAAAATTATAAATGAAATCAGTTATTATTATTATCATTATCATTATTATTATTATTAAAGGTGTTAACAAATATGGTACACTAATATGACATGACCATTTCCCAATGCCTTTCCATTAGCTAAAACAGATTAGAACAGTTAAGAACAATATTTCTTACAAACTACAGTATACATCTGATAACAATTTGTTAATCTGGATTAAATAGGAGGTTGGTTACTTAGCAAATAATAATTGGTTGTTCAACTCAGGGTTGTGTGTTTGTTGTTGTGTTTCAATTTTCAATTCTAAATATCAATAACAAAAATAGATATATTAAGAATCTAATAATTTCCCCCTGATCTAGATCCATGGAATCCTGTAAATCTTAGTTATATCTATTGGGTTGGATCTATCCATTGCACAGGGCCAATTTCCAGATCTAAATGCAAGCTTTGCATAACACATAAAAACAGCATACAGCAGGGCTGCTGGGTCAATTACAGAACCTTACAGACTCATAGATATTGTGATCTAAAGACACATCTGGGCAAATATGCACGCACTCTTTGAGTGCCATGTTTTCACTGGCAGAAGCACGCCCAGTGACAATTTGGGCCTAACTGGCAATGATCTTGTAGGAAAACACTACTAAAACATTCACAAGCTTTTAAAATATATTTTTATTTGTATTTTTTGGTTAGTGAATATGTTCCTTTTAGTGAATGTTACAGATGCAGATGGAAAGCTGTGTGATGTTAAGAGTGGGTGAAGCTACAAATATTTACCCTTTCCACCTCACTATACCATAGCCAAAAACATTTGCAAATAACACTGAAAAGTTAAAAGAGAAAGATAGAGAGACAGAGAGAGAAAGAGAGAGAGAGAGATAAAGAAAGAGAGAGAGAGATCCAAAACCATAGTGTCGAGTATATATTTGAACCTACAGTATCAAAAAATAACAGCATTTAAAATCAAAGATCCTCTTCCTGAAGGGATGCCTAACAACAAGGTCATAGAAATCCATCTCTGTACCACAATACGACAAAACACAAAAGTCGGCTATGGCTGAAAAATGAATGTGTTCAACCCTGAAACTTCTTCTTCCTGCCGTCCATGCCAGCCTGTTCATCAACGTTCTTGCGCCAGTCACCAACTGCATCCACTCCCTGCATTACAGAAAGTTTGTGATGTGACATATAGAGGATAAAATATGAAATAACTCATCCTTTCCTCAAAGCTCAGAACACATTTGGGACACAGTACTCAGGTACTGTGATTCTCTACTTTATAGGTTTCCACACAAATACCCACCTCCTCTTTGACCTCCTTCTTCACTTCTTTCAAGTTGGCTCTGAAATCCATGGAAGCCTTGTGCTTGGTGCCCAGCAGAGCCTGGAGCATAGCATCAGCAGACATACGCACTTTCTTCAGAGCTGGCTTCTTCATGCCCTGGATCTCAACCACTTTCATCCTCAAATCCTCAATCTGTGATGTGAGAAAGTTTGGAGGAAGATAAGATTTGCAGTATACGTTTGATTCATGATGAGGACAAGATGGAATACAATCTACCTCTTTGTCTGCCTTCGTCACTTTGGACTCTGCGTCATATCTGTCCTCATCAACCTTGTCGATGGTATGGGCTAACTTTTTGAGCATTTCCTGTTGACACACAAACACATCAGTCTGATAATTTGTAGGCGAAACTCTCCTCTCCAGAAGGAATCAGTCTCTTCAGGCAACAGTTATTTAGAGTGAAGAAATTGGAGTCTGTGTCCTTTGTAGGAAAATACACATTGCTTATTCCAAGAACCACCAATGTGAGGCTTAAATACATTGGAGTAGTTGTGTGAAGCTTGTGTAAACAAATTAATGACTAGCATCGTATCGTACCACCAGCGCCGCTTGATCTCCAGACAAATCCAGGACGGGGAGCTCAGCCATGAAATTGGCTTTCTCCTGCACAGCCTCCTTTTTCTCCGTCTCAATCAGCTCAAATGCAATCTGGAGCACCAAGCTCTGGAGGACAAAGAAACACAGTAAATCCAAACCCAGCCTACTACGTAGTATTGGAGCACAAAGGATTACCTAAAGGATTAAAGAGGTTGAAAAGGTGTAAATCCAGTCTAATTTATGCCCAAACTAATTTAGTCAAGTACTGGATATTGGTGTGTAATACTTGTTTCATCCATTGGACCACAACTCATTGTCTTGGTTCACCTTCAGATGATGCCTGCGGCTCGATGTCATCTTTTTTCTGTGAAGAAACGTGGATTTCACACGTTGTTAGGGATATAACAGGTATGTGCATTACTGAGAGAACATAACGGTGGATCGGACATGCTTTGTGTCAGGCTGAAAGTCTGGAATTTCACTTTTAGTGAATTTTAGACAAATTTCAAGACTTACTCCGACATATTGGCTGTTGTTATGCTTCACACCCTGAATAGAAGACACAACAGAGAAAACTTGTTTTGATATTTATGATTAAAAAATAAACATTTATAATATCATTAGGATGCAATAGGTGCAAAAGCGAGAGACATGTCTGGTCTAAAGATCATACTGTGATATTGAGCTGAAGATTGGGGAACACTTGGCCAAACTAGGTTCTTAGGGGAAACATGATCCATTTTCAGAGCTAGAGTCTGCAGTGATTCAGAGCGAGCTAAATCTGGACTGCTAGAGTCAGGTGTCTGACTTGTTTTATGGTTGTTAGAATGTGAAACCCTAACAGACTTTAACTGCTGCTGCCTTCAGAGACGCAAGTCTCGATTTATTAACCTGCCGCGGTGCTGTATATCAGAAAAGCCTTCCTAATTACATAAATCAACAGCATCTTCTTCATTCTGCAGACAGATGTGATGGTGTTGAATCAAGGTACTCACACTTAATCAACGGATATAATGGTTTGCTATTTTTCTTCCCCAAGATTTACTGTAAGTCTCAGTTAAAAGTTCTTGAGAATTAAAAACATCAGAAAAGCTTTACTTTCCCAGTAATTCATAATCTATTCAAATTAATGATTTCATTTCAAATCATAAAATCAAGTCAAGTGTACAATTTAGCAAGCTCAGACTAATGAAACATCTCCTATTCTTTTTGTTTGTTTACACATACATAACAATTAACATGGCACTTAGCATGCTGTCTATTATTCAGTTCTACAAAGCTGTTACTCCATCCACCACCTCAAATAAACATGTACCAATTTTCTTGAATAGAAAACAAAAAACTTTCACAGCTATCATATTGTCCATCACAATGTATAACACTATAAACTTCCCCTTTTATATTGAATTAACACTAATCCTAATATAATCACTGAATCTAACACAGAACATCATGTGCCTGAGAGCTTTATCTGAAACTCAATAACTCAGAGGTCTGGATTTAGGTTAAGTGTATTTACCAGCTTTGACTGCTAGAGTATAGCCCCTAACCAGAACCCTAGCCAAAGTTTCACAAAAATAAAGAAAACCTGACATATTTACCTCAATGCATTCACCTGTATTGCCAGGTGAATAGATATGTTCCATATGTTCAATTTTTAATGATCCATAAAGTGGTGTACAGCAACTCACCCATGTGCAATGAGTGAGTTTGATTGTTAAGATTGTCATCGGTTGGGAGGCCTTTTAGTCTCTTTCTCTTTCTATTACCTTGTGCTTTTAATTCCAGTGGTGCTACACAATCAGAGAGTTTGATAGAGAGACAGGAAAAGAGAGATTCTCACCTATGAGAGGAAGAGGAGGAAGAGGGCAGAACACACCAGGAGGAAGAATGGAAGACTAGCACACTGGCAAGCGACATGCAGTGAAACATGAAAATGGTATATATGGTGTCGGGTGATGCATCAGCAGAAACACTGGGTCCTCTTTATGGAAGTAGTTTCCATGGCAGACCAATGGAACATCGAGCTCCTGAAATACACTCTGCCCAACCCTGTTCACCTCTTAAATGTTATTTCCTTCAAGATGTCTTTCAAGACATATGTTGCTCTGAACAGTGAGTACAGAATTACAGTTCAGTATGGGAGGGATAGGGAAAGTATTTATAGACATGAGTGATTAAAAAAAATATGATACTGTATTTTTAAAATCTAAATTAATTGAAATGGGAGTCTACTTCAACAAATGAATCATAGTAATATAATTCAAGAATTGAATCATATTATCAATTCTAGAAAAATAAGTACTTGAAAATCTTAAAACATTTTTTAAAGTTGTACTTTTATTGAATCAGTAAAGTACTCAGAAATTGAAATTGTATTGAAATCAGAAATTGATTTATTTTCTTAAAGACAAAACACAATAAACCTCAATTCCATCGTGTTTCCTTCAAGCCTAAAAGCACAGCAACTGTGAATGATATGTTAGGCCATATTGCTAATAAGTTGAGTGCTTAAGCAGGCCAACACATGACAAATGTAGTTAAACAAAATAGTAAATAACACTTAGTAACTGAAATGCTACTCTATTCATGATTCTGCTTGGCTACATTTGGTGAACAGTGCAGATTGCTATCGTTTGTTCAAAACTCACCAACGTCCCCCCTTTTTGACATTTCCATACTTTCAAATGGGGGGGGGGGCATGCCTGTTTGTTGGTCAAAGAGGAATCTGGGTCAGAGAAAGGGGATTTAATTTAATTGAGAGAGTGGGGTAGAGTGAATGAGAGAGAGAGGAAGGGTCAGCAGAAAGAGAAAGTACTTTACTATACTGACATCTTGTGGTTTATAACTCAGATGTGTTTAATAGATAATAATAATACAATAATAATAGATAACCTCAACCCCAGCTGTTCTAGGTTTCTCCAGAATAGGGTTGCAAAATTCCGGTAACTTTCCCAAAATTCCCAGGTTTTCCAGAAATCCCAGTTGGAAGATTCCCAGAATCAGAAGCGAATAAGACGATTTTTCATAAAGTCACCTTTTTTGCAACTATACTCCAGAATACCTTACATCCAAAAGCATGGAGGGACCAAATCTGAAAGGGGTAACATAATTCTACACAACACAGTTTACAGTTAGTATAAGTGCTTATCATATGCTGTAAGTTGCGTGAAAACATGGCTTTACCTCAAATCTCGACCTTAGGTTCCAGATCCAACATTAACTCTGTAACAGTACAACAAAATAACAAAAAAGATAGATGAATCACTCCGTAGCCTCCGTAGTTTTGAACACTAAAACGAATTCAGTCCTTTATGCGGTCTCAAACTTCTTCTTCCTGCAGTCCATGCCAGCCTGTTCATCAATGTTCTTACGCCAGTCACCGACTTCCTCCTGCATGACACAAAGTTTACGATGTGACATTCTCAGTGTTTGAGGATATAATATTAAATAAATGTAATTTATCATTTCGTCAAAGCCCTGAACATGTGGGACAAAGGTTGCCAACTCCTAAAGTACTGTGATTCTCTGCTTTGTAAGTTTCCACACAAATACCCACCTCCTCTTTGACTTCCTTCTTCACTTCTTTCAAGTTGGCTCTGAAATCCATGGAAGCCTTGTGCTTGGTGCCCAGCAGAGCTGCAAGCATAGCATCAGCAGACATACTTCAGAGCTGGCTTCTTTATGCCCTGGACCTCAACCACTTTCATCTTCAGCTCCTCGATCTGTGAAGAGGGTGAGTCAACACATAGTCAAGACCAGCGGTATATGTTTCCAGGATGAGGACAATATGGAATGCAATGTACTGTACCTCTTTGTCTGACTTCTTCACTTTTGCCTCTGTGTCATATCTTTCCTCATCAACCTTGTCGATGGTCTGGGCTAACTTTTTTATCATTTCCTTTGTGCACACAAACACATCACAGATAATTTATATGAGAGGCACCAGCATGGCACCAGCATCTACAGTGTGTGGAATGAACCACTTTCTGCAGGCAACAGCTATCTAGAGAGAGAGGTGGCGAACCTTTCATTCCCCATACTGATGAAGGCTTTGCCAAGACGCCTGTGTGAAATTATATCCCCTGCTGCTGTATTAAAAAAAGACATCAGCAACCGCAAAAGGAAGATAATGGAGTTTGTATACTTCATGTACGAATTCCCCCTCCTTATTACGACAAACTCAAATTAATAAATAGTATCGTACCACCAGCGCCGCTTGATCTCCAGACAAATCCAGGCCGGGGATCTGAGCCATGAAATTGTCTTTCTCCTTCACAGACTCCTTTTTCTCTGCTTCCAGCGAAGTAGCCACAATCAAGAGACACAAGCTCTGGGGGGAAAAGAAACACAGTGAGGCCAAACCTAGTCTAGTACCTGGCTTGGTGTACATTCAGTGGTGGAAAAAGTACCCAATTCTCATACTTGAGTAAAAGTAAAGATACCTTCATAGAAAATGACTCAAGTAAAAGTGAAAGTCACCCAGTAAAATACTACTTGAGTAAAAGTCTAAAAGTAAATATACTTAAGTATCAAAAGTCAATGTAATTGCTAAAATATGCTTAAGTATCAAACGTAAAAAATAAAGTACAAGTATCGATCGTTTCAAATTCCTTATATTAAGCAAATCTTTTTAATTTACGGATAGCCAGTGGCACACTCCAACACTCCAACATAATTTACAAACAAAGCATTTGTGTTTAATGAGTCCGCCAGATCAGAGGCAGTAGGGATGGCCAGGGATGTTCTCTTGATTAGTGCATGAATTGAACAATTTTCCTGTCCTGCTAAGCATTAAAAATGTGACGAGTACTTTTGGGTGTCAGGGAAAATGTACAGAGTAAAAAGTACATCATTTTCTCTAGGAATGTAGTGAAGTAAAAGTAAAAGTAGTCAAAAATATAAATAGTAAAGTAAATTACAGATACCCCAAAAAACGATTTAAGTAGTACTTTAAAGTATTTTTACTTAAGTACTTTACACCACTGTGTACATTTAGGACACATTGGTGTACTTAATGGAGGTCAAAAATATAGAAATGCACATTGTCATACCCAGAGTCATATACTGCTCATTGGAAACCCATCGATAAAATGCAGTTTGCACCGAACTTGCCAAGCAGACCATAAGAATACATAGAAAGTTGTCACAGTGAAATGTGTTGATTTACCTTTAGATGATGCTTGCGGGTCGAGGACATCCTTTTCCTGTGAAAAAAGGTGAGTTTGACATACAGGATTGTTATATACAGTGGGGGAAAAAAGTATTTAGTCAGCCACCAATTGTGCAAGTTCTCCCACTTAAAAAGATGAGAGAGGCCTGTAATTTTCATCATAGGTACACGTCAACTATGACAGACAAAATGAGAAAAAAAATTCCAGAAATTCACATTGTAGGATTTTTTATGAATGTATTTGCAAATTATGGTGGAAAATAAATATTTGGTCACCTACAAACAAGCAAGATTTCTGGCTCTCACAGACCTGTAACTTCTTCTTTAAGAGGCTCCTCTGTCCTCCACTCGTTACCTGTATTAATGGCACCTGTTTGAACTTGTTATCAGTATAAAAGACACCTGTCCACAACCTCAAACAGTCACACTCCAAACTCCACTATGGCCAAGACCAAAGAGCTGTCAAAGGACACCAGAAACAAAATTGTAGACCTGCACCAGGCTGGGAAGACTGAATCTGCAATAGGTAAGCAGCTTGGTTTGAAGAAATCAACTGTGGGAGCAATTATTAGGAAATGGAAGACATACAAGACCACTGATAATCTCCCTCGATCTGGGGCTCCATGCAAGATCTCACCCCGTGGGGTCAAAATGATCACAAGAACGGTGAGCAAAAATCCCAGAACCACACGGGGGGACCTAGCGAATGACCTGCAGAGAGCTGGGACCAAAGTAACAAAGCCTACCATCAGTAACACACTACGCCGCCAGGGACTCAAATCCTGCAGTGCCAGATGTGTCCCCCTGCTTAAGCCAGTACATGTCCAGGCCCGTCTGAAGTTTGCTAGAGTGCATTTGGATGATCCAGAAGAGAATTGGGAGAATGTCATATGGTCAGATGAAACCAAAATATAACTTTTTGGTAAAAACTCAACTCGTCGTGTTTGGAGGACAAAGAATGCTGAGTTGCATCCAAAGAACACCATACCTACTGTGAAGCATGGGGGTGGAAACATCATGCTTTGGGGCTGTTTTTCTGCAAAGGGACCAGGACGACTGATCCGTGTAAAGGAAAGAATGAATGGGGCCATGTATCGTGAGATTTTGAGTGAAAACCTCCTTCCATCAGCAAGGGCATTGAAGATGAAACGTGGCTGGGTCTTTCAGCATGACAATGATCCCAAACACACCGCCCGGGCAACGAAGGAGTGGCTTCGTAAGAAGCATTTCAAGGTCCTGGAGTGGCCTAGCCAGTCTCCAGATCTCAACCCCATAGAAAATCTTTGGAGGGAGTTGAAAGTCCATGTTGCCCAGCGACAGCCCCAAAACATGACTGCTCTAGAGGAGATCTGCATGGAGGAATGGGCCAAAATACCAGCAACAGTGTGTGAAAACCTTGTGAAGACTTACAGAAAACGTTTGACCTGTGTCATTGCCAACAAAGGGTATATAACAAAGTATTGAGAAACTTTTGTTATTGACCAAATACTTATTTTCCACCATAATTTGCAAATAAATTCATTTAAAATCCTACAATGTGATTTTCTGGATTTTTTTTCCTCATTTTGTCTGTCATAGTTGACGTGTACCTATGATGAAAATTACAGACCTCTCTCATCTTTTTAAGTGGGAGAACTTGCACAATTGGTGGCTGACTAAATACTTTTTTCCCCCACTGTACATGACTGGTCAATATGCTGGACAGACATGACTGGTCAATATGCTGAAGGGACATGACTGGGCAATATGCTGAAGGGACATGTCTGGTAATATGCTGAAGGGATATGACTGGTCAGTATAATGAAGGGACATGACTGCTCAATATTCTGAAGGGACATGACTGGTCAATATACTGAGTGGAAATGACTGGTCAATATGCTGAAGGGACATGACTGTTCAATTTGCTGAAGGGACATGACTGCTCAATATGCTGAAGGGACATGACTGATCAATATGCTGAGTGGAAATGACTGGTCAATATGCTGAAGGGACATGACTGGTCAATATGCTGAAGGGACATGACTGGTCAATATACTGAAGGGACATGACTGGTCAATTTGCTGAAGGGACACGACTGCTCAATATGCTGAAGGGACATGACTGGCCAATATGTTGACCAAGGGTTGTATCATTGATATTCTATAGCATGCTGAATAGAATGGGAAGGTCAGAAAATATCAAATTTACTTACAATTTTCTCACATTGTTGTTGTGAAAAGGAAAGACTCAAACCCAAGTGTTTTTAGGATGGCTATGAGCAATGTGGTATCATTACAAAATGTATACTGACTAAAAATATAAATGCAACATGCAACAATTTTAAAGATTTTACTGAGTTACAGTTCATATAAATTAATTAGACCCTAATCTATGGATTTCACAACTAGGAATACAGATATGCATCTGTTGATCACAGATACCTCTATAATGAAGTTGGAGGCGGCATATGGTAGAGAAATGAACATTCAATTATCTGGCAACAGCTCTGGTGGACATTCCTGCAGTCAGCATGCCAACTGCGTGCTCCCTCAAAGTTTGAGACATCCGTGGCATTATGTTGTGTGACAAAAGACAGCCCTATTTGGTAAAAGACCAAGTCCTTATTATGGCAAGAACAGCTCAAATAAGCAAGGAGAAACGACAGTCCATCATTACTTTAAGACATGAAGTTCAGTCAATACGGAACATTTCAAGAACTTTGAAAGTTTCTTCAAGTGCAGTCGCAAAAACCATCAAAAGCTATGATGAAACTGGTTGTCATGAGGACCGCCACAGGAATGGAAGACCCAGAGTTACCTCTGCTGCAGAGGATAAGTTCATTAGAGTTACCAGCCCCTGAAATTGCAGCCCAAATGAATGCTTCACAGAGTTCAAGTAACAGACACATCTCAACATCAACTGTTCAGAATTATGTGAATCAGGCCTTCATGGTCGAATTTCTGCAAAGAAACCACTACAAACGGCCACCAATAATAAGAAGAGACCTGCTTGGGCCAAGAAACACGAGCAATGGACATTAGACCGGTGGAAATATGTCCTTTGGTCTGGAGTCCAAATTGGAGACTTTTGGTTCCAACCGCCGTGTCTTTGTGAGACGCGGTGTGGGTGAATGGATTATCTGCACATGTGTAGTTCCCAACATAAAGCATGGAGGAGGTGTTATGGTGTGGGGGTGCTTTGCTGGTGACACTGTCAGTGATTTATTTAGAATTCAAGGCACACATAACCAGCATGGCTACCACAGCATTCTGCAGCGATATGCCATCCAATCTGGTTTGGGCTTAGTGGGACTATAATTTGTTTTTCAACAGGACAATGACCCAACACACCTCCAGGCTGTGTAAGGGCTATTTTACCAAGAATGTGAGTGATGGAGTGCTGCATCAGATGACCTAGCCTCAACAATCCCCCGACCTCAACCCAATTGAGATGGTTTGGGATGAGTCGGACAGCAGAGTGAAGGAAAAGCAGCCAACAAGTGCTCAGCATATGTGGGAACTCCTTCAAGACTGTTGGAAAATAATTCCAGGTGAAGCTGGATGAGAATGCCAAGAGTGTGCAAAGCTGTCATCAAGGCAAAGGGTGGCTACTTTGAAGAATCTCAAATATATTTGTTTAACACTTTTTTGGTTAATACATAATTCCATATGTGTTATTTCATGGTTTTGATGTCTTCACTATTATTCTACAATGTAGAAAATAATAAAATAAAGAAAAACCCTTGAATGAGTAGGTGTGTCGAAACTTTTAACTGGTACTGTACATCACTCAAAAAATATAAAAACGTTAAATACCACAAAAAGTAAATAATTAGAAATTTGGTTTTGGTATGGGTATAGCTACAGTAAGTTAATGTCTTCAACCGCCTTCCATGCTAAAGTATTGCCCTTGAGCAGGGCCACATCATTCTGTCTAGACAGGCTCATTAGTTTCTCATAGTATCCACTCTGACATATTTACTTCAATGTATTCACCTGTATTCAAATGTGTTGATCTTGTGACAGGCGTCACTTAGTGTGATCATTTCCAGGTGCTACCTGTTAGTGGATATGTGTGTAAATGTAGTCATGAAATCACCTAATCATTAAAGTCTACAAATGCGTACTGTGTAAGACTTAAGTAACTGTCACGCCCTGACTCAAGGGACTCGTATATGTTGAGTCAGGGTGTGGTGTTCTATGGTGTGTTTTCTATGTTTCAGTCTAGGTGTTGTAGTTCTGTGTTTGGCCAGGTGTGATTCCCAATCAGAGACAGCTGTCGCTCGTTGTCTCTGATTGGGGATCATACTTAGGCAGCCTATTGGCACTAGTTAGTGGTGGGATCTTGTTCCGTGTTAGAGGCTTGTTTTGTGTGTAGCCTTAGGACTTCACATTTCGTTTGTTTATTGTTTTGTCGTGTGTTTATACGTTTAATAAACATGTACGCATTTCACGCTGCGCCTTGGTCTGACCCGTCCTTAAACGAACGTGACAGAAGATCCCACCAAACACGGACAAAGCAGCGTGCCCAGGAGCAGAGAGCCTGGACATGGGAGGAGATCCTGGACGGAAAGGGATCCTGGACATGGGAGGAGATTCAGGCTGGGATGGATCGCCATCCTTGGGAGGAGACAGTGGAGGCCCGGTATAGAGAGGAACAACGGCAACGCAGAAGGCGACGACCGAGGAAGAAGCCAGAGAGACAGCCCCAATAAAAAAAATGTGGGGGGCTAAAGGGTTGGTCGGGGAGCAATGGAGAAGAGCCCCGACCACTGCACTCGTGGGGGCTCAGGGTGTAGTCCTCACGGGAGGAGGACTGGGCGCAGAGAGTGAAAGTCTGGTACAGTTGGAGATCTCTGACGTCAGTTCCCAGTCCGGTACATCTCGTGCCTGCGTCTCGCACCAAGCCAGTGGTGCGTTTCGCCAGTCCGGCCCGGCCTGTTCCTGCTCCTCGCACCAAGCCAGTGGTGCGTGTCGCCAGTCCGGCCCGGCCTGTTCCTGCTCCTCGCACCAAGCCAGTGGTGCATGTCGCCAGTCCGGCCCGGCCCGTTCCTGCTCCTCGCACCAGGCCAGTGGTGCGTGTTCCCAGTCCGGCCCGGCCCGTTCCTGCTCCTCGCACCAGGCCAGTGGTGCGTGTTCCCAGTCCGACCCGGCCCGTTCCTGCTCCTCGCACCAGGCCTGTTGTGCGTGTTCCCAGTCCGGCCCGGCCCGTTTCTGCTCCTCGCACCAGGCCTGTGTTGCGCGTTCCCAGTCCGGCCCGGCCCGTTCCTACTCCTCGCACCAGACCTGTGGTGCGTGTCTCCAATCCGGCCCGGCCCGTTCCTGCTCCTCGCACCAGACCAGTGGTGCATGTTCCCAGACCGGCCCGGCCCGTGCCTGCTCCTCGCACCAAGCCAGTGGTGCGTGTTCCTAGTCCGGTCCGGCTCGTGCCTGCTCCTCGCACCAGACCAGTGGTGCGTGTGTCCAGTCCGGCACAGCCTGTGTCAGCTGCTCCACTCCGGAGCCAGAGCAGTCCGCTCCACCGGTGCCTGATCCAGCTCCAGTCAGCGGTTCCAGTCCAGACCCAGACGTCAGCCTCTCTCCAGGTTCGGGGTCTCCCACACCAGGGTCCAGACAGGGCTTGGAGTATTGTGGGAGGAAGGAGAGGGGAAGCAGCGCGCCGAGGTCCAGACAAGACCAGGGGCGCAACAGGGAGGCGGAGAGTCTGTGGTCGTCACGCCCGGAGCCGGATCCGTCTCCGAGGCGGAATGCCCACCCGGCCCCTACCCTGTTATGTAAAGGTTGTGCGGTCGGAGTCCGCACCTTTGGGGGGAGGGGGGGGTACTGTCACGTCCTGACTCTTATATGTTGAGTCAGGGTGTGGTGTTCTATGGTGTGTTTTCTATGTTTCAGTCTAGGTGTTGTAGTTCTGTGTTTGGCCGGGTGTGATTCCCAATCAGAGACAGCTGTCGCTCGTTGTCTCTGATTGGGGATCATACTTAGGCAGCCTATTGGCACTAGTTAGTTGTGGGATCTTGTTCCGTGTTAGAGGCTTGTTTTGTGTTTAGCCTTAGGACTTCACGTTTCGTTTGTTTATATTTTTGTCGTGTGTTTATCATTTAAATAAACATGTACGCATTTCACGCTGCGCCTTGGTCTGACCCGTCCTTAAACGAACGTGACAGTAACAGGTAAAACTACCACCCACAGTGAGACCGTATTCCTTTATTTATCAATAAGACACATCCTGCCTTATTTATCAATAAGACACATCCTGCCTTATTTATCAATAAGACACATCCTGTGTGATAGAAAGATCAGAGAGGAGGAAAAGAGAGGTTCTCACCTATGAGAAGAGGAGGACAGGACACACTCGGTGAAGAAGTGGAGACACTGGCAAGTCACAGGCAAAGAACAAATCAAACAGGGTGTATATGTAGACTAGTGATGAATCAGCAGAAACCCAGGGACCTCCTTATGGTGGTGGAGACTCTTTAGGCCAATGGAACTGTGAGCTCCTGAAATACCACCAACCCTTTCCTCCAACTCACATCATACATTTCCCTTCCTGCAAGGTGTCTCCCAAAACCTGAGCTGCCACTTGGCTTCTATACCAATTAGGCCATCCCAGTTAAGCACGGACGACATGGATAGATAAACCCGGTTAAGCAAGGGACAATGTTGATATATTCTTGAACCACTTTTTGGTGATGATGATCCTGCCATTTTCAATAATCAGATGGCAATTGTTAAAGGGGCAATCTGCAGTTCAAACAATAAAAAAGCAGTCGCCCTGCCACAGTTTTGGTAAAAAGCGGAAGGATGGGGCTGGAGAAATGTAAACAAATTCATAGACAGAGCTATTGAAGCAATGACTGACCATCCATGATATCAAAATTATAGTTTTAACCATGTTTTGAGGCCATAAAGATTTAGTTTACACTGTTTACAAACTCTGGAGGAAAATAAGCTGATGGTGAACGACAGTTGAACTAAGCTCATGAGGCATTTATAAGTTATGTTTAAACAATAATGCCCGTGGAGGTGTGGTATATGGCCAATATACCACGGCTAAGGGCTGTTCTTATGCACGACGCAACGTGGAGTGCCTGGATACAGCTCTTAGCCGTGGTATATTGCCATATACCACAAACCTCCGAGGTGCCTTATTGCTATTTTAAACTGGTTTCCAACGTAATTAGAGCAGTAAAAATAAATGTTTTGTCAGCCAATCAGCATTCAGGGCTCGAACCACCCAGTTTATAATTTTCAATAATCAATGGGTATATATCAATAACTTAAAAGTAAAAGAAAATTGAAGTACAAATTGCAGATTGCACCTTTAAAATAAAACAGGGAAAAAGGGGTTGTCAAATTGAACAAGGGAACCATGCTATGAATTGCATAACAGTGCAATTGTTTAACAATTTCTGTATTTGTCATTACTGTCAGAACACTTTTCTTTCTTGTCGATTTTTTGAAGGATTTTTTAAAAGGAGATAAAAGTGTTACTCACCATTTGCAGGACAAGAGTTCCTCAATCCAGTGCACTAACTTCATTTTCATTGTAACACACCTGCAAATGTAATATCTACAAATAATGACAAATTCCTAGACCAGTGCACATTAAAACCACCTGCAAGTTTACAAAGGGAAATTGGAGAAGCAAAGGTGGGAGAGAAAGCCAGGTAAAGTAGATGGGGAATATGGGGAAGAGCGGAGAAAATGGAGAGTGAGAGAAAGAATGGGAAGGAGAGAGGTGAGAAGGGAGAGAAGGAGAGAAGGGAGAGAGGGAGAGAGAGAGAGAGAGGAGAGAGATGAAGAGAAAAGACAGAGAAGAGAAGAGGAAGCGACTCGAGAAGAGAGGAGCCAGATCAAGTCGAGATGCATGCTGAGAGACGGATAGAGGAGAGGCTGAGACGCTTCGCCGTCGCGAGGGAGGAGAGGAGAGATAGCGCCGTCGGTCTCAGTCGATCTGATGCTGCGAGCGATTCAGAGTGGCAATGACGACTCGGCTGATTCTCGCTACCGTGAGCTCTTCTCGGTCCACCTGACGCTGTCTCCGCCGCGCGGCCGATGCGCTGGGCGCTCGCGACGCCTCGAGCTTACAGGAGAGAGACTAGGAAAGAGGGAAACCTCAGGCGAGAGAAGGATGAGGAGGAGCGAGACCGAGAGAAGAGACGAGGAGAGAAAGAGGGAGGGAGACGGAGAGCGAGGAAGTACGGAGGAGCGGAGGAGAAGAGAAGAGAGCATGGAGGGAAGGGAGAAGAGAGAGAGAAGAGAGACCGAGAGGAGGAAAAACAGAGAGATGAGAGGGAGAGGGAGAGACAGGAGAGCAACGAGAGGAGAGAAGAGGAGAGGGGAGAGAGAGAGGAGAGAAGAAGAGAGAAGGAGACGGAGAGGAGAAGAGAGAGAGAGAGGGCTCCCGAGTGGCGCAGCGGTCTAAGGCACTGCATCTCAGTGCTTGAGGTGCCACTACAGACCCCCTGGTTCGATTCCAGGCTATATCACAACCGGCCGTGATTGGGAGTCCCATAGGGCGGCGCACAATTGTCCCAGCGTCGTCCGGGTTTGGCCAGTGTAGGCCGTCATTGTAAATAAGAATTTGTTCTTAACTGACTTGCCTAGGTAAATAAATTAAGATCAAAAAGAGGAGAGAGAGAGGAAAGGAGAACAGGTGCTCTACTGACATCTTGTGGTATATATATATTATATAATAACTATATTATTGTAAATTGTTTAGTATATTCTTTATTAAATTATGAAATGATTAATTCAATATAAAAAATATTTATAATTATTAACACACATCTAAAATGTGTAACTAAATCAAGCCAATCGTTATTGAGTTAATTTAATCTATGTTTTAATTTAATTGTATTTTCATCAAGTTATTTCGTTTGACACATTATATTCTAATGATGTTGAAATTTATGATGAAATGTTTGTAGGAAATAAAATCCTGAGCCGTCCTCCCCTCAGCAGCCTCCACTGTGTTCAAGAGATATACACATCAAAAGTAACCAAAACATACTGTCTACTTCAAAGTATTTAATTAATTACTGGACTTTGGCATTGAATGTTGGACATAGGTAAAATGGGTTTTCTTCAATAGCTTTTTACAATTGACATAAATACGTTTAAGTTAAATGGATTGACAAAATGACTCTAATTCAGTCCTTTATGCGGTCTCAAACTTCTTCTTCCTGCCATCCATGCCAGCCTGTTCATCAACGTTCTTACGCCAGTCACCGACTTCCTCCTGCATGACAAAAAGTTTATGATGTGACATTCTTAGTGTTTGAGGATATAATATGAAATACATGTAACTGATCCTTTCCTCAAAGTTCTGAGCACATTCGGGACAACTGCCGTCAACTCCTACGGTACTGGGATTCTCTGCTTTGTAAGTTTCCACACAAATACCCACCTCCTCTTTGACCTCCTTCTTCACTTCTTTCAAGTTGGCTCTGAAATCCATGGAAGCCTTGTGCTTGGTGCCCAGCAGAGCTGCAAGCATAGCATCAGCAGACATACGCACTTTCTTCAGAGCTGGCTTCTTTATGCCCTGGATCTCAACCACTTTCATCTTCAGCTCCTCGATCTGTAAAGAGGGTGAGTCAACACCAGCGGTAAATGTTTACAGGATGAGGACAATATGGAATCCAATGTACTGTACCTCTTTGTCTGCCTTCTTCACTTTTGCCTCTGCATCATATCTATCCTCATCAACCTTGTCGATGGTCTGAGCCAACTTTTTAACCATTTCCTGTTGACACACAAACACATCACATATCATTTGAATGAGAAACACTGTGAGTCTCTTAATGGTCTCTTCAGCTTTTGGCACAGATCAATCTCATTCAAATCATTTTCATTTCTAAGCAAATCAAATAAATCCAAATGCAGCCTTAACACATATCGCAAAATCAAATATGTAGCATGAAAGATAATTAGGTTAGGATGTTGTGGTACCCATTGTATGTTTGTATGGATCATTGTATATGTCAGGTATTCAAAACAGACTAAATGAGAATGAACTGGTCAGAATGGTACAATACCTGCAGCTCAGGAAGACCCCCAGACATTACCGGAGCAGGGCAGCTTTCTGCCATATACTCTGCCTTTGTCGTTTTCAAGCTTGCTGCTTCTTTCTCCAGCAGGTCTTTGGCAATCGCGAGCATCACGCTCTGGAGGCCAAGGGGAGAATAGGTGTCAGAGCAGCTAACACAGACCACGACTAGGCAAAAACATGTAGGACTCACCAATGCAAGGTTAGGCCTAGTGTCAATTTCAGACACTCTCAAATGTACTGTATTTCCTTATAAATTCAAGAAAGTAACCTTGTGGTATTAAGTGTCTGAATTAATAATTGACAGCCTAAGCACGTTAACTTCAGGCACCTGCCAGCTACTGTTAACTTCAGGCACCTGCCAGCTACTGTTAACTTCAGGCACCTGCCAGCTACTGTTAACTTCAGGCACCTGCCAGCTACTGTTAACTTCAGGCACCTGCCAGCTACTGTTAACTTCAGGCACCTGCCAGTTACTGTTAACTTCAGGCACCTGCCAGCTACTGTTAACTTCAGGCACCTGCCAGCTACTGTTAACTTCAGGCACCTGCCAGCTACTGTTAACTTCAGGCACCTGCCAGCTACTGTTAACCTCAGGCACCTGCCAGCTACTGTTAACTTCAGGCACCTGCCAGCTACTGTTAATTTCAGGCACCTGCCAGCTACTGTTAACTTCAGGCACCTGCCAGCTACTGTTAACTTCAGGCACCTGCCAGCTACTGTTAACGTCAGGCACCTGACAGCTACTGTTAACATCAGGCACCTGCCAGCTACTGTTAACGTCAGGCACCTGCCAGCTACTGTTAACTTCAGGCACCTGCCAGCTACTGTTTATCTGCCGTTTGTGTTTGTCTTGAAAACATATTACACTATAATTCGTACACATAGTTCATTTGTGGTTATTTCATTAAATAAGGAAAGTTATTTTATATCGCTGCTGTGCTCGCACTTTTGACATGTCATCTTTGCAAATAAGAATGGGTTATTAATTGACTTACCTGTATAGATAAATGTTCAATCAAAGGAGAATAAGAACAAAACAGTTTTTCATATTGGAGGGGGAAATTGGGTTAGTTCAGTATATTTACCTTCAGATGACCCCTGCGACTCGATGTCATCTTTTTCCTGTGAGAGGAAGAAGTAGAAAACATTAAAGGATCAAGATGCACTCAGACAATTGATCACCTCTCAGATTTTTTGAGACAAATTTAACATTATACTTACTCTGACATCTTGCTTGTTTATTTTTTTTTCACACCTTGTATAAGACAGAAATGAAAAGATTCAAAACTTTGACAGAACAAGTGTTGTTATAAATGTGTATGTTGCACTGTGATAGAGTCAGAAGAGCAGTAATAATTATGTATCTACAGTGAGGGAAAAAAGTATTTGATCCCCTGCTGATTTTGTATGTTTGCCCACTGACAAAGACATGATCAGTCTATAATTTTAATGGTAGGTTTATTTGAACAGTGAGAGACAGAATAACAACAACAAAATCCAGAAAAACGCATGTCAAAAATGTTATAAATTGATTTGCAAAATAAATTAGGGAAATACGTTTTTGACCCCTCTGCAAAACATGACTTAGTACTTGGTGGCAAAACCCTTGTTGGCAATCACAGAGGTCAGACGTTTCTTATAGTTGGCCACCAGGTTTGCACACATCTCAGGAGGGATTTTGTCCAACTCCTCTTTGCAGATCTTCTCCAAGTCATTAAGGTTTCAAGGCTGACATTTGGCAACTCGAACCTTCAGCTCCCTCCACATATTTTCTATGGGATTAAGGTCTGGAGACTGGCTAGGCCACTCCAGGACCTTAATGTGCTTCTTCTTGAGCCACTCCTTTGTTGCCTTGGCCGTGTGTTTTGGGTCATTGTCATGCTGGAATACCCATCCACGACCCATTTTCAATGCCCTGGCTGAGGGAAGGAGGTTCTTACCCAAGATTTGACGGTACATGGCCCCGTCCATCGTCCCTTTGATGCAGTGAAGTTGTCCTGTCCTCTTAGCAGAAAAACACCCCCAAAGCATAATGTTTCCACCTCCATGTTTGACGGTGGGGATGGTGTTCTTGGGGTCATAGGCAGCATTGGGGATTAAGTTCATTTTCATGGCAAAGAGGGACTTTGCAATTAATTGCAATTCATCTGATCACTCTTCATGACATTCTGGAGTATATAAAAATTGCCATAATCAAAACTGAGGCAGCAGACTTTGTGAAAATTAGTACAGTGCCTTGCAAAAGTATTCATCCCCCTTGGCGTTTTTCCTATTATGTTGCATTACAACCTGTAATTTAAATGGATTTTTATTTGGTTTTCCTGTAATGGACATACACAAAATAGTCAAAATTGGTGAAGTGAAATGAAAAAAATAACTTGTTTCAAAAAATTCTAAAAAATAAATAACGGAAAAATGGTGCGTGCATATGTATTCACCCCCTTTGCTATGAAGCCCCTAAATAAGATCTGGTGCAACCAATTACCTTCAGAAGTCACATAATTAGTTAAATAAAGTCCACCTGTGTGCAATCTAAGTGTCACATGATCTGTCACATGATCTCAGTATATATACACCTGTTCTGAAAGGTCCCAGAGTCTGCAACACCACTAAGCAAGGGGCACCACCAAGCAAGCGGCACCATGAAGACCAAGGAGCTCTCCAAACAGGTCAGGGACAAAGTTGTGGAGAAGTACAGAACAGGGTTGGGTTGTAAAAAAATATCAGAAACTTTGAACATCCTACGGAGCACCATTAAATCCGTCATAAAAAAATTGAAAGAATATGGCACCTCAACAAACCTGCCAAGAGAGGGCCGCCACCAAAACTCACAGACCAGGCAATGAGGGCATTAATCAGAGAGGCAACAAAGAGACCAAAGATAACCCTGAAGGAGCTGCAAAGCTCCACAGCGGAGATTGGAGTATCTGTCCATAGGAACACTTTAAGCCGTACACTCCACAGAGTGGCCAGAAGAAAGCCATTGCTTGAAGAAAAAAATAAGCAAACATGTTTGGTGTTCGCCAAAAGCCATGTGGGAGACTCCCCAAACATATGGAAGAACGTACTCTGGTCAGATGAGACTAAAATTGAGCTTTTTGGCCATCAAGGAAAATGCTATGTCTAGAGCAAACCCAACACCCCTCATCACCCCGAGAACAACATCCCCACAGTGAAGCATGGTGGTGGCAGCATCATGCTCTGGGGATGTTTTTCATCGGCAGGGACTGGGAAACTGGTCAGAATTGAAGGAAGATGGATGGCCCTAAATACAGGGAAATTATTGAGGGAAACCTGTTTCAGTCTTCCAGAGATTTGAGACTGGGATGGAGGTTCACCTTCCAGCAGGACAATGACCCTAAGCATACTGCTAAAGCAACACTCAAGTGGTTTAAGGGGAAACATTTAAATGTCTTGGAATGGCCTAGTCAAAGCCCAGACCTCAATCCAATTGAGAATCTGTGGTGTGACTTAAAGATTGCTGTACATCAGCGGAACCCATCCAACTTGAAGGAGCTGGAGTAGTTTTGCCTTGAAGAATGGGCAGAAATCCCAGTGGCTAGATGTGCCAAGCTTATAGAGACATACCCCAAGAGACTTGCAGCTGTAATTGCTGTAAAAGGTGGCTCTACAAAGTATTGACTTTTGGGGGGTGAATAGTTATGCATGCTCAAATGTTCTGTTTTTTTGTCTTATTTCATGTTTGTTTCACAATAAAAAATATGTTGCATCTTCAAAGTGGTAGGCATGTTGTGTAAATCAAATGATACAACCCCCCCAAAAAATCTATTTTAATTCCAGATTGTAAGGCAACAAAATAGGAAAAATGCCAAGGGGGGTGAATACTTTCGCAAGCCACTGTATTTGTGTCATTCTCAAAACTTTTGACCACGGCTGTAGAGATCACTTTAATTACACAGCAAGTAGGAGTCTACCCTGGTTCACTTTACTGGGGTATATATATATATTTTATATGCTGATCCAGGACATTTGGACAATCTGCAATTTTAGCATATTATTTGGCAGCTAGACACTGGCAATAGAACACCTTCCAACTAGTTTCACATTGCAGATATAAGCGTGCAGATATGAGATATTCACAAGCATGTATCATATTGCTGCTTCCCACTTGGAACATTTTAATGATTTAACAGATAGGATTTCAACCTATTCAGATGCCAAAAACATTCTCAATGATCGTTTCATATTTCCCTGAGGTAGACAAATCTAAACTGATATTTGGCATGCTAAATTATGATCTACTTAATTTCTGAGCTGCTGACCTACATAGCTACAACTCTTCTTTTTATTTTACTACCATACACAATTAGTACCAAATATTTTTGAGTCACTCTTATGGATAGATAAAGTGTTGATTCTTTAAAGGGATAGTTAAAGTGTTTCTTAATTTTTTGTAGCTTTTCTTCCAACTTGTTGTTGTTTCCTCCAAACCATTTCAAAATAACTAGCTAGCTAACAAAGTTAAATTCTGTAGATTCCCAACATCTAGAACACTACCTGTTCGGGATTTTTTTTTGAAAAGATTGCACACCCATAGCAGAACAAAAACATCCAGGTAACAAGGTTCCCTTGAGCATCATGTTGGGCTGATACATACAATCTGCCTACGAAGTAAAATATTCCTAGTGACCAAGAAGGCTCAAACTGTTGAGCTAGCTATACTTCCTAAATAGCTAGATTCACATTTGGTGACGCAAAACAATTAAACATTCAAATTCCTTAACATCTGTCAATCATGTGCACATAATGAATAATTTCAAATAACATCTATCACATAAAAAAACAAAGGTGAGGATACAGACATGTATTTGTTCCCACACTTATATCCCAAAAACAACTTAACTGTCACACATGCATACATTTTTCATGTGGGAGGCCAAAGGAATTGATCCCTCAACCCTGGTGTAACAAGCACTGTTCTCTACCAACTGAACCATACAGGACCACACTTCTACTGTGATCTTATTATCTCACAATGTGCAGAAACCAACAGCTGCACTACTAGATACATTTCAAAGCAGTCAAGAGACAGGAGCACATTATGGATGCTGGAACACTATAAGATTCCACTATTATCCTCACCTGTGAGAAAAATAATGATGAAAAATGAAGAGCAGCTGTGAGAGAGGGAGAGGATGGCAAGCCGATGGCAGATTAAATGAGGGAGTACACAGTATTAAATACTGATGGGTGGACACCAGTGGTTTATCCCCCCCCCTCAACATGGTAATGTTTCCTCCAGTAGGTCAGTCTTTATGGTAATGGTCAGTGATGCTGCCGGCCCCCTGTCGGCCTGATATACTGCCCTGTCATGCCCTGTATCATGCCCTGTAATCTAAATATAGGCTCCACATTGACCATAACTACAGTATCAATAATATTTCCACGTCTTGCTCTGTAACGTGAATAATAACAAGCAACATGCAACTGCTTGTCACAATTTCATCCCCTCTATAGATTCTTGTTGTGATTGAGTCTTAATTAATGAATGATAAATGAATGATAAATGAATGTGGTCACAGTAGGCCTACACTACAGGGCCAGATGTAATAAGTGTTGCTAATACTGCATCTTATGGTAGGATAGGGGTCTGATCCATACTTTAACCCAGGGCCGGCTCTAGCCTTTTGGGGGCCCTAAGCTAGATTTGGTAGGGGGGCCCCCCACATCACGGCAAAACATTTGAGTGGCACCCCTCTTGACGGTGGAGAGAAACATTTTTGTTTTAAAGGCCCAGTGCATTTTCCTTTGTTTTATATATATTTCCATACTATGAGGATGGAATACACTGTAATACTGTGAAATTGTGAAAATGATGATAGTGTAAGAACTGTTTGAATAGACCACCTGAAATGTCAAACTGTTTTGGTGGGATGGAGTTTAGGCCTGCCTGGTGACATCCCCAGGTGGGAAATGTGTTAATAGACCAATAAGAAAGATAGTTCCAAACCTCTCTGCCAATAACAGCTAGTTTTCTGTTTTCCCCTCCCCCACTCAGACCACTCCCAGACAGTCCTAGCTAAATTCTTGCTTGAGAAATTGCTCTTTTGCTAAGAAGCAATTTTGGTTTCTTTTTGGCAATTTTTATTGAAAACAATCAAAATCAAATCAAATTTCATTTGTCACATGCACTGAATACAACAGGTGTAGACTTACTTACTTAAGAGCCCTTTTCCCAACAATGCAGAGTTTAAAAGTAAGAACAATTTGCCAAATAAAAAAGGGAAATAGTAAAACAATAAAATAACAATACCGAGGCTATATACAAGGAGTCCAGGCTCTGTCGTAGCCGGCCGCGACCGGGAGACCCATGAGGCGGCGCACAATTGGCCCAGCGTCATCCAGGGTAGGGGAGGGAATGGCCGGCAGGGATGTGGCTCAGTTGGTAGAGCATGGTGTTTGCAACGCCAGGGTTGTGGGTTCGATTCCCACGGGGGGCCAGTATGAAAAAATAAAAAATTATGTATGCACTCAGTAACTGTAAGTCGCTCTGGATAAGAGCATCTGCTAAATGACTAAAATGTAAATGTAAAAAATGAGTCCAGTGAGTGTGCGCATGGAGCCAGTGCAATAAAACAAAACAAAAATACAAAGGGGGTCAATGCAAATAGTAGTCCAGGTAGCCATTTGATTAACTGTTCAGCAGTCTTTTTGCTTGGCGGTAGAAGCTGTTCAGGAGCCTTTTGGTCCCAGACTTGGCGCTCCGGTACCGCTTGCCGTGCGGTAGTAGAGAGCACAGTCTATGACTTGGGTGGCTGAGTAAGGTACCGTAAGGTACTTATGTCACGATCGTCAGGGAGAGAAGTAGACCAATGCGCAGCGTGATGAACGAACATGTTACTTTATTTAATAAAGCACGAAACAAAACAACAAACGACTCGTGACGTCCTTGGTAACAATGACCAACACGGAACAAAAACCCACAAACACAAAGTGAAAAACAGACAGTTAAATATGGCTCCCAATCAGAGACAACCAGCCAACAGCTGACACTCGTTGCCTCTGATTGGGAGTCACTAAGGCAAACATAGAAAACAACAAACCAGAACCCATAACCTAGAAACACACCACATAGAACAAACACACCCTGGCTCAACAACTAGAGTCCCATAGCCAGGGTGTGACAACTTAATTGTTACCCAGAAATGATTTGACATTGAGATAAAAATGGCTCCTGCAATTCTACACATTTTGCCAATGGACATAGAGAAAATTTTGCAGTTTTAAAACAAGTTTAGTGCAATTCTATAACTTGTGCCATGGGACAGAGATATTTGTATTGATATCTTTTGTTGTTGCAGTTTTACAACTAATTTCCTGCAATCTACAGATTGTGCCATGGGGTGGAGAGACTTTTTTGCAGTTTTAAAGCACATTTTCTGCAATGCTACACATTTTGTAATGACTTATGCCATGTTAATATGATATGAGTGTAAATGACTAACAAAATCAATGGAGGCCCTCTGGAGGTCAGGGCCCCTGGGCACGTGCCCTGCGTGACAGGTCGGTATTCAGCCATGATTACTACAAGTTTAGATAGCTGGCTAGACTAACTACCAATCAAAAACTTGTTAGCCGACATGGCTAATTGAGTGACTGTCAGTGATTGATATAACAAGAGAGAAACTGCTGATCCACAACCACATTTCGAAATTGCACCTGGTGTATTCCATTATTCTAACTCTCAATAGTAAGTTGAGACCCAACTGAGTTCCCCCCAATTTTTTTATAAATAAATAAATAATAATTGGTTGGGGACCCTAAGCGACCGCTTACGTTGCTGATGCCTGGAGCCGGCCATGCTTTGACTATCCTCTTTCCTGAGTGTTTATTTCGGTCATTTGGCTTCAGAATTAGCTGGCTGGCTAACCTTGTAGTTCTAGTTCTATATCCACCAGCCATCTGCTAAAATGTAAAGGCCCCTCCAAATAAAATATTTTCTGGAATTTGTGGTGGCAAACATTTCTGCGGCTCTTAATTACATTTTAGTCATTTAGCAGACACTCTTATCCAGAGCGACTTACAGTAGTGAGCGCATGCATTTTCATACTGGTCCCCCATGGGAATCGAACCCACAACCCTGGCATTGCAAGTGCCATGTCCTACCAACATAGCCACACAGGACTTCAAACAATATTGTAGGCGGTTTTGCAAATGTGCCTTACTGCAGGCAAGAAGAAGAGGTACAGACAGGGGAATCATGCACCCTCAGTTTGATCAGTTATAGAAGATATTGTCATGCATTGTTCATACAGAGTTATGCTCCAGTACGCTTCAACAATGCAATCACAACTACAACCATTTCTCTTTCATCTCATAAAGCACCATGATCTAAAAACAATCCTGACTTCACTCACCCAATATCCATTTTCCATTCAACATATATATCTACCCAGATTTCTCCGTTTTTCATGTACCCAGATTTAATTCTACACTGTCATTGACAATAAAACCAAAGCACTTGTCGATAAATCACATCAAAGCTGCTGTAAGTAAAAAGGCAAAGATGATCTATTACACAGATGATCCATATCTGAAATGATGACTTATTACACTGGCCAGCCAACAGGTTTCTTATTTCTCCCTTACCTGCAGTTGTGTGTGCTAGGGTGAGGCAGTAGGGGGCATCACGTCCATGCTTGTCCACCACTGTCTCGCTCTCGCTACAGCGAAGACCTCACAAGATACAACACCAACCTATGGTGTCACAAGACACGAGAAAACAGCTTTTTCATCATGAATACAAGAAGGCATAGCTTTTTCATCATGAATACAAGAAAACATAGCTTTTTCATCATGAATACAAGAAAACATAGCTTTTTCATCATGAATACAAGAAAACATAGCTTTTTCATCATGAATAAAAGAAAACATAGCTTTTTCATCATGAATACAAGAAAACATAGCATTTTCATCATGAATACAAGAAAACATAGCTTTTTCATCATGAATTTAAAAAACATAGCTTTTTCATCATGAATACAAGAAAACATAGCATTTTCATCATGAATACAAGAAAACATAGCTTTTTCATCATGAATAAAAGAAAACATAGCTTTTTCATCATGAATACAAGAAAACATAGCATTTTCATCATGAATACAAGAAAACATAGCTTTTTCATCATGAATAAAAGAAAACAGCTTTTTCATCATGAATACAAGAAAACATAGCATTTTCATCATGAATACAAGAAAACATAGCTTTTTCATCATGAATACAAGAAAACATCATGAATACTCAACTACCCTGGTCAACACACTATGCACGCTGATTTTTGTGTGAGAAATACTATCAATCCTATATTCTTTATAGGCCTAAGTTACCATACATGTTACTAATGCTTATGAATTGTAATGCTTTCTATGCTTATAAAAACATATAAATGTTTATGTTTACAAATAATGAAATACTTATTTATTAATAGATTATAAATAGAAAATTAATGCTTAGTCATGAAGGTTGTTATAACATGTTACCCTATATTCATTCTTCATTATTCACATCAAATTAGTATTGTATTTTTGTATTAGTATTGAACAATTGATTAAATCCACAATTGATTCAATCCTAGCCTAAATATATTTGTATCAGTTTTCATGCACAAGATGCGCAAACAATAAAAAGATGCTACCAATTCTAGGAGTCATAATTACCTCCACTAGGTCAGCAGGATTCAGCAGAGAGAAAGGGAGAGAGAGAGAGAGAGAGAGAGAGAGAGAGAGAGAGAGAGAGAGAGAGAGAGAGAGAGAGAGAGAGAGAGAGAGAGAGAAAGCGAGAGAACATGCACAGAGCATTTACCTTTTGGTGTGTGTGACATGTTCTAAGAAATGATGTCCTAAGATTAAAATCCTTCAGTCCTTCACTATTGAATAACATTGAATAGTATGATAATCATACCCAAATCAAGTAGGTTACTGAATAAGTAGTTTTTTTCTCTTTTTTTATCATAAAAACCTAAAAGACATGCAAGCAAAATGAAAATGCTATTCCAGTTGTAAAGGTTAACATATTTATTTCATATTCAGTCATATATACTTTAGTAAAGTACATTTATTCATACAGTAAGTGCTTTTCAAAATGTGTTCAAGTTGCTGTGAAAAATGTAATTATCTGAGTCGACAACAAGGTCATACAAATCCATCTCTGACTTAACCACAATACCACTTTATATATCCGACAACAACTGACTTATTATTAAGACACAGAGAATGCCAGGTGAAATGGGACTGAGTCGTGCCACAGCGTTTATGCGGCCTCAAACATCTTCTTCCTGCCGTCCATGCCGGCCTTGTCATCAATGTTCTTACGCCAGTCACCAACTGCATCTTTGTCCTGTAAGGGTAGAGTGGGTGTTACAGCAGAGAGATCAGGTCAAGAGAGAATCTAAGCTATTTGTTTAGGTCATTTAATTTGAGCTTTAAGGGTTTTGTAAAAAGGAAAGAAGTACATTCAGAGAGTGATATTAGTAAATATGGAGTGATATTAGTACATATGGAGTGATATTAGTAAATATGGAGTGATATTAGTAAATATGGAGTGATATTAGTAAATATGGAGTGATATTAGTAAATATGGAGTGATATTAGTCAATATGGAGTGATATTAGTCAATATGGAGTGATATTAGTAAATATGGAGTGATATTAGTCAATATGGAGTGATATTAGTGCCAAAATAGTTTAATATGACTCAAATTATTTACTTCAAATGTAATGTACTGTACTGATACATAGCGTCGGGAAGTAGGGGTGCTGGAGGTGCTGCTGCACCCTCTGATACATTTAAATACATTTGCCAAAATTATAGGCTCCTGTCTGTACAGAAATAATGAAATCATTCAAATTACTATACCAGAGAGCACATTTTAGCCACAGAGGATCAATAGCTTCTTTAGCTGTGGATTGTGTGGAATCACAAGCGCATACAGTCAGGAAGCCTGCTGCAATTTGGGCAGCACGTGCGGCAAATATCAAACAGCTGATTGTTGAGTTGTGGCTATCAGTGAACAGCAGCTAAAATAGCCTGGCCTTTCGCAATATTTCAAAATACAATCATGGGGAAAAAGTTTGGAAGTCCAATGGATACTGCTAAATAGAGAAGAGTCTAATCTGTCTCTAGTCTGTTGTTAGGCTACCAAAATATTTGATCAACTCCCAATATTGAGCGAACAGCATTGTTTTACAAAGTATCTTTGAGAGATAGGCTATTGGCACGAGTGCATCTGCCATCACCACTGAGTGCACATATACAATATATTCATCATTGGGTGAGTCAGTGCCACTGGAAAGGTTTTTAGAACTATACTTTCATCCTCATATTGTACAATATGGGTGTCTTCCACTCTTTTCGTTGGCCTAGGCTATTGGTTGCATTCAAGACTAGGTCGTTTCTATTGATCTCAGTTTTTCAGGGTCAAAGTACCCTGTCATTACGGTTGTTTCAGGGTCAGAGTACCCTGTCATTACGGTTATTAGTTTGGTAATAAAAAAGATTCTTCAAATGTCTCCAGTCATGTAAAACTATGTAGAATTGCATGAAATGCGTTTTGCAAACTCAAAACATCTTACACCTTCCCGTGGCTATGCACGGATATCGATCCATAGTATTATACCAATTCTCTGCTTTGTAGGTTTCCACACAAATACCCACCTCCTCTTTGACCTCCTTCTTCACTTCTTTCAAGTTGGCTCTGAAATCCATAGACACCTTGTGCTTGGAGCCCAGCAGTGCCTGGAGCATGGAGTCAGCAGACATACGCACTTTCTTCAGAGCTGGCTTCTTCATGCCCTGGAACTCAATCACTTTAATCTTCAAATCCTCAATCTGTGAAGAGAGGAAGTCAGGAAAAAGACAAGATCTGCACTTTTATCTTCAGGTCACCAATGTTAACAAGAGAGAAAATCAACCTCAACTGGCTACAACAGGATTTCATTTGACAGATTAATTAGGGTTTCTGTACCTCTTTGTCACACTTGCCCACTTTGCCTGCCAGCTCGTATCTCTCCTCATCCACCTTATCAATCTGGTGATGAATTGTCTTGCACAGTTCCTGCAGGAGGTTATTAACTAAATGAACCTTTAACAACTAAAGATTGAAATTAAGAACTGAATGTAATATAAACAACCTGCGCTGTGGGGCAACAAAAGTGAATTTCCTGACAATGTAGATTGAAAATCTAGTTTAAGCATTTGTAAACACTGTTGATTTCAACCATTGGTGATACTGTACCTGCAGATCCGCCAATGACCCAGGCATGTCCAATGCGGCGCAGTTCTCATCCATGTACCTTTTTTTCTCTTCCATTGCCTCTATGGCCTCCGCGTCTAGCAAGCCCTTAGCAATCTGGAGCATCACACTCTGGAGAAGGAGAGAGAAGCAGGAATGGTGACACAACTGGATGAAGGTTAACAGGGGAATACACATCACAACACACAAAAACTTTCATTATACTGTCATATTATAATATATTGTGCTCAAGATAAAGTTTAATTACAAAAAATAAAATTCAATGTTACTTGTGACAAATTACCTTCAGATGATGCTTGCGACTCGATGCCATTTTTTTCCTAAAAGAGTTTATCAAAAGATATGTGAATTTCCTAGAAATGTATACATTTCTGATTTAAAAAATAATGTTGGGACATGGGGCACTGGAGAGGTAAAGATGAGTTTCCAAACATTAATAAAAAGGCAATATATTGATATACATGGATGTCCAAGATCCTGAAGTATACATCATAGAGTGAATGCTATATTTCCTTTCCCACGTTGAGCATGTAAAAAAGTATCCTTCTTACCCCACTCTCCCCTAATGGGAGGCTATTCCATAGATGAACACCAATATAAAGGTGATGTTAACATTACATTATCCAGAGCGACTTACAGTTAGTGAATACATTTTTTTATTTTTAATACATTTTTTATACTGGCCCCCCGTGGGAATCAAACCCACAACCCTGGCGTTGCAAACACCATGCTCTATCAACTGAGCTACATCCCTGCCGGCCATTCCCTCCCCTACCCTGGACGACGCTGGGCCAATTGTGCGCCGCCCATGAGTCTCCCGGTCGCAGCCGGCTGAGCCTGCGATGCAGTGCCTTAGACCACTGCGCCACTCAGGAGCTTAATTATTCACACAGGGCAGACAAATATAGTCACTGATATCATAAGAACATATTGGAACTTACTCAGACATCTTGGTCTCTTGTTTGCTTCAGACCCCTTTGGAAAGAAACGACAATACAACAATGTAATAAACTCAACACTTGCAAATATTCATGCACTCTTGACAACCTTTTTTTCATTTGAATAGGATTTGAATACCAATAGCAATATTTTACCAAACAGAATTTACTTGGTTAAGAATGTGCCGTAAGCTCACTCCACAGCTAGCTTGAAATGTCGCCAATGGCGCTATCGAATTAGATCCTTTTCTATAGCACAACTGGTTGGGCGGTCACGTGTGTTTGCGATCAGAGAACCACTAGTTCAAGCCCAGCAAGGGGACAGGGACAGTGAAGCTGTTAGCAGCACACTGACGCCAGTTTCACTCAGAGGGTTAAGATAGTTATCCTTTGGAACCCCTGCTGTGCTCAGGGAAAGGAGCTCATTTCTAAAAGTGTGTCTTCTTGGGATTCTCTTCTGATACTGTCAGTTGTCATCAGCAGGTCAATTATAACGTAACACTTTCTCATGTGCCTCCAAACTGTACTGTACCACAAGACACCACTGAGACAGCCAAGGACGATTTGAAGGAGCTTCATCCCCAACATACAGTATCTCAAATACAGAGCAATTAATAGATTTACAATTACACCAGCACACAATGCAGCCTTCACCAAAAAAAATGCTTGGACAAAATGATGAAGCATGCTACATTTACTTTACAATATTTGTAAGTATCTGCCAGTGACTGAGGATGTGGTCTTGAAAGACATCAGAGGTGATTATGAAAATAGATGACTGGAAGTGAAAAACACTTTCATAACGTTCTCAAAGCACTGGAATCAAGAAACAAATATTCTAAGCTCTTTTTTTTCTGTCAAAATGTGGAGGTACTGTTTGGGGACCAGTTGGAGAGAGCACAGGAAGTGGTCTTTGAAACCTCTCTAATATCTATCAAAAGCTCAGTCACTTGATGTATGTGACAACCCAATACCTATTTGCATTTCAAACAAATCTTTGAAGATCCAACAACAATCAAAATGGAAATGCTAGTAATTATAAAAATACAAAATATCAGTACATTTGTAAACAAAACCAAATGTACTTTGGCATGGTGCACATGACATAAATATATGACAACTGAGGACTCATTAGCAATGTCAAATCTAATTAAATGTATGTCCACTGACGTCAAAGGAGACTGACGAGTATAGGTTTCTAAATTAATTGCTCATGTAGGAGTCTGGTTTCAAAATATTACGTAGCTGGCAATGTCCCCAAGAATTAGACAACATTTGATATATTTAACACTACATTCCAGACTATATTGAACTCAAACAAACGTATTAAACGAGATAAACATGTTTTACCCTGCACATTATTTTTGTTGTAAGATTAATTTAATGAAAATGTTATGACTAAAAGACAAGTGAGCAAAGTCGTTAATGCTCTATAATATGTGTGTTGTGACAGGACTATATCCTCTCCTCAACATGAAAGGTTTGTCACTAGTTACTTTATCATCAAAGCTTTATCTAAACCAATTTTAAACAGTCATTTTGCACACAGAGAGACACCTGGTCTGATCTCACGTGTGCAGCTGATTGTAGGGTTTCCAAACAGAAGAAGGAGTGCTAATCCAGAACAGGAGAGCCAGTGGAGTTGCTGAACTCCTGTGATGCATAACCAAGCTGAGAACAGGGAGCAGATAGAGAGTCAGGATAAACAGGTGAGAGGTTCTCACCTATTAGAGAAAGCTGGCGATCGAGCAGTACACCCGTTTGGGACTGTGACAGGCAACTGAAATGCTATGAGGGTTTTAATGGGATACTGTGATGGGTCAGCAAAACTCTGCATTTCTCTTTATGGAATTGGAATGGAGCCCCGCTCCAGACCAATGGTTCAGCAAGCTGCTGTAACTCTAGCCAAAACCCAACCTCCCTGCTGCCTGCATATAAATAACCAACCCTTCAGGATTGTTATTCTAGTTTTATTGCTTATTTATTTAACCGCCTGTCAATTGCAAGATGAGTTACAAATGTACAGTGCAGACCAAGACTGTATGGCAGAATTGTTCTGCCTACTTGTCCTTGCGTTGATGCTGGACAGTTGGTTCTGGTACTGTCTCCCCTTCTCTGTGGTAGGAGATTATGTACAGATTTAGGATCTTAATTTGAGGCAGTTTGCTACAGCAGAAAAATAATCCTGCAGCAACAGGAAATGTGAATTATTATGTGGATTATAATTAATGGACATATTTGTAGAGGTTGATACATTTTTTGTAAGGGAAAATCAAGTATTTTTAAACCTCAAATACACTATAAGTTTTACATTTCCTGCATTACAGGAAAGTTATCTTGCAACAGGGTGATCAAATGAAGATCCTACATCTGTAGAGGGTGGTCAGGTTGGTGCATGTCAGTGACCAATCTTACTGCTGCTTGATCTCTCTTTGACTGTAGTGGTGGAAGGGTCAGTGGGATATCTCCATTTTTTTTTATTATCTTGCTTGTCCTTTTCTTTATACTGTCCAGTCCAGCTTGCTGCTTCTTTGTGCTACCCACCAGCAACACACTGGCATACTCCAGGCATGGTCGGATCAGAGTGGTGTAGATTTCCAGTTGGAAGGCTGTTTCTTGCCATCACAGTCAGGAAGATGAGATGTGTTGAAGCCTTTTTCACTGCCTGGTCAATATGTTGGTTACCACTGAGTTGTTTGTCCAAGTGGAAGCAAAGGTATTTTGTTCCAACTGGAACAGCCTGTCCACCCAGGATTAGTGGAGCTGGCTGGGGAGGATTTTTAGTTGGACAGACTTCTTTCCATTAAGAAGTGTGTTGTTGTCTGCCGCCCATTCCTCCAGTTACTTCGCCTCCTCTTCCGCTGAGGTGTCATTGTCAATGTTTTCTAGCCTTAAAGAACAGGACAGCCCAAAGATGACTCTCCGAGTGGACATGTGGAGCAGGAAGAGGTAAGGCGAGACAACCCCACCCTGTGGGACCCCAGATGTTACCTCTGCCAATGAGCTGTACATTCCATTTGCCATCCCCCTCTGTGTTCTCCCTGTTGTGTAGCTGTGAAGCCAGGTGAGTAGCCTTGGACACAGACCCAGACTGGACAAATGCTGCAGGAGTTCAGCATGGTCGACACGGTCAAAAGCCTTTGACATGTCTGCCAACAGAACCCAAACCACTGTGGGTTGCTTTGAGTCTGTCTCTGTTAGCAAGGTGTGTGTGACTCTGACCAGCACATTTGTTGTGCTGTGTTTAGGCAAGTATGCATACTGGCTTTTGCATTCCTCAAGAGCAACTAGCATGAGCTTCTTCACAATTAACCTTTCCTGGACTTTGCACAGACAGGATGTAGGATAGATTGGTCTCCAATCATTTTTCTTTCCAGGACTGGGGACCTTAGAAACGGGGCAGATGTTAGCGGTCTTCCACACCGAAGGTACATAGCCCAGTTGATAGGAGGTGTTTACTAAGTGTGTGACCACTGGAGCTTGCCCCCCAATCCCCCCTTCCCCAAAACATGTGTAAATATTGGACTATAAATTGTGCCTTCCTGTATTATACTTATGCTAAATGTTTATTATGTTCTACTGGAGGACAAACTACTCGCCCTCCAGGACACCTACAGCACCCGATGTCACAGGAAGGCCAAAAAGATCATCAAGGACATCAACCACCCGATCCACTGCCTGTTCACCCCGCTATCATCCAGAAGGCGAGGTCAGTACAGGTGCATCAATGCTGGGACCGAGAGACTGAAAAACAGCTTCTATCTCAAGGCCATCAGACTGTTAAATAGCCATCACTAGCACATTAGAGGCTGCTGCTGCCTATAGAAATCACTGTCCACTTTAAGAAATGGAACACTATTTTACTGCACTGTCGGAGCTAGAAGCACAAGCATTTCGCTACACCCGCAATAACATCTGCTAAACATGTGTATGTGACAAATAAAATTTGATTTGATTTGATTTACTTTATGTTCGTATTCTTATCTTTTCTTATTTTTTATCATTTTGAATTGTTGAGAAGGAACCTGCAAGTAAGAATTTCGTTGGATGTTGTATACCACGTGTCCTGTACATACGACTAATAAAATTAAACTGAAACTAGCTAGATCCTCTGCAAATTCCTTTAGTAACCAGGGGGATAACACCTGGACCACATGCTTTCTATTTAATAAGAATAATTTGGTGGGTGCTTATATTTGTCCTATTTCACACATGCAGAGTGTACAGAACATTAAGGACACCTGCTATTTCCATGACACAGACTGACAAGGTGAATCCAGGTGAAAGCTTTGATCCCTTATTGATGTCACTTGTAAAATCAACTTCAATCAGTGTAGATGAAGGGGAGGAGACAGGTTAATTAAAGAAGGAATTTTAAGCCTTGAGACAATTGAGACATGGATTGTGTATGTGTGCCATTCAGAGCGTAAATTGGCAAGACAAAATATTTAAGTGCCTTTGAACGGGGTATGGTAGTAGGTGCCAGGTGCACCGGTTTGAGTGTGTCAAGAACTGCAATGCTGCAGGGTTTTTCACGGTTAACAGTTTCCCGTGTGTATCAAGAATGGTCCACCACCCAAAGGACATCCAACCAACTTGACACAACTGTGGGAATCATTGGAGTCAACATGGGCCGGCATCCCTGTGGAACGCCTTGTAAAGTCCATGCCCCGACTAATTGAGACTGTTCTGAGGGCAAAAAGGGAAGGTGTTCTTAATGTTTTGTACACTCAGTGTACAAGTGTGTGTTATACACGTGTGAATTTGAAACATGTTTTTTTGCATATCCTAACACCCTTTTCACGGCCACTGAGTCTTAAAAGAGCTTGTTAAATTTTTCTGAATATAATATGCATGTAAACTGTGGTAGTGGAAGAATAAATACAAATCCTCAATAAAAATACACTTACCACGGAAGCATCAATAAGACTCCATCTGATGTTTAAGTGAATATTTATCTGTTGAGAGTAGGAAAGTAATACATTACAGTAAATGCAAATTGTAAACAGGAAAGATAATTTGAAACAATTGAACTAATTTTTTTTTAAATAAAATTGCTTAGTCAATTTGTTACATTTGTAACAAGTTAACAATGAAATAATACACTTGCTTTTACTGTAATACAAAAGGGAAAAATAAAAAATAACGAAGTAACTCACCTTAATTTCAGTGACAACGACAGACCCCAAAAAGACTGCGGAAGAAATAGTTGAGCCCAATTGTTGTTTTTTTAGGTAAAAAACCCCAACTTATATTAACCTAACTATTGAATGAATAACTCTTAAAAAAATATATAAAATCTATAAAACAAATATCATGATTTTACTTAACATAAAGTTTTCTTTATCCAACAGTAAATTAAGAATGTTCCAGATAATGTTGTATAACATGACAGAAAGCATTGATTTCAAAACCTCTAGAAACGTGTTACTGTACATGCTGCTCAATTTAGACTAGATAATCGAAGACGAGTATTAAAGAGATTGAACGGGATCTTAAGATTATTATTTTTATTATTTTTTTGGGAGGACGTAACATATCATACAAAATGGATGATGTCGTACACAATTGTGCACAATTTTCGGGAGCTCGTTTGGACTTTTATTATACAAAACCTTTAACTATAGGAGTGATCTGCATGTGTGACTATATGATATGGGCAACTCAGCACTCTAGTCTAGAACATTACCAAGGATCCACTCTATACGGTAACAGTACAGGATAGCGGTTGCAAGATTTACACGTTTTGTTCTCTTAGTGTATCAGCATGACAAAATATAAATATTTGAAATGAAGAATGATTTCCTTAAGCCAATTTAAAGTTTGTCACTGTACAGCAGGCTACTCTACTACAGGGAGTAAAGCAGTAAACCAAGAGTCAGACCATTACACACATCTTCCTAAGACTTTCTTACTTTCTGCTTCTGTTTCCTTCTGTTTCTTTCTGTGTCTTCGAAATAAATAAAGATGTGTCACATAGTTACGATATTGGTTGTAATGGGTATCAATCAGAATGTGGTTGTCAGTACGACATTACAGGACAGTAGTCAGTCACATCATACAAACACAGCCCAATGATCTAATTATCTCCCTCAAACATCTTCTTCCTGCCGTCCATGCCGGCCTTGTCGTCAATGTTCTTACGCCAGTCACCAACGTCACGCAAGTCCTTATCCTGTGATGGTAGAAAGGGTGAGAAGACAATGAAGTGTAGAATATCAAGGCCTAAAGTTCGTTCAACATTAACAATGTCTCACGATACAATATCTCTATAATATCTATATCTCTATGTTAACCTAATGGACCCACCTCTTTCTTCTCATCTTTCTTCACTTGTTTCAGGTTGGATCTCAAATCCATGGTCACCTTGTGCTTGGAGCCAAGCAGAGCCTGGAGCATAGCATCAGCAGACATACGCACTTTCTTCAGTGCTGGCTTCTTAAACTTGCCCCTCAGGTCAACAATTTTGATGTTTAGGTCTTTAACCTAGCGGGTGGAATTTTGGAACAAGAAAATCAGTGATTCAGGTGGGCTTAACAGAGGAAACAAATACATATAATATATATTTATCATATACCATACGTATATACCAACAATACTGGTATATATACAGTACCAGTCAAAAGTTTGGACACACCTACTCATTCAACGTTTTTTCTTAATTTTTACATTGTAGAATAATAGTGAAGACATCAGAACTATGAAATAACACATATGGAATCATGTAGTAACCAAAAAAGTGTTAAACAAATATATTTTATATTTTAGATTCTTCAAAGTAGCCACGCTTTGCCTTGATGACAGCTTTGCACACTCTTGGCATTCTCTCAACCAGCTTCACCTGGAATGCTTTTCCAACGGTCTTGAAGGAGTTCCTACATATGCTGAGCACTTGCTGGCTGCTTTTCCTTCACTCTGTGGTCCAACTCATCCCAAACCATCTCAATTGGGTTGAGGTCGGGTGATTTTGGAGGCCAGGTCATCTGATGCAGCACTCCATCACTCTCCTTCTTGGTCAAATAGCACTTACGCAGCCTGGAGGTGTATTGGGTCATTGTCCTGTTGAAAAACAAATGATAGTCCCACTAAGCGTAAACCAGATGGGATGGCGTACACTGCAGAATGCTGTGGTAGCCATGCTGGTTAAGTGTGCCTTGAATTCTAAATAAATCACTGACAGTGTCACCAGCAATGCACTCCCAAACCATCACACCTCCTCCATGCTTCACGGTGGGAACCACACATGTGGAGATCATCCGCTCACCTACTCTGCGTCTCAAAAAGACACGGCGGTTGGAACCAAAAATCTTAAATTTGGACTCATCAGACCAAAGGACATATTTCCACCGGTGTAATGTCCATTGCTCGTGTTTCTTGGCCCAAGCAAGTCTCTTCTTTTTATTGGTGTCCTTTAGTAGTGGTTTCTTTGCAGCAATTCTGCAGCAGAGGTAACTGTCACGGTTTCGGCCGAGGCTGCTCCTCCTCCTGGTTCGGGCAGGCTTCGGCGTTCGCCGTCCCCGGAGTACTAGCTGCCACCGCTCTATGTTTCTGTGTTTGATTGCTTTTGTCTGTCTGTCACACCTGTGTCTGTTTGGGAGTTGATTACGTGTCTTATAAGTTCCGTGTTGTGATCTAGGGTATTTGTGTGTTGTTATTCTGTTGCCACTGTGTCTATGATACATGTTTGTTTTCCGTGTCATGTTTTCATGTTTAGTGTTTTACGCGTGTGCGTAATTTTCCCTCGCCACTTCGTGTTTTCGAGGTCGGGGTTTTGTTCTCGTGTTATTGAGACTATTAAAAGTCTTGTTGGACTAAACCTCTGTTTCCTGCGCTTGACTCCTCCACCACATCCACGACGGAATAGTGACAGAACAACACACCATCATGGAGTCAGCAGGAACAGCGGCGGCACCCGAATCCCTGCTGGACCGGATCAACTTCCAGGACGCCATGATCCGGCAACTCGGGACCGCCATGGACGAGGTGTCCAACACTCTGCGCCGATTGGTGAACCCTGAGGTGGCCAAGGACCCTTACAACATCGCAGCACCAACGGCCAGTCCTCCTCTCTCAGCACCGGAACCCAGTGGCATTCGGCTCTCACTCCCGAGGGCATATGACGGTTCTGCAGCCGGGTGTCAGGGATTCCTCCTGCAGGTAGAACTTTACCTTGCCACCATACACCCGGCGCCCTCGGGATACGAGAGCGTCTCCGCCCTCATCTCCTGTCTCTCCGGAGTGGGCCAACGCCGAATGGAGGGGAATAGACGCCGCAACCATCACCTACGCGGAGTTCTCCCGCCGCTTCAGGGCTGTCTTCGATCATCCCCCTGAGGGGAAAGCGGCGGGAGAGCGTCTATTCCACCTCCGACAGGGGAAGAGGAGCGCACAGGAGTTCGCACTGGAGTTCCGGACACTAGCGGCGGATGCGGGGTGGAATGAGAGGGCCCTCATCGACCAGTACCGGTGTAGTCTACGAGAGGACGTTCGTCGGGAGCTGGCCTGCAGGGACACCAACCTGTCGTTTGACCAGTTGGTGGACATTTCCATCCGTCTGGATACCCTGCTGGCTACCCGCGGACGTCCCGAGTGGGGGTCGTCCAGTCCACCCTCCAGCACCCCCGAGCCGATTCCCATGGAGCTAGGGGGTGCTGGCGCTAGAGAGAGGAGGAGAGGGAACCCGAGGGGGGCCATCCCCTGCACCACCTGCGGTCGTGGAGGACACACTGCGGCCAGGTGCTGGGGAGGGTCTCCTGGGAGAGGTGACAACAGGCCACGCACTGGGGAGTCATTTCAGGTGAGTAGGCGCCCCACTCACCTAGAGCTCTCTGTTGGTCACATGAGTATTCCTGTGAGGTTTCCACAGGTGGCACCTCATTCCCAGCATAAGGCGCTAGTAGATTCAGGCGCAGCTGGGAACTTTATTGATCGGGCATTTTGTAGTAGGTTAGGGATTCCCCTTTGGCCGGTAGACGATCCATTTCCTGTCCACGCATTAGACAGCCGGCCGTTGGGGTCGGGCCTGATCAGGGAGGTCACAGCACCACTGACGATGACGACGCAGGGGGGTCATGAGGAGATCATTCAGTTTTATCTGATTGACTCTCCTGCGTACCCCGTGGTGTTGGGCCTTCCCTGGTTAAGCATCCATGATCCTACCATAGCGTGGCAACAGAGGGCTCTTATGGAGTGGTCTGCTCAGTGTGTAGGGAGATGTCTAGGTGTTTCCGTAGGGGCGACCTCGGTAGAGAGTCCGAACCAAGTGCCCGCACTGCGCATTCCCCCCGAGTATGAGGATTTAGCACTCGTGTTTAGCAAATCGAGGGCAACACGGCTACCTCCTCATAGACAGGGGGACTGTGCGATAAATCTCCAAACAGGAGCGGCTCTTCCACGGAGTCATGTGTATCCCCTGTCTCAAGAGGAGACAGCGGCTATGGAGACATACATAGCCGAGTCCTTGGCACAGGGATACATACGGTCCTCTACTTCCCCAGTCTCCTCGAGTTTCTTCTTTGTGAAGAAGAAGGACGGGGGATTGCGCCCGTGTATTGATTATCGTAGTCTCAATCAGATCACAGTTAAATACAGCTACCCACTTCCACTGATTGCGACGATGACGGAATCATTACGCGGAGCGCGGTTCTTCACAAAGTTGGATCTCAGGAGCGCATACAATCTGGTGCGCATTAGGGAGGGGGATGAATGGAAGACAGCATTTAGCACCACCTCGGGTCATTACGAGTATCTCGTCATGCCATACGGGTTAATGAATGCTCCGTCAGTCTTCCAATCCTTTGTTGACGAGATTTTCCGGGACATGCATGGGCAGGGGGTAGTAGTTTACATCGACGACATCCTAGTGTACTCTGCTACTCGAGCCGAGCATGTAGCCCAGGTGCGCCGAGTGTTGAGAAGACAGTTTGAGCATGACTTGTATGTCAAGGCAGAGAAATGCCTGTTCTTCCAGGAGTCCGTCTCCTTTTTGGGTTATCGGTTGTCCGCGTCTGGTGTGGAGATAGAGGTAGACCGGGTATCGGCCGTGTGTAATTGGCAAACTCCAACCACTGTAAAAGAGGTGCAGCAGTTCTTGGGTTTTGCTAATTACTACCGGAGGTTTATTCTGGGTTTTGGACAGGTTGCAGCTCCCATTACGTCCCTGCTAAAGGGGGGTCCGGTTCGTTTGCGGTGGTCGGCTGAGGCGGACAGGGCATTTGTCAAACTTAAGAACCTGTTCACCTCGGCTCCGGTGCTGGCGCATCCGGATCCCTCTTTACCATTCCAGGTTGAGGTAGACGCGTCCGAGACCGGTATTGGGGCAGTCCTGTCACAACGGTCCGGCGCGCCACCTAAACTCCGCCCCTGTGCTTTCTACTCGAAGAAGCTCAGCTCGGCGGAGAGCAACTATGATGTTGGGGACAGGGAGCTGTTAGCCGTAGTCCAAGCCCTAAAGGTGTGGAGGCATTGGCTTGAGGGGGCTCAACACCCTTTCCTCATTCTGACTGATCACCGTAACCTGGAGTACATCCGGGCAGCTAGGAGATTGAACCCTCGTCAGGCTAGGTGGAATATGTTCCTAACTCGGTTTGTTTTTAAGATCACATACATCCCAGGGTCCCAGAATGGTAAGGCAGACGCCCTGTCCCGGCGGTATGACACGGAGGAGAGGTCCAACGAGCCTACTTCCATATTGCCGGAATCTTGTTTGGTGGCTCCGGTAGTATGGGAGGTCGATACGGAAATCGAGCGGGCACTGCGTACCGACCCTACTCCCCCCGAGTGTCCTATGGGGCGGACGTACGTTCTGCTCGAGGTCCGTGATCGTCTTATTTATTGGGCTCATACATCACCCTCCTCTGGACATCCAGGTATTGGCCGGACCGTGCACTGTCTTAGCATGAAATACTGGTGGCCAACGTTAGCTAGGGATGTGAGGGTTTATGTCTCCTCCTGCTCGGTGTGTGCCCAGTGTAAGGCGCCTAGACATTTGCCCAGGGGTAAGCTACATCCCCTGCCCGTTCCACAACGACCATGGTCCCACCTATCGGTGGATTTCGTAACTGACCTACCCCCCTCCCAGGGGAATACCACCATATTGGTCGTTGTGGATCGGTTTTCCAAGGCCTGTCGTCTCCTTCCCATGCCGGGTCTCCCTACTGCCCTACAAACCGCTGAGGCCCTATTTACCCATGTGTTCCGGCACTATGGGGTCCCCGAGGATATTGTGTCTGACCGAGGTCCCCAGTTCACTTCCAGAGTTTGGGGAGCGTTCATGGAACGGTTGGGGGTCTCGGTAAGCCTTACCTCGGGGTACCACCCAGAGAGTAATGGGCAGGTGGAACGTGTCAACCAGGATGTGGGTAGGTTCTTGAGGTCCTATTGCCGGGACCGGCCGGAGGAGTGGTCGAGGTTCATCCCCTGGGCAGAGATGGCCCAGAACTCTCTCCGCCACTCCTCCACCAACTTAACACCTTTCCAGTGTGTTTTAGGTTATCAGCCGGTCCTGGCACCGTGGCACGAGAGCCAGATCGAGGCCCCTGCGGTGGACGAGTGGATTCGGCGCTCGGAAGAGACGTGGGACGCTGCCCATGTCCATCTGCAGCGTGCCATCCGTCAACAAAAGGCGAGCGCCGATCGCCACCGCAGTGAGGGACCGGTGTACGCACCGGGAGATCGAGTCTGGCTCTCGACTCGAAACCTGCCCCTCCGCCTGCCCTGCCGGAAGCTGGGTCGGCGGTTTGTGGGGCCCTTCAAAGTCCTGAGAAGATTGAACGAGGTGTGTTACAGGTTACAACTGCCAATTGAGTATAAAAATATTAACCCCTCGTTCCATGTGTCTCTTCTCAGGCCGGTGGTAGCTGGCCCACTCCAAGAAGATGAGATAGGAGAGACCCCTCCGCCCCCTTTGGACATCGAGGGGGTCCCGGCGTACAGGGTCCGGACCATCTTGGACTCGAGGCGCCGGAGGCGTGGTCTCCAGTATCTCGTGGAGTGGGAAGGGTACGGTCCGGAGGAACGGTGCTGGGTGCCCAGGAGGGACATACTCGATCCATCCCTCCTGACTGAGTTTCACCATGGGCATCCCACGCGCCCGGGTCCGTGTCCTCCTGGCCGTCCCCGAGGCCGGGGTCGGCGCGCGGCTGGAGCCGCGCGTCAAGTGGGGGGTACTGTCACGGTTTCGGTCGAGGCTGCTCCTCCTCCTGGTTCGGGCAGGCTTCGGCGTTCGCCGTCCCCGGAGTACTAGCTGCCACCGCTCTATGTTTCTGTGTTTGATTGCTTTTGTCTGTCTGTCACACCTGTGTCTGTTTGGGAGTTGATTACGTGTCTTATAAGTTCCGTGTTGTGATCTAGGGTATTTGTGTGTTGTTATTCTGTTGCCACTGTGTCTATGATACGTGTTTGTTTTCCGTGTCATGTTTTCATGTTTAGTGTTTTACGCGTGTGCGTAATTTTCCCTCGCCACTTCGTGTTTTCGAGGTCGGGGTTTTGTTCTCGTGTTATTGAGACTATTAAAAGTCTTGTTGGACTAAACCTCTGTTTCCTGCGCTTGACTCCTCCACCACATCCACGACGGAATAGTGAGAGTAACTCTGGGTCTTCCTTTCCTGTGGCGGTCCTCATGAGAGCCAGTTTCATCATAGCGCTTGATGGTTTTTGCGACTGCACTTTAAGAAATTCTCAAAGATTGACTGACCTTCATGTCTTAAAGCAATGATGGACTGTCGTTTCTCTTTGCTTATTTGAGCTGTTCTTGCCATAAAATGGACTTGGTCTTTTACCAAATAGGGCTATCTTCTGCATACCACCCCTACCTTGTCACAACACAACTGATTGGCTCAAACGCATTAATTCCACACATTTTTTAACAAGGCACACCTGTTAATTGAAATGCATTCCAGGCGACTACCTCATGAATCTGGTTGAGAGAATGCCAAGAGTGTGCAAAGCTGTCATCAAGGCAAAGGGTGGCTACTTTGAAGAATCTCAAATGTAAAATATATTTTGATTTGTTGAACACTGTCACGTATACTCCCTTTGGCGTTCATTATTACACACACCTGTCGCCATCGTTACAAGCTCCTGCACCTCATGGGACTCACCTGGAATCCATCACCTTCCTGATTACCTCCCCTATATATGTCACTCCCTTTGGTTCCTTCCCCAGGCGTTATTGACCCTGTTTTTATGTTTCATGTCTGTACGCTACTCGTGTTTCTTGTTTTGTTCCTGGTTTCATTTATGATTAAATTCACTCCCTGTACTTGCTTCCCGACTCCCAGCGTACACGTTACAAACACTTTTTTGGTTACTACATGATTCCATATGTGTTATTTCATAGTTTTGATGTCTTCACTATTATTCTACAATGTAGAAAATAGTAAAGATAAAGTAAAACCCTGGAATGAGTAGGTGTGTCCAAACATTTGACTGGTACTGAATATATATATTGTATATACAGTATCTCACAAAAGTGAGTACACCCCTCACATTTTTGTAAATATTTGAGTATATCTTTTCATGTGACAACACTGAAGAAATGACACTTTGCTACAATGTAAAGTAGTGAGTGTACAGCTTGTATAACAGTGTACATTTGCTGTCCCCTCAAAATAACTCAACATACAGCCATTAATGTCTAAACCGCTGGCAACAAAAGTGAGTACACACCTAAGTGAAAATGTCCAAATTGGGCCCAATTAGCCATTTTCCCTCCACAGTGTCATGTGACTCGTTAGTGTTACAAGGTCTCAGGGGTGAATGGGGAGCAGGTGTGTTAAATTTGGTGTCATCGCTCTCACACTCCCTCATACTGGTCACTGGAAGTTCAACATGGCACCTTATGGCAAAGAACTCTCTGAGGATCTGAAAAAAAGAATTGTTGCTCTACATAAAGATGGCCTGGGCTATAAGAAGATTGCCAAGACCCTGAAACTGAGCTGCAGCACGGTGGCCAAGACCATACAGCGGTTTAACAGGACAGCGGTTTAGACATTAATGGCTGTGTGTTGTGTTATTTTGAGGGGACAGCAAATTTACACTGTTATACAAGCTGTACACTCACTACTTTACATTGTGGCAAAGTGTCATTTCTTCAGTGTTGTCACATGAAAAGATATACTCAAATAATTACAAAAATGTGAGGGGTGTACTCACTTTTGTGAGATACTACATAGTGCCTTCAGAAAGTATTCACAACCCTTGACTTTTTCCAAATGTTGTTTTGTTACAGCCTGAATGTAAAATTCCTTAAATGTAGTGTTTTTTTTCAACACACAATACCCCATAATGTCAAATTTTTTACAAATTAATTAGAAAATGAAAAGCTGAAATGTCTCGAGTCAATAAGTATTCAACCCCTTTGTTATGGCAAGCCTTAACAAGTCACATACTAAGTTGATTGGACTCACTCTGTGTGCAGTAATAGTGTTTAATATGATTTTTGAATGACTACCTCATCTCTATACCCCACACATACAATTATCTGTAAGGTCCCTCTGTCGAGCAGTGAATTTCAAACACAGATTCAGCCACAAGACCAGGGAGGTATTCCAATGTCTCGCAAAGAAGGGCACCTATTGGTAGATGGGTAAAAAAAAAGCAGACATTGAATATCCCTTCGATCATGTTGAAGTTATTAATTTCACTTTGGATGGTGTATAAATGCACACAGTCACTACAAAGATACAGGTGTCCTTCCTAACTCAGTTGCCGGAGAGGAAGGAAACCGCTCAGGGATTTCACCATGAGGCCAATGGTGACTTTAAAACCATTACAGAGTTTAATGGCTGTGATAGGAGGAAACTGAGGATGGATCAACAACATTGTAGTTACTCCACAAAACTAACCTTATTGACAGAGTGACAATAAGGAAGCCTGTAAAGAATACAAATATTCCAAAACATGCATCCTAAAGTAATACTGCAAAACATTTGGCAAAGCAATTAACTTTTTGTCCTGAATACGAAGTGTTATGTTTGGGGCAAATCCAATACTACACATTAATGAGTACCACTCTCCATATTTTCAAGCATAGTGGTGGCTGCATTATGTTATGGGTATGCTTGTAATCGTTAAGGACTGGGCAGTTTTTCAGAATAAAAATGAAATGGAATGGAGCTAAGCACAGGCAAAATCCTAGAGGAAAACCTGGTTCCGTGTGTTTTCCTCCAGACACTGGGAGATTGATTCACCTTTCAGCAGGACAACAACCTAAAACACAAAGCCAAATCTATACTGGAGTTGCTTACCAAGAAGACAGTGAATATTACTGAGTGGTCGAGTTACAGTTTAGACTTAAATCTACTAGAAGAACTGAAAATGGTTGTCTAGTAATGATCAACAACCAATTTGACAGAGCTTGAATAATTTTGAAAAGAATAATGGGCAAATGTTGCACAATCCAGGTGTGGAAAGCTCTTAGAGACTTATCCAGAAAGACTCACAGCTGTAATCACTGCCAAAGGTGCTTTACAAAGTATTGACTCAGGGGTGTGAAAACTAATGTGAATGAGATCTTTTCAATTTGTCATTATGGGGTATTGTGTGTAGATAGGTGAGAAACAAAATCTACTTAATACATTTTGAATTCAGGCTGTAACACAACAAAATGTGGAATAAGTCTTTCTGAAGGCACCTTATATTTATATTGAAACATAATGTTTTTTTAGGAACAGACAAGAAGGTTGCTTACCTCATTGCAAACCATGATCGCTTTATATTCTAAGTTGTATCTCTCCTCATCAACCACATTAACTTTGTCGTACATCTTTTTGCAAAGCTCCTAATGAAAGAATGCAACAAAGGAACATTTAACTGTCTTCATATAATACCTAATAGTATGCCTGAACTTACTTAGTACAGCTGAACCTGATAGAAGCACAACTCATACAACACACTGTATCAAGCAGGTATGATATGTTTTCATAATGTCTGTCTTTGAATATCTGAATATCATACCATCAAATCATCCTTGGAGTGGGGCATCTCCAGAGGAGGGCAGTTCTCTTCCATGTATCTCTCCCTCTCTTTAGTTTTTTCTAATGCTTCAGCTTCAAGCCAATCCTTAGCAACTGCCAGCATACAACTCTGGAGACAAATTATGACAGTTGATAAGACAATTGACCTATATGTCCCTTTGCTTTACTACTTTTTAAAAGTATGTTATATTATGATTTTTATACATTATTAAATGTTTTATTCTACGTAAAACATTAAAGGAAGGGCTGTGTGGGATTCCTTACCTTCAGAGTGTGCTTACGGCTTGAGGACACGTTGCCTTTCTTGCTATTGGACCAAGGAAATAAATCAGGTGAAGTACAACTACCTAAACACTTGAAACACAGCATGTAAACAATGTATTGGCCTATACTTACTCTGCCATCTTGGCTGTTTGGTGTCTTCACTTCCTAGAAATGCAAAACAATAGTAATCATGAAATATGTACTTATAACAGCCAACATTTTACCAAAAATACTGGTATATCCTCCATCAACTATACCAATCACAAAACTATACCAGTAAGATTACTGATACTGTTCTATAGGCTAAGGTACATGGAGAATGCTAGACCGGTCAATACAAAAAAAGTAGTCAAAGTCTGCAAACATGTATATATTTTTTAAGCACATTGAATAAGAGCACTCTAGGCTGTTTCTAATTTGTGTTATTGAGTCTGTCCCCGCTCTCCCCTACTTCCAACGGGGGTCTTCTTAATTGTTTTTGTAAATGAGACAAGTGATAAGAATACATTCCGAATTCCTTAATCTCAGTCGACTCTGGGTATCGTTTCCCTGGAGATGGGGAAGTTATCTTGAGTTGAGGAGAACTAAATTGGGCACAGATCTTGTATTAAATGGCTCTGTGTTATGGTAGGCTTGTCTCCAAGAGGTCACAGTAACCAAACACTGCAGCTGGTGGTACCAGCCCTGCCACCAGCCCTGCCATTGCCTTCTAGAACATTCCTTAGATGACCAAGACGTTAGGCCACGTCTCAAAAATAACTGCTGCTGCTCTATCAGGTCAGTTCAGTGTACTCACTCAACTGTCTCCATTCTCCATGATTACCTACACTGAATAAATGTATTATCAAAATGAGTTTATTAGCATATGTATTTTTCTATCCGGGGTGATTATTGTTCAGATTCAAGTGCAATAAACCAATGCCATGAATGTCCAACAATACTGTTTAAAGCAGTAAAGTTCTGAAGAACTCCCGTCCTTCATACTTGCAGAAGAGAGGGAACTTCACAGAGCTGCAGACTAATTAATTGTAATTGAAATAGTATCACCCCAGCTTCCATAAGCTCAACTAAATAGGCATATAGGTATTTACAGTACAGCAACTCTTGTGAACTGACATGCAGGGATAGAAATTAAGCTAGACCGTGGCTAGTACTTTTCACACCGGGTTAGTTGAAAATTTACCCAACTAGCCTGCCGGCTAGTGATATTTTGTCTTTTCAAACATCACATGGCACAGATTCTGGACCCGGGCTATTAAAAATGTCAGTCTATTAGCCTGGCTGGCAAGTGCCCAAAATCTCTAAGTTCCAACCCAGTTGACATGTCAGCTGTTCAACTTGCCCTGGCTTGGGGTCGTCTATTACCAAAAATGTATCCTCACTATGCCCATGAACTCAAGTACAGTAACTCAAGTACTTTGGTCACATCCAAAATCAAAACGCAGCACTTTTTTTGCGGATCTGAAAATGTATAAAAGTGGAGCAAATAACGGTAAATGAGGTAATATATAGAAATGTATACGTCCAGATTGCGAATGAGATGATGTATCAGAGATGTCTATTATGTTGTAACAGGCTGTGTAGGTACAGTGGGGGAAAAAAGTATTTAGTCAGCCACCAGTTGTGCATGTTCTCCCACTTAAAAAGATTAGAGAGGCCTGTAATTTTCATCATAGGTACACGCCAACTATGACAGACAAAAAAAAAAATTCTCTGTCCTCCACTCGTTACCTGTATTAATGGCACCTGTTTGAACTTGTTATCAGTATAAAAGACACCTGTCCACAACCTCAAACAGTCACACTCCAAACTCCACTATGGCCAAGACCAAAGAGCTGTCAAAGGACACCAGAAACAAAATTATAGACCTGCACCAGGCTGGGAAGATTGAATCTGCAATAGGTAAGCAGCTTGGTTTGAAGAAATCAACTGTGGGAGCAATTATTAGGAAATGGAAGACATACAAGACCACTGATAATCTCCCTCGATCTGGGGCTCCACGCAAGATCTCACCCCGTGGGGTCAAAATGATCACAAGAACGGTGAGCAAAAATCCCAGAACCACACGGGGGGACCTAGTGAATGACCTGCAGAGAGCTGGGACCAAAGTAACAAAGCCTACCATCAGTAACACACTACGCCGCCAGGGACTCAAATCCTGTAGTGCCAGACGTGTCCCCCTGCTTAAGCCAGTACATGTCCAGGCCCGTCTGAAGTTTGCTAGAGTGCATTTGGATGATCCAGAAGAGGATTGGGAGAATGTCATATGGTCAGATGAAACCAAAATGTATCGTGAGATTTTGAGTGAAAACCTCCTTGCATCAGCAAGGGCATTGAAGATGAAACGTGGCTGGGTCTTTCAGCATGACAATGATCCCAAACACACCGCCCGGGCAACGAAGGAGTGGCTTCGTAAGAAGCATTTCAAGGTCCTGGAGTGGCCTAGCCAGTCTCCAGATCTCAACCCCATAGAAAATCTATGGAGGGTGTTGAAAGTCCGTGTTGCCCAGCGACAGCCCCAAAACATCACTGCTCTAGAGGAGATCTGCATGGAGGAATGGGCCAAAATACCAGCAACAGTGTGTGAAAACCTTGTGAAGACTTACAGAAAACGTTTGACCTGTGTCATTGCCAACAAAGGGTATATAACAAAGTATTGAGAAACTTTTGTTATTGACCAAATACTTATTTTCCACCATAATTTGCAAATAAATTCATTAAAAATCCTACAATGTGATTTTCTGGATTTTTTTTTCTCATTTTGTCTGTCATAGTTGACGTGTACCTATGATGAAAATTACAGGCCTCTCTCATCTTTTTAAGTGGGAGAACTTGCACAATTGGTGGCTGACTAAATACTTTTTTTCCCCACTGTATGTCTAAAATATGGTGTTGACAGGAAGGAAAACATTTGACGATCGCTTTCAGATTTATGTCTTGTGGTGGTGTACCCTTTCAGCATGTCACATCATCAGTCCATATTCATCAATCATTTACCACCCCATGGATAATTATACGGTCTGCTCACTAAAACACATTCAATACACTACTGGTACCTGAAAAACGTTTCTTATGCAAATGCTACTATTGAAAGGTTACAAATTAAGATACACCAACAAAATCAATCAATAAATATTGTACAGAACAAATAAAATATCTATAAAATGTATTGAAATAAATCAAGTAATTGAATAATTGATTTATGCTCTTTAAAACGTTTATGTCAATATTTTTTAAATTATATATCACTTGAGTCATTTAAACATTAGTGACAGACATTAAATGTATTTGAGTAAGAATAAGATGTCATATAAAGAAAGCATTACTACATGAAGCAACAATCCAAACACGTCAGTGTATGATTACAGGAAAGACATTTAACACTCTTGGACTAGAGCCAACGATAACAACCAAACACAAAGTAGTAATTAGCTACAATGCAATACAATTGCAATACACAATACAATTCACATACATTTCACAAACTAAAATGCATTTCACATGCTAAAATCTTTATAGAAACAATCTTATTTTCCTCAACCAACAGCCAAGTGATGACATTAAATAGGCACATCACTATAAATCTGCAATTACTCAATGAATAAGTTAGCGCAAAGACCACAATACTGCTGTATACTATATCAAGAAAAATTTAGTTTATCCGAAAACTAAAACCTGAGTAAAATCTTAATAAATCTTCTCTCCTTCAGATAGTGTCTAACTAGTTAGAAGTACAGAACAGAGACGGACATACTGTAAGGATTGGTTCTCACCTCGGGACTAAGGAGAGCAGCACAGGCTTGTTAAGGGATCCCCAACTGACTGACTGATCGCAGGCAGCTCAAGTATTAAGAAGGTATATATTGCATTTTCTGATCTCTCTCTATAATCCTCCATTTCTCTTTATGGAAGCGGATTACAGACCAAACCAATGGGCTGACAAGGTCATGAAATAGAGTACAGTGTTTCCCTGTTCCCTCCCCTCCCCCAGTCTCTAGTATAAATAACACGTCCTTCAAGATAGTTGTTCTTATTTCATCATCTTTTATTTAGCATATGCCATCACCCATAAGGAGCATGCATGGCCAGTACTCAGAACTTTAAAGGCCACTCACACCAACAGTAATAGAGAATGCTATAATTCACACATTTTCAGAAGGCCAGACATGCAACTGGCACCCATGTTGTTTATCGTAAAAGGATGCCAAACTATTAAACTGGTCGTACCTCGGAGGCATCATGTGTTTGAGATGTATGTCCGTGGCTTCTGAGGCACCCAAAGGACCTGATGACAGTTCTGTCACGTTCAGATCTCCCACTGAAAGACAAGTAAGATGGACAAGGATGGTTCATGGATATCTTTTTCTCTACTAACTCAATTTTTCACTGTGGATGAAAGAATGAACCTGAAAACATCTTGAGTGTTACTTGAAACCATCCATCAATGCATCCTAATTACTAACATTTGTAATCAGTTCTCATATATTTAATCAATTAACAGAGCCATGGCCAGGCAGTAAGCCTGCCTCACTTACCCCACTTCTCAAGAAGAGTTCTTCTCCTCTGCACCACCTGACAACATCTCTTCATATCCAATAAGTGGCTACCCAGGCAACAACCAATAGTGCTCTACTTGTTTCTTAACTACTGTTTGCTATCAACTGATACTGTACCTCTAGCAAACCAGGACATACAATTAGCCTAACTTCTACCCACTGGGAACACACTGGTTGAATCAACATTGTTTCAATTAAATTACGTTGAACTAACGTGGAATAGACGTTCAATTGACGTCCGTGCCCAGTGGGTAAGGTCAGAATGTGCTATTACTGACGGTTTAACCGTGGTCAGGTCACATTATATCTGTCAGTCAGGTTGTAAATCACTGGCTGGCAATTCCTGTAGAGGACTTGTGAATATGATTCAAGAGTGATAGACGTTGGTGGCACTTGACTCCATATCATGTGACACCACTGTGCCTATCATACTGCACAGTCTAGTCAGGCTAACATGTAAGCCAATTGTGTCTATGGTAACATCAGGAAAAACTAAAGAAGATAAAAACTGGCAGAAAATATGATTGTCATATATATTTGAACTAACAAACATAACCTGACACATGTTCTAGACTAGAGGTACATTTAGACAAGACATAGACAAAATATAGACCTGATCACACAGGGACAAGAAATTGCGGCAATCTGAAAAGCATTTATTAACGCACGTTTCTTTTCCACTCAAAACATTTAATTGTCCTTTTGTTTTACAGAAACATACACTGGTTCAAATGATACCATAGTGGTCAATAAGACAAACGTTCAAAAAATAGAGTTTTGTGTTGCTTAGCAGGGTCTATACACTGTAACAATTAGGGGTTCAACAAGGGTTCGTCTAAGATCCTCAAAGTTCTTCGAAGAACCTTAGCATTTTTGGCACTGAAAATTGCCCCCAAAAGGTTCTTCCAAGAACCTCATAGGAGGTGGGGTTCATCAAGGAACCTCCTTAGTTGGTGGGGGTTCTTGCAGGAACCTAACTGCCCAACTGAAACATTTGGATTTGAATTTGAAAGGACAGCAGGTGCATGCATTTAACTGAAAAATATAAAGATCTTCTCAATTTAAGGTAAGGTTTGTCCCTTGTATTATCTAAATTGATATTGGTTTATGATGATACCATCTATCTTTTCATATTTATGAAAATCTTTCTAAAACAGAAAATGGACAATTCAATGGATATCAAATCAACAAAGAGGTAAGAATATGTAAGCTATAAGAATATGTTGAAGGCTAGCTCTATTGGGTGCAGATGACTGAACTGCTCACTTTTGTGTCAGCAGGTATACAGAGGAGGGGGCATACAATGGTATGTCAATTGGTATTAGTATGTTATGCAGATCACATTTACCATCCTCCTCCCTTTCCTCTTCAATGAATATCCCATAGGCCTCTACATTATGGACAAGGTATGTGTATGAAAACCATTATCAAAACATTTGTTTCATTCACAATTACCACAAAAAACAAGGTATGAATACTGTTGTGTGCATGTTTTGTTAATCATCTGTATAATTACTATTTTTTGGATTCACAGACTTCACCCTCCCTACCCCTCTGATGAACAAGAAACCTGTTCGATGACCATGCAATGCAAAATCATTCTGGCTATGGATACGGAGAACATAAACACATTAACATCAACATGCCAGAGGATATACCCATAGGACTTGCGGCTCTGCTGGGAGTTTACCTCATATTTAGATTTTTTAATTCTGCTTTGCCACTAAAATCATAATAAACACTGACAACTAAAATATTGTGTTATTGTTCTTATTGTTATGCATATTATTATTATTAATAATAATAATAGGGGAGGTGTGGGTAGTTCAAAAATGAACCCCAAAGGGTTCTTCAAGGGGTTCTTTGAGGATCCATTAAAGGGAGTTATTTGAAGAACCCTTTTAAAGGGTTCTTCGAAGAACTTATAGGGGTTCCCCCACAGTTTCAATTTGAAGAACCCCTAAAGGACACTCCAGGAACCTTTTCTTTTTAGAGTGTACAGGGAAATGATAGACTAAATTAACCCTCGGACTCAAACATCTTCTTCCTCCCGTCCATTCCAGACTTGTCTTCAATGTTCTGACGCCAGTCTCCAACGTTACGCAGTTCCTTATCCTGCAATAGCAACATAGTCAAAGGTTCAAGGTAAGAAAATGCAGTAAATTAAATCTATTAAACCTTGAGATAATTGAGTGCTGAATCCAAACAACATGGTGGCTTGTTTGTCATGTCTGAGTGGAGCAGTTATTTGGCATAAGTTGTGTAGCTGTAGATGACCCATGAACCCAATGCTATGAAAATATACCTGACCCTGTATCAGGGGTTTGACAACTCTATACAACATCAAATCAAACAGCCTTATAACATGGGTGCGCTCTGCTGAGCTTATCTATGCATGAACTCATTTCAGTATGACCAACCTCTTAGAGTAGATTAACAAGGCCTCAGGTTTGACAATGACAATGTCTGCCAATGGGTAATCTCAGACACTCAGAACAAAAATCTTGCGTAATTGATGCTCAATTAAGTCATGGGGGGAGACGTGTTATAAAATGTACTATGTACTAACGAGACTAGTGAAGTCTCTACCCCTCTAAACGGAAACTCTCAGCCAGTTTCGGGCAAGTCTATGGGCCAAATGTCCCCTCCCCTTCTGAAATTCGAAAGATACGAGCACCTGTGAAATTGTGATTTGTCCAAATGATCAGTGACGAAAAATCTGAGTCGCGGAATAAAGTTGTTAGTCGTCACATCCCACAGTCTGTCACCAGATGCTACCACCAATTATGTTACGTGCATCTGTCCACGAGAGATTACCCAAAGGGACATCTCTACAATATACTGTTATCTTTCTGAACCGTTACCCACCTCCTCTTTGACCTCCTTCTTTACTTGTTTCAGGTTGGATCTCAGATCCATAGACACCTTGTGCTTGGAGCCCAGCAGAGCCTGGAGCATAGCATCAGCAGACATACGCACTTTCCTCAAAGTTGGCTTCTTGAACTTGCCCTTCAAGTCAATAACTTTAATGTTCAAATCTTCAATCTGACCAATGGAAGAAGAGGAGAACAAAAACATTGATCCAACTGGCACCACATAATTACTCATGGAATGGATTCCAAGTTTTAGTAGTTGTGAGGTAAAGTGAATACGATATACCTCCTTAGTAGCTTTGTTCACTTTGCTCTCCAGGTCATATCTCTCCTCATCTATCACGTCAATCTTATGATGCAACTCTTTCAAGAACTCCTGAGGTGATATCAAGAAATATCAAGCATTAATAATAATCATCATCATCATCATACTAATAATACTATAACATACTACCATCACTACTACTACTGCTACTACTACTACTACTGCTACTGCTGCTACTGCTGCTACTACTACTGCTACTACTGTTACTACTACTACTACTACTACTACTGCTACTACTACTACTGCTACTACTGTTACTACTACTACTACTACTACTACTACTACTACTATTGCTACTACTGCTACTACTGCTACTACTGTTACTACTACTACTACTGCTACTACTACTACTACTATTGCTACTGCTGCTACTGCTGCTACTACTACTACTACTACTACTACTACTACTGCTACTACTACTGCTTCTGCTACTACTGCTACTACTACTACTGCTACTACTACTTCTACTGCTACTACTACTACTACTGCTACTACTGTTACTACTACCACTACTACTGCTACTACTACTACCGCAGTGCTTCTTCTACTGCTACTACTGCTACTGCTACTGATACTATGACTACTACTACTACTACTACTACTACTACTACTATGACTACTACTACTGCTACTATGACTACTACTACTACTACTATTCACAATAATAATAATAATAATAATAATAATAATAACAATAGTGAAAACGTTATTCAATACATTTGTACAGTAACTAATTATGTAATCATCTTTTATATGAAGGCATATATTTTACATTGATTTGGGGTTTGACCAAACTTTGATTGTTGAGTGAACTACCACTTTAAATTATGGGATTATATAGAATTGCTTTGAATGGTTGTTTGTTTGGTTTACCTGTAACTGTTGAGTACCCCCTGGCAGGGACAGGGGAGGGCAGTTCTCCGCCATCCATCTTATTCTCTCCTGCTCTTTCTCCTTTGCCTCGTCTTCAAGTAAGCCTTTAGCAATGGAGAGCATCAAGCTCTGGGAGACATTAGGCATGCAGGTTACACTTATGAAAAGCTCAGCCATACCAGAATCAGGTAGGCATTTTTGTTGACAGGCTTTCGTGTAGAACATGAACCGTAAGATATTGTATACTTGTGTTTCCCTCTATTCTCCTTGTATTGATAGTTGTTGACAAGTATCAAATTAAGAGCAAATATTTGAAAGTGTTTACCTTCAGGTAATGCCTCCGACTCGAAGACATCTTTTTCCTGAAGAGATAAAATGATGAAAGAAAATATCATGGTCATTTTTATGTATTACACATCGAGATCCACAAATATGAGATATGATCAATGTATAAGTTACTCACTCCGACATCTTGGCGTTCCTTTGATTTCACACCCTGTGAAAAAAGAGAGGTCATTATTTAATATACATTTCAAACTAATTCAAACAAATACAATTGCTGCATTGCCAATCACCTGTCATTTCAGTTAGAGATTTTCCAAGGCTGCAAATATTGGAAAACCAAAATTATTTTTTTATTTACTTGGCAATTTTCTGTTATCAACTGCATGGTTTTGTTTTACAGTGGCAAAGAATAAGAATACAATTCACTACTATGTCAACTTATGTGACATATACTGTAACTACAATGGTCAAATGTCCTAACTTCTGACATATTCTAATGAGAGTATGTTGATTATCAAACTCTATCAAATTGTTGATGTTTTTTTCCAATTTATTTTTCAGACAAACGTTGATGGAATTTAGGAGTAGATAATTAAATATGATTTTGTTCACCTAGTCTAAACAGATGTACCAATTAATCTCTCCAGGAATCTCTCAAGGAGGATCAATCAGAAGTCATGCTGAGTTTAATCACCTTGGAAGTTCCTTATACAGGGCATTCAGGCATAATTGTTCCACTGAGGGGAAACACTATAGCCTACCAACACACGTGAGGGCTGAGGGGAAACACTATAGCCTCCCAACACAAGTGAGGGCCATTTGGCCCTGGAAAAGCAGCAGGGTCAAAATTAGAATTAGAATATGAGGGCCAGCTGTTCTCCTTGAGTAGCTCCATAATGGAAGGCTGGGAGATTATCAACAACCTGATACCACCTCTGTTGATGCCCAGCTTACCCTTTAGAACATCCCTGAGATGGCAGAGACATTACACCATCACATCTGAAATAAGGGCTCCCCTGCCTGGAAAAGTCCACTTGATCCAGCACTTCCATAGAGCTTCTGACTGTTTAAAGGGCCAATCTGGGATTCAAACAATAATAAAGCGGTCACCCTAGCACTGTTTTGGTAAACAGCGGTGGGATGGGGCTGGAGAAATGTAATCACTTTCAAATAAAAAAATGGCTATATATCTTCAATTTAAAAGTCCAAAAATGGATGTACCAATCACAGATTGCCCCTTTAACCACCTATGGTTAGAATACCTGTCAAATACCCAAATAAAAGCCCCTGGATAAATCTGCTGAACCTAAATCTCTTATAAAAATGTATTGTGAATTTGATAATCCCAGTGCTTTCATAAAGGATTAGATGTGGCTTTGAATCTTCTTCTTTGGCAGATATTAACATGGACAGTGACTATCCTCAGTAAAAAAAAAAAACTAAGAGGTTTATCAGGGGGAGAAACTCAGACAGTGATTGTGAGAGTTTCAAACACACAGCAAGTTTGCAATCGGAATCTTAACACCCACAGTGTTAAATGTAACATTTTCTTAGTAATTATACTTGGCCCACCAAAATAGTGTTAAATTAACACTTTTCAAAGTGTTGATAAACTAACACCTCAAGGGTTTTGGGTCCCTAACACCATGGGTATTGCAAATTCCGACTTAAATTAACACTTTATTGCAGTTGATGCCTTCTCAGCGTTAGGGAATTAACACCTGTGGTGACTGGTTTTTGGGTGTTGTTTTAACACTGTAGGGTGTAAAGCCTTATTTGCTTATTTGTTTCCCAGGGTGCCTTTCAAGTGAAATTTAGAGGCTGGTACCACCCATGACTGTGTTTGCTAGTGACAGAGACATGGTTGTTGAATTCAATGGCTTTCAGTCCTGTAGCCTTCACCAAGTAAGTGCCTAAGTAAATATTTTATCATAAAAATGTAAGGATTTATTATGACAATACATTACTTTTATTTTTTTTTACAATACCATACTTCGACAGCCTAGTTTTACCCTATCACAGTGGTCTAAAACGTGTGGTTTGCAGGCCACATCGGCAGGTCATATACTATTGGAATCCAGACAGAGTTAGGATATCCAAAAATTTGATCTTTGAATAGCAATATTTGCAAGTATTAAAATCTCGGTGCTGAGGTAAAAGGTGTTGTGAGTGTTATATCTGAGTGTTGATTCTAGTGGGGTTAACGCCAGTGGGATTACAATTGACACCACCTGCAGTGAATAAATGAAGTGTTAGTTGATTCACAGTGGAATCAACACCGCGTGGTGTTGTTACTCGACTGTGTTGAGTTCATTTCCGTTAAATCTCTGAGTGAAAAGGTTGTGGGAGTGGTACTTGTTATCATATTTCCCAGCATGCTTTGTTGCAGGTTGATTCTTAGAAATTGTTTGTTTTAATATCTTTGTGTCTACATGCATATTGATTAATTTATCTTAAACTACAGTGGGGAAAAAAAGTATTTAGTCAGCCACCAATTGTGCAAGTTCTCCCACTTAAAAAGATGAGAGAGGCCTGTAATTTTCATCATAGGTACACGTCAACTATGACAGACAAATTGAGATTTTTTTTCTCCAGAAAATCACATTGTAGGATTTTTTATGAATTTATCTGCAAATTATGGTGGAAAATAAGTATTTGGTCACCTACAAACATGCAAGATTTCTGTCTCTCACATACCTGTAACTTCTTCTTTAAGAGGCTCCTCTGTCCTCCAGTCGTTACATGTATTAATGGCACCTGTTTGAACTTGTTATCAGTATAAAAGACACCTGTCCACAACCTCAAACAGTCACACTCCAAACTCCACTATGGCCAAGACCAAAGAGCTGTCAAAGGACACCAGAAACAAAATTGTAGACCTGCACCAGGCTGGGAAGACTGAATCTGCAATAGGTAAGCAGCTTGGTTTGAAGAAATCAACTGTGGGAGCAATTATTAGGAAAAGGAAGACATACAAGACCACTGATAATCTCCCTCGATCTGGGATCTCACCCCGTGGGGTCAAAATGATCACAAGAACGGTGAGCAAAAATCCCAGAACCACACGGGGGGACCTAGTGAATGACCTGCAGAGAGCTGGGACCAAAGTAACAAAGCCTACCATCAGTAACACACTACGTCGCCAGGGACTCAAATCCTGCAGTGCAAGACGTGTCCCCCTGCTTAAGCCAGTACATTTCCAGGCCCGTCTGAAGTTTGCTAGAGTGCATTTGGTTGATCCAGAAGAGGATTGGGAGAATGTCATATGGTCAGATGAAAACAAAATATAACTTTTTGGTAAAAACTCAACTCGTCGTGTTTGAAGGACAAAGAATGCTGAGTTGCATCCAAAGAACACCATACCTACTGTGAAGCATGGGGGTGGAAACATCATGCTTTGGGGCTGTTTTTCTGCAAAGGGACCAGGACGACTGATCCGTGTAAAGGAAAGAATGAATGAGGCCATGTATCGTGAGATTTTGAGTGAAAACCTCCTTCCATCAGCAAGGGCATTGAAGATGAAACGTGGCTGGGTCTTTCAGCATGACAATGATCCCAAACACACCGCCCGGGCACCAAAGGAGTGGCTTCGTAAGAAGCATTTCATGGTCCTGGAGTGGCCTAGCCAGTCTCCAGATCTCAACCCCATAGAAAATCTTTGGAGGGAGTTGAAAGTCCGTGTTGCCCAGCGACAGCCCCAAAACATCACTGCTCTAGAGGAGATCTGCATGGAGGAATGGGCCAAAATACCAGCAACAGTGTGTGAAAACCTTGTGAAGACTTACAGAAAACGTTTGACCTGTGTCATTGCCAACAAAGGGTATATAACAAAGTATTGAGAAACTTTTGTTATTGACCAAATACTTATTTTCCACCATAATTTGCAAATAAATTCATTAAAAATCCTACAATGTGATTTTCTGGATTTTTTTTTCTTCATTTTGTCTGTCATAGTTGACGTGTACCTATGATGAAAATTACAGGCCTCTCTCATCTTTTTAAGTGGGAGAACTTGCACAATTGGTGGCTGACTAAATACTTTTTTCCCCCACTGTATATCAAAGATAAATGACTTACATTTTTCTAAACTAATCCAATCTGTAAAGTGTTGGACTTATTGCACCCGTTACTGAAATGGTTATTCCAGTTTACATGGTTTAGGTAGTCTTGTTTGTCAAGTCTTTCACCATAGCAATCATTTTGAATGCAGGTTGTGAGTGATAAAATATTCACATTTTTGGATTTCCTTCATCTGGCTGGATTTCGATAGGAATTACTAATCACTTCACAAACCTGTGACTTGCAGGTTTGATGAGCCAGGATTTTCAGACCACAATGTTGAGGATAACTAGGCCATAACTAAAGGCCTTATGAAATGTATAATATATGGTCATAAAGGGTTTACTTTTAATTTAAACACATTCACTTAGGCAGTCACTTGGTGAAGACTTCAGGGCTGAAAGTTATTGAATGCAACAACCATGTCTCTGTCACTAACAAACACAGTCATGGGTAGGTATCCTTCACATTCACTCGGAAGGCATGCTGGAAAATATGCAAATAAGGCTTTACACCCTACAGTGTTAAAACAATTTATTCCAGCCAAGCCCTCATCTGTGTTATATGGTGAAAAATTGTTTGCGCTGACACCAAGATACACACTGGGAGTATCGCATTGCACATCCATCAGTTAAAGGTGTCTAGTAATGTCAAACAGCCTCCATAAACCACATCTAGGTCTAGAACAACCAAGATTGTCCTAGTGTAATGTACAAAGTGCTGGATAATTTCTCCTTCACAAATGTTTGCATTGTACTTCCATAAAAACCTACACTATTCATCAACGGATTGACAATATCTCATTGAAACTGCATGAAACCACACCGACAAAATGCTTTAATAGGCAACACCCACCACAGAAACCACCACATCCAAACAAAGCAGCAATAAGTCCCAAACCTCAAATAGAACCCTTCAATAAACCGGCACAAACTCATTTGAAACAAGATGGACCACTGAATAAATCCAAACAATTCACCATGCAGCACAGAGCAGTCAAGCCAGAGCCGGCTGAAAGAAGAGTAGTTCTCACCTAGGAGCTGAGGAGGAAGAGGAGTGCAACAGATTTGGAGGAGGGATGGGTGAGACCGGCTGGTGGCTACAGCAGCAGATGGAATTATAAGATGGTATATATTGCAATTCCCAATGGCCAAGGAAATCCCATCTTTCTGTTTATGGAAGTAGATTCATCCACAGACCAATAGGCTGGCAAGCACCTGAAATACTATATCTGACTCCCACCTCTTTTATAAATAACCTTACTCTGATGATATTGTGATTGTTACGCGATAATTCATTTAGACAACAGCCTTATTTAGTACAGTAGGAAGCGGTGGTCTGATGCTTCCTTTCTGATTAGTTGTTGGTAGCTTGGTTTACTGCTGCCAGTCGGATAGACACTTTAGCTTCAGAAAGTGTGATGAATTGAGAGAGAGGGTTAGGATTGTTACTGCGTTTGATAGGGAGATGATCATTCAGAAATAGTTCTACAGAGAAGTGGCAGTGTGATACCACCACCGCCAGTTTGAGCTGGCGGTGGTGGTAAAGAAAATAAGGAGGGAAAGCTCAGTGATGTAAGTTAAGGAGACAGCAGGTGTGAGAGTACGGCGTGATGAAAGGTCCAGGGAATCTGTTTTGGCTGCACAGTGAAGACTATTCAGGAAGATGTTAATGAAGTGACCAATAGACTTGTATAATTAACAAGAAGTAACAACAGTACAGAGCAAGCTACTGTAGAGAAACAGTGAGCAGATAATGGTGATGTGTTAGAGGAGAATCAATATATACCAGCATCATGCTTGGGCATTTCTTCCAGAACATTCCAGGTTGAGGTGGCGGTCACCATAGCACTGAGAAAAAGTGTTATCCTAAACAGAAGAACGTTTGTTTTAGTAATAATATGTAATATATGCCATTGAATGTAAGACAGTATGGTATGATACATTGTATGACGTTAGCTGAAGAGCTGTTTCTTCCAGACAACTGGACTACATTGAATCTAACACTGTGTTACAATGGGCAAAGGGTTGGAACGATATCAAATGCCCGATCGCATGTAAAAAGGCTCTTTGCAGACGTCACTTCACTAATGGTTTGGACAGGTGGGTAAGTGAATACAGCAGCCTCAGCATGCAGTCCGGGAATGGGGAAGATGGGATGGTAGGAGAGAGGCAAACTGTGGGGATATGTAGCACTTAAGGACCAGTGAGAGCCAGAAGAGGGGGGGGGGGGGGCAGGGAGAGGGAATAAAGGAAGGGAAAGCTAAAGTCGTGCAGGTCATAGAAGTCATGGAGGCTGGTGACAGACGGGCCACAGCAGCAGAGGCTGTGTCAGCCCTGTGTGTGGGATAAGGCTAATAATACTGTGATGGGATTCTCCACCCTTCCCCACTCCCTGAGTGTGCACTTGTTCACATCACAACTGACATTGATGTGGAGAATCCAAGACAAAATTAGCCTCGTATAAATTCACTAGGCATCAAACTGAACAAAACGGACGGAAATGGGGAGGGACTACTTGAACCTCGTTTTTGTTGCAAAACGTTTTGCAACGTTTGCTATGGTATGCACTAATGAAGAGAACCCTGAGAACACTAAGACTTAACTTTGTTTACGTCTATACAGAATAATCTGGTCAAACAATATACATAATTGCAATGATGTAACACATATTTTTTTAATATTTACACCTACCAAAAACTACACACAGGAAATGCATTGCTTCACATATTCTGGTTTCATATACAGTTAAGTAAGAACATTCTGGGCCATATTACAGTTCACCTGAGAACAAGTTGTAAAACCAAACCAAAGTTGAGAGACGATTCAAAGACACCACTACAAGGGTCAAATAAACCTTCTATAACCGTTTATTTTTAAATATAGTATATTCACCTTGAAAATGTTAAAACATCCGTCTATGGCCTAAATTGTATGGTGTGCAGAAGTGCACAAAATGTTGACTCATCACGTCTAGAGTTGCAAAATTCTGGTAACTTTCCCAAAATTCCCAGGTTTTCCAGAAATCCCAGTTGGAAGATTCCAGGAATCAGGTGGGAATAAGCAGAAAATCCAGAGTCCTCCAACCAGGATTTCTGGAACACCTGGGAATTTTGGGAAAGTTACGTTCATTCTGTAACCCTAATCACATCATGGATGAATGATCACAGCCACATTTCGCAAAGTACATAAATAAGACTGTGCACCCACTGACCACCAAAACAAAACATGTTACAGCAATAACCAATTCACATAACTGTATTCTTTCATAAAATCATTACATCATGTATTCCAATTAAAACATTGATAGCATCAATTAATAGGCAACATTTTACAGTATAAAAATGTTTATCAACGGCCAACAACTGCATACAAAGTGTGCAAGTGTCACTGTACAGTCGCACAAGAACAATTCAAGCAAAGGCACCATACCCATATACTGTAGCTTCCATTCCACCCATACTGGTCACAGAACAACAAAAATTTACTACCACCACTGTCGACAAAAATAAGCAATTCTAATATTAAAATCTCTGTCAGATAAAAGAATAGCGGTTTACGATCATAATCATACTACAATAACATTAGATCAGTGGCATTTTATGAATATGATCATTACTGTAGCAAGCCATCTGTTTTTTTGTTTTTGTTTTTTACAGAAACCTAACTTTTCTAAATCATATGAACCTCTACACAACTCCCTGGAGAGAACGTTTTGCTTTCCAATGCTATGTTAATTTGAGTTGATTTTGCAATTCAGACAGTTCTAAAGTGGGCAACATTAAATCCTTGTGTTTTGGGGTAGAAATTGCTAACATTTAGCCTGTTGTGGCTGAAGCAAAGTAATGAAACCCTAATCATAGACGTAGTCACTATTGGCCTATGACTACTTCCAAGATAAGTAAATAATGGAAATATTACTTTTGAACAAACTGTCCCTTTAAGGGAAAAATATTGGGACCAAATTAACTGAATCGAACACTAAGTCTTCAAAACAATAATTTTACAATGACATTTCCATACCACAGAACAATGATAATAAAAAAGCTATAACTGGTGTTTAAATTCATATGTCAGCTTACTAATACCCATCAAACTGTGCATTTCTGGAGAACCTTTTTAGGTAGTGCAATAGAATTTCTCGCAGTACAACACTGAATCACCATTCAGTCTAATTTATAATATACTAATACTGGCATTCCAGAGAGATAGATACTGACCATACATTATCATTGCATACACAACAGCTGAAATTACAAAGCCACAGTTTCCAACAAGTACCACAGCAAATTTTTACAACGGTGAGTTAAAGTGATAGGGAACGTCATGTAAGATTAAGACAGTTAGTTTTCCTCATAGAGGATGATCTATGATAATTCATCGTCTTCCGCCTGGTCTTCTGAACCATAATGGAAAATGTCTGAGGAGGATACCACATTGTCATGTCTGTCTGTGGCAGGAGGGTCACAGACCAATTGAGGTGTTAGGGAGGGATTTACAACAACAATCGGTATCCATGTGCAAAGTCCCCTGCATGTCGCTGATATAGTACAGTAAGGATCTGCCCCTGTGATTGGCCGATGTAGATCCAAGAGAGCAGTGACGTCCTCCATTATTCACACACAGCTTTCAGATTAGATCAGCAGCGTTTGCAGCTATATTGGAATGACATCATCATTAGTTCTCCTGAGATCTCCCATTCAAATTCCCCTGAAATAAAAACAGCACAGCCACAATAAAACCAACGTGGCACAGAGCTTCTTCAGCCTGAAGTCACGGTCTAGAATGAAACGTTTTCCATATCTAGCAGCTGTAAAGAGTAAAACATCTAATCTCTTATGGAGAAACATCACAAAGTCATAAATTCACAGGCTTAGAAGAGGACAAATACATCAATTTGCATTTACATTTTCACAAGCATTTGGCTGCGTCGCAAGTACAGGGAGCTTCAAAAGTATTGGGACAGTGAAATGTTTTGTTGTTTTTGCACTTTACTCCAGCACTTTGGATTTGAAATGATACAATGACTATGAGATTAAAGTGCAGACTGTCAGCTTTAATTTGATGGTATTTTCATCCATATCGTGTGAACTGTTAAGAAAGTACAGCACTTTTTGTACATAGTCCCCCCCCCCCCCATTTTAGGGGACCAAAAGTATTGGGACAAATTCACTTATATGTGTATTAAAGTAGTCATAAATGTAGTATTTGGTCCCATATTCCTAGCACGCAAAACTTACATCACGCTTGTGAGACTCTACAAACTTTTTGGATGCATTAGCTGTTTGTTTTGGTTGTGTTTCAGATTATTTTGTGCCCAATAGAAATGAATGGTAAATAATGTATAGTGTCATTTTGGAGTCACTTTATTTTGTAAATAAGAATATAATGTTTCTAAACACTTCTACAACGGTTCACCAGATATGGATGAAAATAACCTTAAATTAAAGCTGACAATCTGCACTTTAACCTCAGTCATTGTGTCATTTTAAATCCAAAGTGCTGGAGTACAGAACCAACACGTGTCACTGTCCCAATCCTTTTGAAGCTCACTGTAAGTGGCAACATCACCATATCCAGTTGACTATGACAGAAAGTAAAGCTGCCTTTCAAAAATTGTCCATAGAAAAATATCCATTGAATGCCATGATTAGATTAGAAAAATAAAGAGGGTCAAACTACAGGGAGAGGGGAATGGAGGGGGAGGAGTCAGGTCATGTCCAGGCCACTTTCCTTGAGATGGCCTGCTTGAAGCACTCTGGGTCCACGTTGCCTCCAGGCCGCAGAGCTCTCTCCAGGCTCACCAGCACGTTCTGGTGACACTCCCTGATGTTGACGGGGTACTTGGCCCTCAGCAGCTCGTAGGCCGAGATCAGCCGCATATTCTGCTTCACCATGAGGTACTGGATGATACAGGTCGGAGCCAGGGAGTACCCGTCACGGCAGTGGACCAGCACGCGTTTCCTTTTTTCCGTGGAAGCCTCGATGCACTCGTTGATGTCCTCAAAGCAGCGCTGCTTCAGGGCAGGGCTTCCCTCGCCCAGCGCGTCTGGTACATCGCAAATGTCCACCTTGAGGCGGGACCAGCTGTGGCGGGCGCCTCGGGAGCAGGTGCAGGGGATAAGGCTGAGGCTGGGGCCGGGGTCCCCCGGCAGGCTGCTCATGTCGATGATGCTGTCGATGTTGTTGCGGCACAGCGTGCGCCCGTTGTACGCCGCGTTCAGGTTGCCCACAAAGATGTAGTCCGTCACCTTGGAGATGACGGGCTCAGAGTACTGGAAGTGTTCCGGGATGTTCTGTTTGGGCGTGTCTGGGGTTTCTGGTGGACCCGCCCTGCCCCCTGCCCCCACCCCGGCCGGACCTGTGGCCGCCCTCATGCTGTAGTTACGCAGCTTCTTGGAGCCGGAGCGGGAGGGGGGGTTGGAGTCGGACTCTGAGCTGCTGTTCCAGGGAGGGGAGAAGAGGGAGAAGCGGCTGGAGGACTTGCTCTTGGTGAGGTTCTCCACGGGGCTGGACAAGCCAGAGCTGGAGGCCGTGGTGGAACCAGAGGCACAAAACAAAGAGGCCCTCTCCAAAGAGCCTGTGCTGCTGGCTGATCCTGCACTGTGGGCCTGCTCCATCTGCAGGCAGACACACACACAGCATACTGAAGTAGAATACCATAAGATACGACACTTGTGCATGCCAATTACACACTCCCTCAAAACATAGAAATCTGTGGCAAAACTGCACATTTTAGAGTGGTCTTTTATTGTCCCCAGCACAGGGTGCACCTGTGTAATGATCATGCTGTTTAATCAGCTTCTTGATATGCCACACCTGTCAGGTGGATGGATTAACCTTGGCAAAGGAGAAATGCTCACTAACAGGGATGTAAAAAAAACCTGCACAAAAGTTCAGATAAATAAGCTTTTTTGTGTGTATGGAAAATGTATGGGTTTGTTTATTTCAGCTATTTATTTCCCATGAAACATGGGACTTACATGTTGCGTTTATATTTTTGTTCAGTGTAATTACAGAACAATGGATAATTTTTTTATGCTAGTTAAGGATACTATAGATTTTATGTTTCACACTGGATTTATTAGTTACAAAAAGGTAAGACGTGTTTTTATTTAAATTCTGGTGCCGCTCTGCACACACAAGCTTGTTAGCTACAGTGCATTCGGAAAGTATTCAGAACCCTTGACATTTTCCACATTTTGTTACATTACATCCTTGTTCTAAAATTGATTAAAAATCCTCATCAAACTACACACAATACCCCATAATGACGAAGCGAAAACATGTTATTAGAAATTTACGCAAATGTATACAAAATAAATAAAATAAGACCTTATTTACATAAGTATTCAGACCATTTTCTATGAGACTCAAAATTGAGCTCAAGTGCATCCTGTTTCCATTGATCATGCTTGAGATGTTTCTACAACTTGATTGGAGTCCACCTGTGGTAAATTCAATTGATTAGTGGTAAATTCAATTGATTAGATATGATCTGGAAAGGCACACACCGGTCTATATAAAGGTCCCACAGTTGACAGTGCATGTCAGAGCAAAAACCAAGCCATGAGGTCGAAGGAATTATCCATAGCGCTCCGAGACAGGATTGTTTCGAGGCAAAGATCTGGGGAAGGGTACCAAAAAATGACTGCAGTATTGAAGGTCCCCAAGAACAGTGGCCTCCATCATTCTTAAATGGAAGAAGTTTGGAACCACCAAGACTTCCTAGAGCTGGCCTCCCGGCCAAACTGAGCAATCGGGGGAGAAGGGCTTTGGTCAGGGAGATGACCAAGAACCCGATGGTCACTCTGACAGAGCTCCAGAGTTCCTCTGTGGAGATGGGAGAACCTTCCAGAAGGACAACCATCTCTGCAGCACTCCACCAATAAGGCCTTTATGGTAGAGTGGTCAGACAAAGCCACTCCTCAGTAAAAGGCACATGACAGCTCGCTCTGAGTTTGCCAAAAGGCACCTCTGGTCTGATGAAACCAAGATTGAACTATTAGGCCTGAATGCCAAGCGTCACGTCTGGAGGAAACCTGGCACCATCCCTACGGTGAAGCATGGTGGTGGCAGCATCATGCTGTGGGGATGTTTTTCAGCGGCAGGGACTGGGAGACTAATCAGGATAGAGGGAAAGATGAACGGAGCAAAGTACAGAGAGATCCTTGATGAAAACCTGCTTCAGAGCGCTCAGGACCTCAGACTGGGGCGAAGGTTCACCTTCTACCAGGACAATGACTAAGCACAGAGCCAAGACAACGCAGGAGTGGCTTTGGGACAAGTCTCTGAATGTCCTTGAGTGGCCAAGCCAGAGCCCGGACTTGAACCCGATCTAACATCTCTGGAGAGACCTGAAAATAGCTGTGCAGCGACGCTCCCCATCCAACCTGACAGAGCTTGAGAGGCTGCAGAGAAGAATGGGAGAAACTCCCCAAATACAAGTGTGCCAACCTTGTAGCGTCATAACCAAGAAGACTCAAGGCTGTATTCGCTGCCAAAGGTGCTTCAAGAAAGTACTGAGTAAAGGGTCTGAATACTTATGTAAATATGATATTTAAAAATAAAATAAAAAGTGACAAATATTCTACAAACCTGTTTTTGCTTTGTCATTCTGGGTTATTGTGTGTATATTGATGAGAGAAAAAAACAATTTACTCATTTTCAGAATAAGGCTGTAACGTAACAAAATGTGGAAAAAGTCAAGGGGTCTGAATACTTTCCGAATAATCTGTAGCTAGCTTTTTAGCTAGCTCTGGTCTAGCTCTCAAAAAACTAATGATCAAGGGCTAGCTCTGGTCCAACGTTAGTTAAGCCAACTCTCTGAAGTTCAAAGAAATTCCAATGTCAGTCGCATGTCGCACCCTTTGCTACACTTGTCTGTCCAATGCATGTACATAGCTTGCCAGCTCCATAGCAAGCTGCTCTATCCATTGGTGAAGTCATTTGATTTCAGAGATTTAAAAAGGAACAGAAAGGAACGATATAAACCGTTTATCTTTTGGTGTTCGAACCGGTTCAGAACTTTTTTTGCTGGTCAGGAACAGTGGAACGGAACAAAAAAAATGGTGGTTCTGGGAGAAGATTTTCAGTTCCAACCCCTGGTTACAATTTACATTTACATTTTAGTCATTTAGCAGACGCTCTTATCCAGAGCGAGTTACAGTTAAGTGAGTGCATACATTATTTTATTTTTTTCATACAGTCCCCCTGTGGGAATCGAACCCACAACCCTGGCGTTGCAAACGCCATGCTCTACCAACTGAGCTACATCCCTGCCGGCCATTCCCTCCCCTACCCTGGACGACGCTGGGCCAATTGTGCGCCGCCCCATGGGTCTCCCGGTCGCGGCCGACTACGACAGAGCCTGGATTACAATTCAAGTACTACAGCCACCCCCATAGCTAACAGTAGTCACTGAAGGGGAAAACCACCAGTATGTATTGGCCTAGTAGCCACCCACATGGCTAACAGTAGTTACTGATGGGGAAACCTACCAGAATAGGCCTAGTAGACAGACATACCTGGGCTTTGAGATTGTTCTTCCACTCTTGGGTCTCCAGAGCTTTGAAGCGGCCATTGCTATCTGAGGAGACAGAAAGGCAGAGGGGCCGGTGGGCCCTTGGGGCCAGCTGGGGGGTGAGGGCAACGGGGACAGGCCGAGGCTCGTGGCGCTCATTCCTACTCATCATCAAATTTGGACAGGAGCCTGAATTACATATACAGGGAGGAAAACATCCAGAGTTTAGGCCTTGCCAAGTTCTGTAACTTTGCACAGTTCTAATGTTTCTTGAAAACTACGAGAAAGGCCTCAGCAGCATAGTGGATCTTACAAGCAAAGGGATAGTCACAGTGCCACAACTGTGATTTTATTAATAGCTTAACCACTCCGTGAACATTGCCATTTCTGTTCTACTAGTACAGGGTTGCCCAAACTAGGTCCTGGTCCTGGCACCCCACCCCCGGGTGCACGTTTTGGTTTTTGCCCGAGCACTACACTGCTGATTCAAATAACCAACTCATCATCAAGCTTTGATTATTTGAATCAGCTGTGTAGTGCTATGGCAAAAAACAAAACGTCTACAGGGGGTACGACCGAGTTTGGGAAACCCTGTACTAGACGATGGAGCCTTTTATATTAGACCAATTGTTGCTTGCTAAGGGGCTAAACATTAACACTGAGATATCCCTGATTGACAAAGGACAAGGGATGTGTCAATATTTACCTTTGTCACAATGTGATTAGTTATGATAAGAATGAACCCTCTGGATGTGCTGTAGCTAATGCATAGTGCTAAAACAGATTGTTATCAAAAACCCAACATTTATGATGCAGTGCTGAAAAAGGAGTCAACATTGAAATATTACCAGGATAAAAAAAGGGCAAAAGGTTTTAGGTCAAATGTTTTCTTACCAGTGGCACATTCTGAGCGAGTGATGGACTGTATCTGCAAACTATGTTGAAGTCTGAATGTGTTGTGAAGATGCTTAGCAATCATGCCTGTGAATGAAATAGCATTTATCTTTTCAGTTCTGTCTGTCATTTACCATTCATTCATACACAATGACTAGCTAACCAACATTGTTTTATGTGTACATTACTACAAGTGCAACCCATGAAGAATAAGTACCTGTCTTGCCATTCTGTTTGGGAAATACTTTTCTATCCAACAACTTAGGTGATATTAGGCATTTGTTCCATTTGTCCACGGTTTCCATTTTCTGCCTCCTGATGAGCGAGACAGACAGATTAATTGAGGATTCTGATGATCAACATGGGTTTCAACATTTTCCAAAGCTACCCGATATCAGTGTTGATAATGGCTGCTGACAACCTATAACTATCAATCAACACAGTCTAGACTAGGTAACTAAATATACCAATTGTCATCGTAGACAATTTCCCTCCGCCGCCGTAAAGCTGAAATTGAAAGATGAGCAGCAGCATCATCATCATCATCATCAGCAGCAGCAGAGAGAGAGAGTATTCAAAGAGTCCGACATCTAATCTGACTCATGTTGTGGTGGTAGTGGCCGTCGGCTCGCTGCCGTTTTTACCAGCCAGTTAATCAGCTAGCGGTAGGATTCCTGGGGACGTGTGCCCGGGCCGTGCATTGGCTAACCGAGCCTAATCAAATCATTTTTAGCATAGCATATTTCTGCTAAGCGCATTATAATATTGCTGCCTGTTATGGTATGCTGTATACACACAGCTCGCTAACGTTAGCTAAATTGCTAACTTAGCTAGCTATAACAGGTTGGTGCAGTGTCGCTGTTTAATGGATGCTCGCCAACCAGCAAGAGACACACAATAAATGCGCATTCGAAATAATTTTGACAAACAGTACACTATTGCATAGATGTCCATACAACAAGAATGAAATGGATAGAAATTCCAGTTAGCACAAACCCCCCATCCACTCGCTCCTTGCAGCTCTCAGCTGAATGAACAGTACGGATGCTCACGTGGACAAATCACCTCAATAACGCGATTAGGAATTTTACTGAGGCGTAATCATTACGCCGATTATGTTGCAAAACGTTTCGTCTGTTCAATTTGTTTTGCAAAAACCGTCCACTCCAAACGGAAAAAGCAAACGAGAGTTTCTATTCGACACATGCAGGTATGTCCCGCCCCATTTCGTTCCATTTTCTCTGTTTGCTTCCGTTTGGTTGTTAAACGGTAAACGGTTTCTGTAATGAATACACCCCAGGTAAATGTGGTCAGCTGTGGCCCCTGTGTTGACAACTCTGTCAGGTAAAATTGTATGGGGAATAAAAAATAAAACATTTGAACAAATATTGCCTGAATTAGACATATCAAATGTCATCAATTGATTTGATGGAATAATAAAATATACATCTTGACATCATGGCCTGATGGTGATCAAGTCCCATTGATTTGGTATAAATGGTCTGAGGCTGGGAAAATGCTACTCTCAAATTCGTCTGGGCTATGGATTCAAGGGACTGACAGGCCATGACATTGACATTGCAGCTTTTTCAAAGAATTCAGATAATATAAAGCATAGTATAAAACAACCTTATATTTTGTGTAATGATAGAGTAGGCTCATAGCATTATTATATTCTTCAAGAATCAAATGGGCATATCATTAGATTAAATTACCATAGAAAATAATATTATCCCACATTGTTCCTTAATCATTTGTAAGCTAACAATCTGGAATACTAAACTGCCTATGCCTAATTCACATTCAAAAAGGTTTAAACACTCACCTCGTGTGGTGATAGCCTATGATTTTATTGGATTCTCTCTCGTCGTCTCTCAAATGACAAATAATCCTTCTTATCATGCACTGGTTGCAATCTGCATGAAGCAAACCCTCATTGAGAGCAATCACTTAAACTGTATGAGGCGATGGTTTTCAAGGCGCACTTTAATTGGGCAGCTTAGCCGCACTCCAGGTATCCTGGAAACGCTAGTCGTATGATGTCACCCTGCTGCATACAGAGCAGCTGAGCACATAGCCCATAGAGATAGAATAGTTCTATCTCTATGACATAGGCCCATAGTGATAGAATAGTTTTATTTCTATGACATGGGGGGAGGGGGGGGGGGGGGGGGGGTAGGTGGGTGCGTGCGTGCGTGCGTGCGTGCGTGCGTGCGTGGGTGCGTGCGTGCGTGCGTGCGTGCGTGGGCCTCATGCTAAATGGCACTTGGTGTCATGTTTATCAGGGAGTGTGCTTATTAACTTTATAAGGGAGTGTGCTTACTAACTTTACCAGGGAGTGTGCCTACTAACTTTACCAGGGAGTGTGCCTACTAACTTTACCAGGGAGTGTGCCTACTAACTTTACCAGGGAGTGTGCTTACTAACTTTACCAGGGAGTGTGCCTACTAACTTTACCAGGGAGTGTGCTCACTAACTTTACCAGGGAGTGTGCCTACTAACTTTACCAGGGAGTGTGCCTACTAACTTTACCAGGGAGTGTGCCTACTAACTTTACCAGGGAGTGTGCTCACTAACTCTACCAGGGAGTATGCTATCCATGGTTTATTGATCAGGCCTGTAGTCAGGATCAGAACTGGCAGGTTCCATGGTTCCCAGGGGCTCTTTGATGTTACTGTGCCCAGCATTGGGAGGCTTACCACAGGCCAGGTCACACAGCGGGAGGCCCTGTGTCACAGGACAGAGTGGACTGAAAACACAGCAGCGTGAGCCATGACCTTTGGTTTGGCTCTACTGTTGGATCATCACTCAGATCTTCATGTTCTGGGAACAGGGACGGCCTGTTCAATAGGGCGATATGGGCGACGCACTGCCAAACGGGAAAAGGAAGGGATTTTTTTTCTAATCAATTATATCACGGCAACAGTAGTTATCAGTGTTCACGTCTGATCTGCCAGCCACTAAATGTCAAATCAGGCTAAAGTCGTGCTTCAAATGGCCCCGCCCGTTTTTGGGGCGATTTCAGTCAAGTTGAAAATCGCCCAGAAGTCTCTCATAGCCTGTCATGTAAAATCTATTTTTTTCAAATTTCAAAGCTTTCAATACATTCTCTATGGGTGTCTGTGGGCTTGCACTTACGCGCTTTCGTCATACGTGACGTAACCATGAACGTAACTAAGACAATAGCGGCTAGCAGCGTCTCTGTTGCGACCTGCAGTGTGGCGTTATTTTATGTTTTTAATTTGTAGACTTAGTTTACAAACATTCTGCCAACCATGGATTTCCAGTGGTTGGTTTTGGACTGATCTTGTTGATCGTGTACATACCCGCTACGAACGGACTAAATAATGAAAACGCTGCTGGCAGCGGAATCCCAATACAGCTGGGAGACTTGGCTGGATGACACAGTCCCGGACAGAGAAGTGGAGCCGGCCGGCTTCACCCTGGTCAGAGCGGACCGCGATCCTGGTAAGAGAGCGACTCTGTACCCCGACATTGAACTGCTTTCGGTGTCATTGCGACCTTACTATCTGCCCCGTGAGTTCCCCCAATTGTTTGTTACCGTTGTGTACTGTTGATAATCACAAGTTTACTGGAGAACTGAGACCAAGTAGAGACTTTGGACAGGGTGGATATGGTATAATAAAGGCAGTTTATTCAGAGGTAAAGATATCTGGAATCGCGTGCACGGACTCGTTCGTCAAACTCTTAGGGAGAAGAGAGCCCCGAAAACATTGTGTGCAGACATTTTATACAATAAATGATGTAGGTTGAATCTAGTAGTTCTGATCTTCTGATTGGTCCTGATGAGTTGGGCGAGGTCCCCTCCACTGTTGCATTGGCTCTGAGTCGGTTTCTCTGTCTTCAAATGTTCAGCCTAAAGAGAGGGGATTTTTGTGTGTATGTGTGTGTGTGTGTTTAACAGTGATGATGTGTGTGTGTGTGTGTGTTATCAGTGATGATGTGTGTGTGTGTGTGTGTGTGTGCGTGTCCTCAGAGCAAGAACTCGTGAGTTGGAAGAACTGAGAGACCTATGGCGTGGGTGTTGTCCTTGGCCACCTGCTGACAAGGCTGACAAGATAGGACTCTTTTGTCCATTGTTATAGGATAGGAACAGCATTGATTGAAAACAAACGCCCAACACAAAATGGGTCATGCACAAGATTTTAGTCAGACCAAGCTATAACATTATATATTTACTACGACAGTACATTCAACCAAAAGCTAATATAACAAAGGCATCAGAGATTATTTATAATCTGTCACAGAAACTGGAATCCATCTCCCCAGATCAGTCAATAAATGCTTCTGGTATTGACTTATATGCTGCCCCTGTCTTCATGTTGTTGCTGGACATATCTTTTTTAAAATGTGTGTAGGTCACCTAAATCATCAGAAAAATTGCCCCTCCTGAGAATTTTTTCAGGAGCCGCCACTGTCTGGGAACACATGTGCAGTTCTGCGCTCACACACACTGGTCATCCATTCATCTCTTTCCAGGAAGTAACAGTTCACTGGAATCATTAAGAGGATTCTGAGAAACTCTATTTGATTTCCAACTAAACCTTTTAATTGGAAATGAGAGAAGGTCTATTTAATTTCCAATACAACCATTAAAAAAATACATTTCATTGGAGATTGAAGACATTTTCTTTGAATCCTTCTAAGATATATTTCCTCTTATACAGTGCCTTGCAAAAGTATTCATCCCCCTTGGCGTTTTTCCTATTTTGTTGCATTACAACCTGTATATAAACCTGTATTATAAAATATAAATAACGGAAAAGTGGTGCTGCATATGTATTCACCCCCTTTGCTATGAAGCCCCTAAATAAGATCTGGTGTAACCAATTACCTTCAGACATCACATAATTAGTTAAATAAAGTCCACCTGTGTGCAATCTAAGTGTCACATGATCTGTCACATGATCTCAATATACATACACCTGTTCTGAAAGGCCCCAGAGTCTGCAACACCACTAAGCAAGAGGCACCACCAAGCAAGCGGCACCATGAAGACCAAGGAGCTCTCCAAACAGGTCAGGGACAAGTTGTGGAGAAGTACAGATCAGGGTTGGGTTATAAAAAAATATCTGAAACTTTGAACATCCCACGGAGCACCATGAAACCCATTATAAGAAAATTGAAAGAATATATCACCACAACAAACCTGCCAAGAGAGGGCCGTCCATGAAAACTCACGGACCAGGCAAGTAGGGCGTTAATCAGAGAGGCAACAAAGAGACCAAAGATAACACTGAAGGAGCTGCAAAGCTCCACAGTGGAAATTGGAGTATCTGTCCATAGGACCACTTTAAGCCATACACTCCACAGAGCTGGGTTTTACGGAAGAGTGGACAGAAAAAAGCCATTGCTTAAATAAAACAATAAGCAAACACATTTGGTGTTCGCCAAAAGGCATGTGGGAGACTCCCCAAACATATGGAAGAAGGTACTCTGGTCAGATGAGACTAAAATTTAGCTTTTTGGCCATCAAGGAAAACGCTATGTCTGGCGCAAACCCAAAACCTCTCATCACCCGAGAACACCATCCCCATAGTGAAGCATGGTGGTGGCAGCATCATGCTGTGGGGATGTTTTTCATCGGCAGGGACTGGGAAACTTGGTCAGAATTGAAGGAATGATGGATGACGCTAAATACAGGTAAATTCTTGAGGGAAACCTGTTTCAGTCTTCCAGAGATTTGAGACTGGGACGGAGGTTCACCTTCCAGCAGGACAATGACCCTAAGCATACTGCTTAAGCAACACTCGAGTGGTTTAAGGGGAAACATTTAAATTTCTTGGAATGGCCTAGTCAAAGCCCAGATCTCAATCCAATTGAGAATCTGTGGTATGACTTAAAGATTGCTGGACACCAGCGGAACCCATCCAACTTGAAGGAGCTGGAGCAGCTAGATGTGCCAAGCTTATAGAGACATACCCCAAGAGACTTGCAGCTATAATTGCTGCAATAGGTGGCTCTACAAAGTATTGACTTTGGGGGGGGGGGGGGGGGGGGGGGGGGGGGGGGGGGTGAATAGTTATGCACTCAAGTTTTCTGTTTTTTTGTCTTATTTCATGTTTGTTTCAAAGTGGTAGGCATGTTGTGTAAATCAAATGATACAAACCCCCCCAAAATCAAATTTAATTCCAGGTTGTAAGGCAACAAAATAGGAAAAATGCCAAGAGGGGTGAGTACTTTCGCAAGCCACTGTAGTCATAGCTCCTTCTTTGACTGTCACTCTATGACATGAGATCTAGCATGGTTAGAACCCAGTTTAATTTATTTCAAGTCAATATCTTTCTGAGTTATACTCAAACTTCCATATTTGTTGCAATATTGCTAAATGTGTTGCAATACTATTGTCTTGAGGGTATGTTTGACAACATGCTATGAAAAAACTCCTTTACTTCTTTCATACCGTTCAATATGTTACACCTGACCACCTGTGAGACCAGTAAGCAACATCCCCTCTTGTAGTGGCCACAGTGCTTCCAGTGCTCTGTCCAAAACATAACTCCTCATTAGGTAGCTATAATGAGCCTGTGTACAGCAGGTGCTGACAACGCTGAGACAAAGCCTGTATCAACATTATAAACCATCTCTGGCTCAGAATCCGAGCCCTGCTTCTGTTGTTTTCATCCCTCCCATAGGGATCCATGTTCATCTAAAGGTTTTATAGGCTGACACTTCTGTGGCTCCCTGATTTCCCACTGTACCAACCCTGTGTCACTTGGGAGAGAGGAGGCTGCTGAACTGAAGTTAATTGGCCCAAGGTAGGGCACATGCTATTATCATCTGAGATTCAATCAGACACATTCAATCAGATGCTTTGGGGAAATGAGAAGCCATACATGGATTTATTGCATATTTCCATCAAGTAAGAGTTTTAGAGTATTTCCATATAGGGGCAGTGTTTGTTGAATAACTTGAGGTAGACACTATGACAATTGTTCTACAACTGAGACCAATTGTAATTACATTTATATGAACATGTGCAGCGTTCAAGTTTGCCTGTAAGGCTATATTCAACTTGAGTGTAAAACCAATGAACAATGGGCTACATAGAAAATAGTTGAGCTTCAATAATTGTATTATTCATAACTATCACATGTTTATCTCATGAAATGTCTATAAAAATGGCAGCATATACAGTGCCTTCAGAAAGTATTAATACCCCTTGACTTATTCCACATTTTGTTGTGTTACAACTTGAATTCAAAATGGATTACATAGATTTTATTTTCGCAACCATCTACACAAAATACCTCATATGGACAAAGTGAAAACATGTTTTTAGCAAATGTATTGAAAATGAAATACAGAAATATCTAATTTACATAAGTATTCACACCCATGAGTCAATACATGTTAGAATCACCTTTGGCAGAGATTACAGCTGTGAGTCTTTCTGGGTAAATCTCTAAGAGCTTTGCACACCTGGATTGTACAATATTTGCACACAAAAAAATTATTCAAGCTCTGTCAAGTTGGTTGTTGATCATTGCTAGACAGCCATTACTTAGATTTTCAAGCCGATTTAAGTCAAAACTGTAACTAGGCCACTCAGGAACATTCAATGTTGTCTTGTTAAGCAACTCCAGCGTATATTTAGCTGTGTGTTTTAGGTTATTGTCCTGCTGAAAGGTACATTTGTCTCCCTGTGTCTGTTGGAAAGCAGACTGAATCAGGTTTTCCTCTAGGATTTTGCCTGTGCTTAGCTCTATTCCATTTATTTTTATCCTAAAAAACTCCCTAGTCCTTGCCGATGACAAGCATACCCATAACATGATGCAGCCACCATCATGCTTGAAAATATGAAGAGTGGTACTCAGTGATGTGTTGTGTTGGATTTGCCCCAAAACATAACGCTTCGTATTCAGGACATAAAGTGAATTGCTTTGCCACATTTTTGCAGTTTTACTTCAGTGCCTTATTGCCTTATTTTGTACAGGCTTCCTTCTTTTCACTCTGTCATTTAGGTTAATATTTTGGAGTAACTACAATGTTGTTGATCCATCCACACTTTTCTTCTATCACAGCCATTAAACTCTGTAACTGTTTTAACGTCACTATTGGCCTCATGGTGAAATCCCTGAGCGGTTTCTTCCTCTCCGGCAACTGAGTTAGGAAGGACGCCTGTATCTTTGTAGTGACTGGGTGTATTGATACACCATCCAAAGTGTAATTAATAACTTCACCATGCTCAAAAGGATATTCAATGTCTGCTTTTTTTTAAAATATTTTTTATCTACCATACCAATAGGTGCCATTCTTTGCGAGGCAATGGAAAACTTCCCTGGTCTTTGTGGTTGAATCTGTGTTTGAAATCCACTGCTCGACTGAGGGACCTTACAGATACTTTTATGTGTGGGGTACAGAGATGAGTTAGTCATTCAAAAATCATGTTAAACACTATTATTGCACACAGAGTGAGTCCATGCAACTTATTGTGTGACTTGTTAAGCACATTTTTACTCCTGAACTTATTCAGGCTTGCCATAACAAAGGGGTTCAAAACATTTTAGCTTTCCATAAAAACATGTTTTGTAAACATTTCTAAAAACATAATTCCACTTTGAAATTATAGGCTATGTGTGTAGGCCAGTGACAAAAAAATCTCAATGTAATCCATTTTAAATTCAGGCTGTAAAAGTCAAGGGGTGTGAATACTTTCTGAAGGCACTGTATTTTGCAGTGTTTAAAAGTGCTAGGGCCTCCAAGCCGCTATTAGCTTAGTGAAGTAGAGGGAGGAATCTGGTTATGTCGGGCCACGGAGGAGGATTTTCTCTAGCCTCTTCCCACAGCTGCTTGAGTGCCATGAGTCTGGCAAGCGAGTCTAAGATTTCTCAAAAGTTCTTATTGATGAAGGGGATCCTGACTGAGTGTTTGAGGTCAAGGGTGGAGTCCACCTGTTCGTTGGAAAGCAGGTTGTGCCACTGGGCCACAGGCCTACGGGGGTTGGACAGCATGTCTGCCCAGTGCCTCAGCTGGTTCCCTGCAGCATCACAACCCAGGAAAATCTTCCCTATGGCGTCGTTCCTGGTCAACTTGTCATGGTCCCACACAGAGATCATCAGCTGAACCCTCTGGAGGGAGCAACAGCAGAGAACAGTCACTGCAAACTGTGCTTCTACAGAGGATGTGCCATCACCTTTTTGTTTAAATGAATTTGGCCACAAAATAACATTATGATGTAAAGGGATGGCCTCTTTTCTGGAGCTCCATAGCATGCAGGCTGTTGAGCTTGTAACTGGCTGAAGAGCCAAAAGGCTTCATCTTAGCCATATTCTGAGATAAGATCATACTTACTTGAATTTGTTCAAACGACACATCAAACGTAAAGGATTCGTTGAAGTAGGGATTCAGTGTCGACTTTTTAACAGATGTCTTCTTTCTCTTCCACTTCTTCTTGTCCAGAGCTAGCTGCACTTTTACATAGGGATCTACAGTGTACATGAATGAAGGTGGAGTGTAGTTTGAGCATCCACTGCCTCACAAATAATGCAGTATTTTTTGTGATAATCAAAAACTGGCCTCAATAATAATGTAGTATTATTTGTTTAATTAATAACTTAGCCTGGAATCCGACTTGTTTTGTGGTAACATTGCACTCTTTGTTACTCCATGTTATATGTTTGGCGCATGACACTGACTGAGTACAAGGAGTGGAATGTCAGCACAAAACAGGTCTGGATTCCAGGCTAATCATAACTAGCCTCTTCAGCAAAACCACCACTCAGTCTTCCTCTCAGAGAGCAAGGCTTGGACCTACCTGATGAGCCCCCTCTGTCCATACTCTTTAGGTTCTTGGCTTCCAGGATGACAACAGTCAGCTTGTTAGTGGTGGGGACGTAGCGCAACGAGAAGCAGATCTCCCCCAGAATTTCATCCTGTAATCACAGTAGATAACAAGAAACAACATTAACTACCATGTGGAAATTCAGTATGTGGGCCTATAGATGTCAAAGGAATGTAGGCCTCATGTAAAAATTCAGTATGTAGGCCTATGGCTAGATTTGAGAACTTTGTGATATTCAAATGCCGTTTGAAAAAAAATGTTTGACCTGCACTATTTGGTTCCAGAAATCAACTAAATCTCCTGACCTCAAACTTGGAGGGTTCTCTCAGGTCTTCCCACTCTTCAATCACATGGTTCCAGTCAATGTTTCCGAGCTGCAGCCTCAGCTCCCCAATGATGTCGTGTTTGGAGAATCTATCGAAGTCGAACACTTTCATGACTATGGTGGACTCATTTAGCTCAGCCTTGTCAATCTGGACACAAGATAGACAGGCAAGAGTCAAGAGTGGTGCAGGAACACAGACTCACTTACACTGTTTAAAATCCTCTCAAATTGGTAGACTGTCTGGTAATACTGCTATAATAACATATGTATAATACTCCTCAAATACCTTAAATTTGAAGTGTTCATTGAACACGGGGTTGAGGGTTTTCCTGAAGACCTTAGTTTCGAATGTCTTTGACTTGTTGGGGGTGATGTAGACTTTAACATAGGGGTCAGAGGTGCCTCTCCGGTCCATGGCTGTCAGAGCTGCAGCCTCTTTGAGCCCCACTGTCAGCTGCAGGGGATGAGAGATGGCAGGATAGTCAAAGATAGTAGGGGAAGATAAGGCTGCTTCACACACACGCAATATCACTGTATGGTAGAAAAATAAAGACACATTGACGTATACTTCAGTGATATTTTGAAAAAGCAGACATTTCTCTTGATATGTGTGATAATTAATATCTTGTTTAATCTGTGATCAAATGGGAACTCTGGTTCTATGGCTTGTGGTGGCTACAGTATTTTGATCAAGTTACAAGTTCAGAAGACTAATTAAGTGCATTCTAACCTCTTGTGCCTTGTATTCCAGAGAGTAGAGCAGTCTTCCCCGGTTTTTAGCTGAGCCGTAGCCTGCATCATCCGAGCCAGGTTGGACCTGCCCATCAAGAACACTGTCATAGCTTGAACCAGCTAATCACATTCACCGGCCAGCCAACCAATCCCTCAATCAGCGGCCCATCCTAACAGACATGAGGAGCTAAAGCTGCACCTCTACCTCACTCCTTCTCAACAACAGCGACCAGTCTAAGCAAAAATAAATGGATCAAATGGAGCAGATGCTCCCACCAAGACCAAGCTACTACTACTACTACTACTACTACTACTACTCCCTGTACTTACTAGCGATGTAGTTGAGGAACCATTCACCCCTTGTAGATTGATATGAGCGTCCGGCTTCTTTTTTCTCTTTTTCTTGCTCTTGCAGCAGCATTTCGCACAGATGCAGATAATACACACCAAAAACATCAAGACGATGACGGCAAAGATGGTGTAAATAGCCCATCTTGGCACTGCGGGAGACAAGAAAAGACAGCAGTTTGTCTCATTGTGACAGACATCTGAAGCATGAGGCAAGAGCACAGCCAGCAGGATTAAGGAGAGATTCACTTGTAACAAGTAGAAATGGAGAGCTATTCGAAAATACATTTGCCTTGTATTTATGTGAGAGCAGCAGCCCCTAGCTGCCGAGTCTTGGGAGAGTCAGTGTAGTCAACTTGTCTCACCATGACACACATCTGAAGCATGCAGCAAGAGCACAGCCAACAAGATTCAGGAGAAATAAACTTGTATAATAAGTGAAAATGGAGAGCTAAGAAATGTGCGCTGGGAGTGAAATTAGATATGACACATGGAGACAGGTGCCCAGGCAGGCAGGCAGGCAGCTCTCCCCTGCCATGTCTGTTGAAAGTGGGACAGAAGGGGGGCAGCGTAGGGGTGCCCACTCAGGAGAGGGTGGGGGGTGTCAGAGGAGGGGTGTCAGAGGAGGGGGGGGGGGGGGGGGGGGGGGGGGGGGGGGGGGGTAAAGGGAGAGGGGGGGGGGGATTACGGGGTTACTCACAGGGAATCTTGTTCAGTAGTTGGTCTATAAACCCAGGAGCGGCGGTTGTGGGGCTGGCAGTAGTGTTAGGGGTTACGGTGCCCTTAGTTAATGGGGTTGTAGGAAACATGGTGTATGTATGGGGTGAATAGCTGAGACCTAGAATCGAGAGCAAACAGCAAACACAGGCAATGAGAAAAAGCAATTTGGGTAATTCATAGCTCAGGATGCTTCTGTGTCTGTTGACACCAACTGCTACTTTAACACAGTTACTGTACTGTTGCTCCTCAGCAGTCCCCTCTGGTAAGATAAAGTACTAATAATTTCATTGCCTTAGACCATTTTTGTTAGGTTTACAGATAATAGTTTGGAGATCATAGCATTGATGTTGAAATTATGTTTAAACCAGTGGTGGAAAAAGTACCCGATTGTCATACTTGAGTAAAAGTAAAGATACCTAAATAGAAAATGACTCAAGTAAAAGTGAAAGTCACCTAGCAAAATACTACTTGAGTAAAAGTCTAAAAGTGTGTGGTTTTAAATATTCTTAAGTATCAAAAGTAAAAGTATAAATCATTTCACATTCTTTATATTAAGCAAACCAGACGGCACAATTTTCTTGTTTTTTTTATTTACGGATAGCCAGGGGCATCCTCCAACATTCAGACATAATTTACAAATGAAGCATTTGTGTTTAGTGAGTCCGCCAGATCAGAGGCAGTAGGGATGACCAGGGATGCTCTCTTGATAAGTGGGTGAATTGGACCATTTTCCTGTCCTGCTAAGCATTCGAAATGTAACAAATACTTTTGGGTGTTAGAGAAAATGTATGGAGTAAAAAGTACATTATTTACTTTAGGAATGTAGTGGAGTAAAAGTAAAAGTTGTCAAAAATAGAAATAGTAAAGTAAAGTACAGATACCCCAAAAAACTACTTAAGTAGTACTTTAAATTATTTTTACTTAAGTACTTTACACTACTGGTTTAAACTCAAGTTGTACCCAACACCCATTCTTTCTTACACACAAAATATTGTGCCTCTGCTTGCAAAAACATGGTTGCCATGACAGAGGAGAGTGGATACTTAGCCACCACCATTGTTAAACAACTGCATGGTTGAGTGCTGACAGCTCCACAAAGGCAGATTAAAACAGGGTGTGCTGCACTCCCCTGATAACATTATTTTCTAAATGGTATTTCAAACAAAATGACCATAGCACAGCGGATTACTTTTCTTTACTTTACATGACGTAAATATATTCATACAGATGCTTTTCAATTGGAATGTGTCAGTGGTGTAAAGTACTTAAGTAAAAATACTACTTAAGTCGGGTTTTTTTTGTATCTGTACATTACTTTTACTTTTACTTTACTGAATTCCTAAAGAAAATTATGTACTTTTTACTCCATACATTTCCCTGACACCCAAAAGTATTTGTTACATTTTGAATGCTTAGCAGGACAGGAAAATTGTTAAATTCACGCCCTTATCAAGAGAACATCCCTGGTCATCCCTACTGTCTTTGATCTGGCGGACTCACTAAATACACATGTTTAATTTGTAAATGATGTCTGAGTGTTGGAGTGTGTCCCTGGCTACCCGTAAATAAAATAAAAAACAAGAAAATGGTGCCGTCTGGCCTGCTTAATATAAGGAATTTGAAATTATTTGTACTTGTACTTTTACATTTGATACTTAAGTATATTTTAGCAATTACATTTACTTTGATACAGTATATTTAAAATCAAATACTTTTAGACTTTTACTCAAGTAGTATTTTACTGGGTGACTTTCACTTTTACTTGAGTCATTTTCTATTAAGGTATCTTTAATTCTACTCAAGTATGACAATTGGATACTTTTTCCACCACCGGAATGTGTCAACAGTAAGGAAAAGTCAATACAAAGATGGACACTCAATGGACAATATCCCTAAAACCCAATACAAGGTGTTTTATACAGTAGCTGCTAGTTCAAAGAGACAGTATTTGAGCATTAGAACAAAGATAATGAAAAGACAGAGTACCACAAGAGCTTGTATCTCAAGAGCTCGAGTCTTTGTTCACATGAACACAACCAACAACCGTACAACAGGCAAACAATTGTTTTATTAATAGATACCTATATTCTGAGAGAATCAGGTTTTACTTACAATATAGGGAAACGTATATGTAAAAACATAAGGTAGTACTCACTGTTTCAGTACCAGTGTAGTTTTATCCTTATTACTGTAGCCTACTTGAAGACTATACTACTTTATCATTCATCCATGCAGTTCTCCAGCAAAAGGGAGTTACAGGATTACAACAAATGAGGGGAAGGAAGTCACTTGGCCCTGAAAGCCTAAAAGTGGCTGGATCGGCCCATAAACATTCTGTATGAAGTGTTTGATCAGTGAGAAGACGTGGTCTCATGCGGAAGATAAATAGCTATTCTTCTGCTTAGACCAATATATGCATTTCACATAGTTCATTGCTAAGCATAGAAAGGCCAACTCAGTTAGGGCGTAGCCTTCAATATTTTCCTGCAGTATCACACCTTTGTTTACAATAACATCTTTGAGTAAATTATGTTACTGATGCTTTTTACTAGTATTAAACAGCTCAATAAACTGTGTATTCTGGTTTACACAAATCTTTCTGTAATGGTGGATTGATCATTGAGTGGGTTAATTTTAAATGTGTAAATATCACACTGGTAAATTGATTGACTCACCTTTTCTCCAATGATAATAGACACGTTTGTTTCCAGAAATTTAAATTCCAATGATGTGTCTAGTCCACTTCTTGATCCCAATCATCCCATCCCTCCATTTTGTTACAGCTTGTAGATGGTAGGGAGCTTTGATGTATTTCCTCAACACATGTAACTGAAGCATTGAATACCACACCTCATGTACACACAGTGACACCACACATTGTGTGTGTGTGTGTGTGTGTGTGTGTGTGTGTGTGTGTGTGTGTGTGTGTGTGTGTGTGTGTGTGTGTGTGTGTGTGTGTGTGTGTGTGTGAGTCAGGGAACCCGTACAGCATTGGAATGTTTGGCTCCACCTCAGTATTAGAGAAGAGAACAGTAGAACAGTAGAACAGTAGAACAGTAGAACAGTAGAACAGTAGAACAGTAGAACAGTAGTCTGGATATGTTGTATAAACATGGGATGGACCAATACTACAGTACGGTATCATATTCCATTTTGAAAGGAAACCAAGGTTAAAAACACAAACATTTGCATGAACACAGGAAGATACCTAGACTAATCCGGTTCAGTTACAACAAAGTAACATCGGTGCCTCCATGAGTCAATAGTCAACCCCTCCATCATCTGTTTATTGAGCAAATAACTATTGATTTTTATCTCATTTATCTCCAATCATACTCAATCTACATGTGCGCTATAGATGGAGCTCTCTGACTATTTTATTTATGCTGAAAGTTGTCATGCATTTATAAAAATAAATGTTTAAATAGTTGCTAATAATAATCATAGCTTCCGCTGTGACTATATGGTTTCCATGACAAATAAACATGGACTCAAATCCAATGAAATATTAAGAATCTTATCAATAAGGTTTAGCTTTATTTTATTTTCTTAATATTCATTTTGGAGTACAAATATTACCTTGATTATAATAATGTTAGTTTTTAGGGGATAACTTCTGTAGTTTTGCTGGTACTACTACTCCTGTGCAGCAGATGGCAGTATTGGTTAAGTATCTGTTTCTCAGTACGGAAAAACACTGTAGCAAGGCAAACCAAAGTAGGTAGGGCAATCTGATGTCCAAGCACCGTTCCACATTATACCTTATTCTGCATAATTTGTTCAATACATGTTTGTCATTATAGCCTATTCAAATAGACAATTTTGCACAAATGCCTATTCCTGAGTCTATTGACAGTTTTCATTAAGAAACCTTAGAGAGTTTGGAGATTGTTTGGGTTATTTTTATTAATTTTTTCTCTCTCTTCTGCATTATCAAGATGGATGGTTTCAATGGTGTGCAATCCCAATTAGGGTTGAATGGCTGGAACCCAGTTCCCGAGATTTACTGCCCAAAACCACTCCCTTTTCCCAGGATAAATAACTGCGAGAAACCGGTAAATTACCATAAATTATTTATATGAACAGCATGACGTGAAATGGAACTGTTAAATTATATGCGATGTCTAAATCTGGTTTATCTACAGCATTCTCTCTGTTCTCTGTATGGTCAATCATCCAAAATAGATAATCCTGTTCAAGATGGATATAGGCACATACTGTATATCGATGTCCTAGCCTACCTCTTTCAGGTAATACATTCAATGCAGTATTGGCCTTATATTTTGCTAATAAATGATGCATAATACGCTTCTAATTTATAGCCTCTGTCTCTTCCGCAATACCCACGCACCTGTGCTCCACTGGCCTCTCTCCTTAAAAAAAGCTCCTTAGCTTAGCATTTTTTTGTGCATTTCTTACACCAGTAGACTATTAGAAGAGGGATGCAAGCTCTTGTTTGCTGAATGATAAATACAGCAGCCAATAGATCTCACAAGTAGTTTGAAAAAAGGGCGAACGCGCAATGGCGGTAGGCTATAGCAGTTATTTATTCAGACCCATAACCATTCAATCTTCGTGAAGAGAAGTGGAAGCCGTCTGCATCTAATTCTAGTACTATATTATTCAAGCATGTCATTAGAATGATGAAGATAAGGACAACAAAACGTATTTAATTGAACTGTTGAAAGCGAGGAAGGAATGAAGCAACAATATAGAGAGAAAGAGGAGGTAGGCTAATAACATTAGGGGAAATATTATAAAAGGTATATATATATATATATATATATATATATATATATATATATATATATATATATATATATCGGTCAGCCTACTAATTATAGAAATAGGCCCTATTATATTTCAAAATTGAAATCAAATTCGCTAGCCTATATTTGTAACTTTGTAGGCCGCATGTGCTGCACCAGAATTGCATGTTCTCTCCCAACTTGATCATGGTTTGAAGGAGGTGCGTAATTCCAGTCCATATAATACAGTATAAAACAATACAGTAGGCCTACAGTAATACAGTTCACACTCAAAAAGATTAGCCTACTGGAGCTTGTTTCATTTATTTACCCAAGAGAGCATAGGCTATAGCTAGCTACATCTATGGGCTTTCATGTTTTTATGTTGTGAGTAATGTGCAGTAACCTATACCTATATCATATACAGTACCAGTCAAAAGTTTGGACACACCTTCTCATTCAAGGGTTTTTCTACATTGTGGAATAATAGTGAAGACATCAAAACTATGAAAGAACACATAGAATGTAGTAACCAAAAAAGTGTTAAACAAATCTAAATATATTTTATATTTGAGATTCTTCAAAGTAGCCACCCTTTGCCTTGATGCCTCTTGGCATTCTCTCAACCAGCTTCACCTGGAATAATTTTCCAACAGTCTTGAAGGAGTTCCCACATATGCTGAGCACTTGTTGGCTGCTTTTCCTTCACTCTGCGGTCCAACTCATCCCAAACCATTTCAATTGGGTTGAGGTCGGGTGATTGTGGAGGCCAGGTCATCTGATGCAGCACTCCATCACTCTCGTTCTTGGTAAAATAGCCCTTACACAGCCTGGAGGTGTGTTGGGTCATAGTCCTGTTGAAAAACAAAAGATAGTCCCACAGCTTTGCACACTCTTGGCATTCTCTCAACCAGCTTCATGAGGTAGTCACCTGGAATGCATTTCAATTAACAGGTGCGCCTTCTTAAAAGTTCATTTGTGGTATTTCTTTCCTTCTTAATGCGTTTGAGCCAATCAGTTGTGTTGAGACAAGGTAGGGGTGGTATACAGAAGATAGCCCTATTTGGTAAAACACCAAGTCCATATTATGGCAAGAACAGCTCAAATAAGCAAAGAGAAACGACAGTCCATCAAGACATGAAGGTCAGTCAATCCGGAAAAGTTGTGTGCAGTCGCAAAAACCATCAAGCGCTATGATGAAGCTGGATCTCATGAGGACCACCACAGGAAAGGAAGAACCAGAGTTACCTCTGCTGCAGAGGATAAGTTCATTAGAGTTACCAGCCTCAGAAATTGCAGCCCAAATAAAGTTCAAGTAACAGACACATCTCAACATCAACTGTTCAGAGGAGACTACGTGAATTAGGCCTTCATTGTCGATTTGCTGCAAAGAAACCACTACTAAAGGACACCAATAAGAAGAAGAGACTTGCTTGGGCCAAGAAACATGAGCAAATGGACATTAGACCGGTGGAAATATGTCCTTTGGTCTGATCAGTCCAAATTTGAGATTTTTTGTTCCAACCCCCGTGTCTTTGTGAGACGCAGAGTAGATGAAAGGATGATCTCTGCATGTGTGGTTCCCACCGTGAAGCATGGAGGAGGAGGTGTGATGTTGTGGGGGTGCTTTGCTGGTGACGCTCTCTGTGATTTATTTAGAATTCAAGGCACACTTAACCAGCATGGCTACCACAGCATTCTGCAGCAATACGCCATCCCATCTGGTTTGCGATCAGTGGGACTATCATTTGTTTTTCAACCGGACAATGACCCAACACACCTCCAGGCTGTGTAAGGGCTATTTGACCAAGAACGAGAGTGATGGAGTGCTGCATCAGATGACCTGGCCTCCACAATCACCCGACCTCAACCCAATTGAGATGGTTTGGGATGAGTTGGACCGCAGAGTGAAGGAAAAGCAGCCAACAGGTGCTCAGCATATGTGGGAACTTCTTCAAGACTGTTGGAAAAGCATTCCAGGTGAAGCTGGTTGAGAGAATGACAAGAGTGGGCAAAGCTGTCATCAAGGCAAAGGGTGGCTACTTTGAAGAATCTCAAATATAAAATATATTTTGATTTGTTTAACAAATTTTTGGTTACTACATGATTCTATATGTGTTCTTTCATGGTTTTGATGTCTTCACTATTATTCCACTATGTAGAAAATAGTAAAAATAAAGAAAAACCCTTGAATGAGTAGGTGTGTCCAAACTTCTGACTGGTACTGCATGTATTGGATAACGACACAATCATTTGGGCTTGGGCTCATAACATGTCCTTAATGTAGGGCTCATAAAATGTATTTAATGTATGGCTCATCAGGCTCAGGTAGCATCAGGCTTGAATTTTCGATCAAATCTCTAATAAAATCCAGATATACGCCTATATGCTTTATATGCTTTTGAATTACACTTCCGGTTTTGGCGGGAAATACCGGGTTAACCGGGAGAAAAGTGATTTATTCTCGGGATGGAAGAGTTGTAAAATACCAGGACAATATACTTTGTTTCCTTTTCTCTCTCGCTCTCCTCCCACACTACTCACTCTGCCCCTACACAGATGGTAATGCGCCGCCGCAACCTTCGCTCTCTCTCTCCCACTACTCTCTCCTCTTCCATCCTATCATCTCTTCCCTCTGCTCAATCCTTCTCCCTCCAATCTCCTGATTCTGCCTCCTCAACCCTCCTTTCCTCCCTTTCTGCATCCTTTGACTCTCTGTGTCCCCTATCCTCCCGGCCGGCTCGGTCCTCCCCTCCAGCTCCGTGGCTTGATGACTCATTGCGAGCTCACAGAACAGAGCTCCGGGCAGCGGAGCGGAAATGGAAGAAAACTAAACTCCCTGCCGACCTGGCATCTTTTCACTCCCTCCTCTCTACATTTTCTTCATCTGTTTCTGCTGCTAAGGCCACCTTCTACCACTCTAAATTCCAAGCATCTGCCTCTAACCCTAGGAAGCTCTTTGCCACATTTTCCTCCCTCCTGAATCCTCCCCCCCCCCCCCCCCCCCCTCCTCTCTCTCTGTAGATGACTTCGTCAACCACTTTGAAAAGAAGGTTGACGACATCCGATCCTCGTTTGTTAAGTCTAATGACACTGCTGGTCCTGCTCACACTGCCCTACCCTATGCTTTGACTTCTTTCTCCCCTCTCTCTCCAGATAAAATCCTGCGACTTGTGACTGCTGGCCGCCCAACAACCTGCCCGCTTGACCCCATCCCCTCCTCCCTTCTCCAGACCATCTCCGGTGACCTTCTCCCCTACCTCACCTCGCTGATCAACTCATCCTTGACCGCTGGCCATGTCCCTTCCGTCTTCAAGAGAGCGAGAGTTGCTCCCCTTCTCAAAAAACCAACACTCGACCCCACTGATGTCAACAACTACAGACCAGTATCCCTTCTTTCTTTTCTTTCCAAAACTATTGAGCGTGCCGTCTTTAGCCAACTCTCTTGCTATCTCTCTCAGAATGACCATCTTGATCCAAACCAATCAGGTTTCAGGACTGGTCATTCAACTGAGACTGCTCTTCTCTGTGTCACTGAGACTCTCCGCACTGCTAAAGCTAACTCTCTCTCCTCTGCTCTTGTCCTTCTAGACCTGTCTGCTGCCTTTGATACTGTGAACCATCAGATCCTCCTCTCCACCCTCTCCGAGCTGGGCATCTCCGGCGCGGCTCACTCCTGGATTGCGTCCTACCTGACCGGTCGCTCCTACCAAGTGGCGTGGCGAGAAGCTGTCTCCGCACCACGTGCTCTCACCACTGGTGTCCCCCAGGGCTCAGTTCTAGGCCCTCTCCTTTTCTCCCTATACACCAAGTCACTTGGCTCTGTCATATCCTCACATGGCCTTTCCTATCATTGCTACGCTGACGATACACAACTAATCTTCTCCTTTCCCCCTTCTGATAACCAGGTGGCGAATCGCATCTCTGCATGTCTGGCAGACATATCAGTATGGATGACGGATCACCACCTCAAGCTGAACCCTGGCAAGACGGAGCTGCTCTTCCTCCCGGGGAAGGACTGCCCGTTCCATGATCTCGCCATCACGGTTGACAACTCCGCTGTGTCCTCCTCCCAGAGTGCGAAGAGCCTAGGCGTGACCCTGGACAACACCCTGTCGTTCTCCGCCAACATCAAGGCGGTGACCCGCTCCTGCAGGTTCATGCTCTACAACATTCGGAGAGTACGACCCTGCCTTACACAGGAAGCGGCACAGGTCCTAATCCAGGCACTTGTCATCTCCCGTCTGGACTACTGCAACTCGCTGTTGGCTGGCCTCCCTGCCTGTGCCATTAAACCCCTACAACTCATCCAGAATGCCGCAGCCCGTCTGGTGTTCAACCTTCCCAAGTTCTCTCACGTCACCCCCCCTCCTCCGCACACTCCACTGGCTTCCAGTTGAAGCTCGCATCCGCTACAAGACCATGGTGCTTGCCTATGGAGCAGTGAGGGGAACGGCACCTATGTACCTTCAGGCTCTGATCAGTCCCTACACCCAAACGAGGGCATTGCGTTCATCCACCTCTGGCCTGCTGGCTCCCCTTCCTCTGCGGAAGCATAGCTCCCGCTCAGCCCAGTCAAAACTGTTCGCTGCTCTGGCACCCCAATGGTGGAACAAGCTCCCTCACGACGCCAGGACAGCGGAGTCACTCACCACCTTCCGGAGACATTTGAAACCCCACCTCTTTAAGGAATACCTGGGATAGGATAAAGTGTTCCTTCTAACCCCCCCCCCCCCCCCCCCCCCCCCCCCCCCCCCAAATTGTAAAGTGGTTATCCCACTGGCTATAGGGTGAACGCACCAATTTGCGAGTCGCTCTGGCTAAGAGCGTCTGCTAAATGACGTTAATGTGCCCTTGAGCAAGGCACTTAACCCTAATTGCTCCTGTAAGTCGCTCTGGATAAGAGCGTCTGCTAAATGACTAAAATGTAAATGTAAATGTAATATTCAATCCTAATCCCGATGTCAAGCAGGTGAGACATCGACATGTCAAATATCCTGCGGCAAATCTGTCTAGTTGCAGTTACTCATAATAGTCCCCCAGAACAACTACTTGTAGGCTATGGGGTATTATCAATGTTTGAGCAATATTATTGAATGTTTCTTTCTGTCTCTAGAGAGACGCAACTCCGGCTGTGGTTGTTGAAGTGTAATCAGACGCTGAGCAAGTCCATGGAGAAACAGAACCTTTGAGAAAGAGAGATGCTTTTTCGTTCATCAAGGTGAACATTCATAATTTTAAGCATCCATTCTGTATGCACAGTTAGTAAAATACACAGATGTGGTAATTCATTTATGAATGAATACATTAATAGTTTGAATACGTCTTTCTTCAGAAATATTATTTCTTCAGAAATGAAGTTTGTTTTGCATGCTTTTATCCTCCCCAGGCCATCCAGGAAGTGAATGAAAGACTGCTGACCATGAACCCTGATGAGATATTCCTGTTTGATGTGATTCTGCTGGCCAATGACAGCGAAGAAACACACTCAAATATCATTGCCAGTGCAAAACATTATGGTATGGCATAAACTTTGAGTTACAGTAGGGGTATGGAAGAGAATCACAACAAGATATGTAAGATGAATCCCTATTTTCAAGAACAGTGTTCTTACTTTATTATTCAGTAGTCATTTTTAGGTAATCCATGTGTAGGCCTAGTTAACGTGTAATTATCACAAACTGGATGTTGTATTTCTTGTATTCCCCAAAAGTTATTGATATTAGCAGATTTTACTTCTGCGACAAGGAGGATTCCATTTAGAGCCTGCAACCAAATAACCTGAAGCCGTACTTGTCAACAGATACCAATGATGTTTGCAAGGCCTTACTAAAGAAAAGTATTGCTGTGTCACGGAATCAGCCGAGGCTGCTCCTCCTCCTTGCTCGGGCAGGCTTCGGTGTTCATCGTCCCCGGAGTACTAGCTGCCACCGATCTATGTTTCGGTGTTTGTCTAGTTTGTCTTGATTGTTTTCACCTGTTTCCCATTATGTTACATTGTATTTCCTTTATAACCCCCTGTCTCTCATTGGTTATTGTGTGTGATTGTTTTCCGTGAGGTCGGCAGTGTTCGGGTGTATGCGTATTTTGTTCCTCCCTGTTTGGAGGTTTTGTTTGTAATTTTTATTACTGTGCAAGTAAAGTTCGTCTGCCAGTAGCTTGGTGTCCTGCGCTTTTCTTCGCTCACAGCATACACGTCGCCCTGACATGCTGTCTGTACTCCAGGGTTCCATGACAGAGTTTGCTGTGTTGATGGGTGAGATGAGGAGGAGGTTTAGGCTGGAGCTCCAGGGAAGTGTGTGCCAGTGCCCTTAAGACTCTACGAGGCTGGGGACTGCTGGTGGATGAGGCCTTCTGCCTGGCTGGAGCCACTCATAGCCCTATCCTTAACTTGGTACGGCATCATGTACTCTGCCTCAACTGCCTGTATCACATGGAGGGGGTCACTACGATGTCATGATTGATGGCAGACCAATGGGGAGAAGATACTGTGTATTTTGGGGTATTTTTTTGGCTCCAGTTTTACATATTTCACTGGCATGTTTATCATTTATCATTCATACGACAGCTGCCATCTTCAGTATATCATTGAACCAACTGCTTAAACAGATTGTAAATATTGAAATATTCCTTTAATCTTGATTGTTTAAGAGCAGAAGCACACAATGCATTCTGAATGACACACATTCTTCCTCAGGTGGAGCGCTGCATCAAAATAATCATAATTAGGGTGGTGCTTATATTTGTCCTACTTCACACATGTACAAGTGGGTATTATACACATGTGTGAATTGCAAATTTATTTTTGCATATCCCACTCCCCCTGAGACACCCTCGGAGAGTGGGGTCACAGCCAGGGATCAGCCATTATTGATGGCGACCCTGGAGCAATTAGGGTTAAGTGCCTTTCTCAAAGGCACATCAGCAGATTTCTCAGCTAGTTGTCTTGGGGATTTGAACCAGCAACATTTTTGGCTGGCACAACACTCTTAACCGCTAGGCTACCTGCCGCCCGCATTGCCTACATCAATAAGAATTAGCTTAGCTCCAATATTTGAACCTGTGAATTAGCCTCAGGTAGGTAATGTGTTGCATGACAGGAGTGACAGGTACACAGCAACAAGCAAACAAAGATTTGTATAAATTCCTCTCAGGAGAGACGATATCCAGTCTATGGATCCTTACTCTACAGTTCAACATCACAGCAGTGGTGGAGAAGCCATCAGAACTTGCATCGACAACAACCACAAGAAAGCCTCAAAATGAAGATTTTATATCTCAGTGTGTTAGCAACTTGTGCGTGGACGTCCGAGTCACTCATACGGTATGATACACAGCAGATATGTTTTTAATAACATTTCTAGTTCATTTATAAAACATGTGCATTATTAACTGCATTAGTAATGTGTGGTTTGCAACTGAACATTACCTAAATTATGCAGTAATTCTATATGAATTATGTAGAAATAAAAATAGATTGCTGGAGATCTGTATAAAAGTATACTGCTTAAAACATTATTACTTGTTCATACTTAGTGAAGGCTTGATAAAGGTCCTAGAGGCACTGAGAAGATCCTTATGTCCTGTACCTTTTTTGTTGATTTTGCTATCCAGTATTCCCCTCACAAAGTTTAAGTCCTTGAGGCAATCTATGTCTGACTCAGAGAGGGATTTCAGTAATCTATTCCATGATTCCTACTCCGACACCTTTGACGACGATGACGCCAGTGGGCCCAGCAAAGTGGCTCTGAGGAACTATGTTGATGTAAGGGTCTGCCCGCCTTATGCACAGTATAAGTCATATAAAAGTCCTATTTCATTTGCACAGTAAGGGGCCTTATGCACAGTAACTCAAGTCATACTTCGCCCATTATGCATTAATCATTGTGCATTGGTTTTGATATATCTTCTTCATCGTTGATGTGATTGTGTCTCCAGGCTCAGTTCTATGGAGAGATTAGTCTAGGAACCCCACCTCAAATGTTCAGGGTGACCTTTGACACTGGATCCAACGATCTCTGGGTGCCCTCTTCCAAGTGCTCCGTCGCTGACATCACATGCTGTAAGTCTCATCATGCATTGTGCACATGGGTAGCATTTTCTCAGACTATTCCCTGTAGCATATACACTGAATGTACAATTCTTTTTTACTCTAGGAATATCATGTATATTATATGATACTGCAATTTAATGTTAGCACAGTCAGAGTCTAGGAAAGTAAAAGGCATATGGAAATATACACTGAGTGTACAAAAAATTAAGAACACTGCTATTTCCATGACATAGACTGACCAGGTAAATCCAGGTGAAAGCTATGATCCCTTATTGATGTCACCTATTAAGTCCACTTCAGTCAGTCTAGATGAAGGGGAGGAGACAAGGTAAAGAAGGATTTTTAAGCATTGAGACAATTCAAATATGGGTTGTGTATGTGTGCTATTCAGAGGGTGAATGGGCAAGACAAAATATTTAAGTGCCTTTGAACGGGTCATGGTAGTAGGTGCCAGGCGCACCGGTTTGAGTGTGTCAATAACTGCAACGCTGCTGGGTTTTTCACACTCAACATTTCCTGTATGTATCAAGAATGGTCCACCACCCAAAGGACATCCAGCCAACTTGACACAACTGTGGGCATTGGAGTCAACATGGGCCAGCATCCCTGGGGAACGCTTTCGACACCTTCTAGAGTCCATGCCCCGATGAATTGAGGCTGTTCTGAGGGCAAAAGGGGGTGCAACTCAATATTAGGAAGGTGTTTCTAATGTTTTGCACACTCAGTGTATATTTGGAGTAAATGGATATAAGGTTTAAAAAGAAAGAGAGACCAAACCCAAGGGCGATTTAATGTCTGAGTGACATTTATGTCAATATTAGGAATAAACATTGTGAATTGTGACTTAATGTCTTAGCTAGTTGTTTGTTCAGAAAATACAATTTCAAACTGATGATGTACAGTGGCTTGCGAAAGTATTCACCCCCCTTGGCATTTTTCCTATTTTGTTGCCTTACAACCTGGAATTAAAATTGATTTTTTGGGGGTTTGTATCATTTGATTTACACAACATGCCTACCACTTTGAAGATGCAAAATATGTTTTATTGTGAAACAAACAAGAAATAAGACAAAAAAACAGAAAACTTGAGCGTGCATAACTATTCACCCCCCCAAAGTCAATACTTTGTAGAGCCACCTATTGCAGCAATTACAGCTGCAAGTCTCTTGGGGTATGTCTCTATAAGCTTGGCACATCTAGCCACTGGGATATTTGCCCATTCTTCAAGGCAAAACTGCTCCAGCTCCTTGAAGTTGGATGGGTTCCGCTGGTGTACAGCAATCTTTAAGTCATACCACAGATTCTCAATTGCATTGAGGTCTGGGCTTTGACTAGGCCATTCCAAGACATTTAAATGTTTCCCCTTAAACCACTCAAGTGTTGCTTAAGCAGTATGCTTAGGGTCATTGTACTGCTGGAAGGTGAACCTCCGTCCCAGTTTCAAATCTCTGGAAGACTGAAACAGGTTTCCCTCAAGAATTTCCCTGTATTTAGCGTCATCCATCATTCCTTCAATTCTGACCAGTTTCCCAGTCCCTGCCAATGAAAAACATCCCCACAGCATGATGCTGCCACCACCATGATTCACTGTGGGGATGTTGTTCTCGGGGTGATGAGAGGTGTTGGGTTTGCGCCAGACATAGCATTTTCCTTGATGGTCAAAAAGCTCAATTTTAGTCTCATCTGACCAGAGTACCTTCTTCCATATGTTTGGGAGTCTCCCACATGCCTTTTGGCGAACACCAAACATGTTTGCTTATTTTTTTCTTTAAGCAATGGCTTTTTTCTAACCACTCTTCCGTAAAGCCCAGCTCTGTGGAGTGTACAACTTAAAGTGGTCCTATGGACATATACTCCAATCTCCACTGTGGAGCTTTGTAGCTCCTTCAGTGTTATCTTTGGTCTCTTTGTTGCCTCTCTGATTAATGACAACTTTGTCCCTGAACTGTTTGGAGAGCCGCTTGCTTGGTGGTTCCCCTTGCTTAGTGGTGTTGCAGACTCTGGGGCCTTTCAGAACAGGTGTATATATACTGAGATCATGTGACAGATCATGTGACACTTAGATTGCACATAGGTGGACTTTATTTAACTAATTATGTGACTTCTGAAGGTAATTGGTTGCACCAGATCTTATTTAGGGGCTTCATAGCAAAGGGGGTGAATACATATGCACGCACCACTTTGCCATTACTTATTTTATAGAATTTCTTTGAAACAAGTTATTTTTTTCATTCCACTTCACCAATTTGGACTATTTTGTGTATGTCCATTACATGAAATCCAAATAAAAATCCATTTAAATTACAGGTTGTAATGCAACAAAATAGGAAAAACGGCAAGGGGGATGAATACTTTTGCAAGGCACCGTCTGTTTAACGTTGTATTGCAGTGATTCACAGGAAATACAATGATACCAAGTCCAGCACATATGTCAAGGGTGGAAAATACTTTTCAATGCATTATGGACTGGGAAGTGTAACCGGGTATCTCAGCCAGGATACATGCACAGTAAGTTTGGAAAGGAGGAGAAATGAACTGTTGTCACTGACAGATGATATAGTTTTAAATCGTCTTCTTTGCTCTTCTGTCAGATTGGAAGTGTATCCGTAAAAGATCAGGTGTTTGGTGAGGCCGTCAAGATATATGGAGCGAACTTCGTTGGTGCTAGGTTCGATGGAGTTCTGGGTATGTCTTACCCAACGGATGATGCCATGAGCCCTGTCTTTGACAACATAATGAGAGAGAAGTTGTTGGCGGAGAATGTTTTCTCCTTCTACCTCAACCACAGGTGAGTGGCGATAGTGAAGTGGAACACAGATCATTATTGTATTTTATACCTATTTATCCAGAAAGTCCCATTGAGCAGAATAACTGTAAGTTAACATGGCAGTTTTAGAAATCTACTTGTACCACTGGAAATGTACTGTAGATGCTGTCTTCTGATGGGCACTACTGTTCTGTGACAGGATCTCCTCCAACCAGCCAGGGGGACAGCTAGTGCTGGGAGGGACTGACCCTGCATACTACACTGGGGACTTCCACTATGTCAACGTCACCACAAAGGACCTCTGGAACATCCACATGGACGGGTTAGTGCTGCTAGCCAGTGTTTTTTTTTATTTTAAAGTAACTGTCCAGTGTTTCCAGATTTCTATGAAATATGACCTATAATTAATTACAATATGTGTGAAAACATTTTTGTCCCCAAAAATTGTAATTAAGTATATTTAAAATAAACTTTTCTGTTTTGGAAGGGTATCGGCATATCCCAACAACAGAATGGTGTTGGTGTATACCGGTCTGTTGTGTTCAGTAATATGGTGTCGTAGCTCAGTTGAGTATTGAATACTGTTGCTTTAAGAATGTATCAGTCATATTGTCCATGCACAGAGGTGTGAGGTTTGGATAGGTGAGTTTGTACGAGATGTTAACATGTTGATCTGAAGTAAAGATGTTCAGTTTAATTGCACAAAAAGCCTCAGTGCATTTGGCGAGGAGGATGGCCGAGTTTAGCTTACCTCCACAATCTCCATCGGTCTTGGGAGATCCACCTGTTCCATGGAATCGCTGGTTTCAATCCTTTTTTTTTAAATTTAACTAGGCAAGTCAGTTAAGAACAAATTCTTATTTACAATGACGGCCTACACCGGCCAAACCCGGACGACACTGGGCGCCGCCCTATGGGACCCCGAATCACGGCCGGTTGTGATACAGCCTGGAATCGAACCAGGGGGTCTGTAGTGACGCCTCAAGCACTGAGATGCAGTGCCTTAGACCGCTGCACCACTCGGGAGCCCAGATGTATATGGTAGTTATCAATCTGCATGGAGCTGCACAAACGGGCGATTCTACTCCACTGTCTCGGTGCTGAGGGACAATATGTCATCTCCACTCTAAAGCCAGTAGATAACAAGTTTACATCGGCGGTCCAAGCTCTCTTGGAACACTACAGTGGCTCACGTAGTGTGATCATGCATAGTTTTCTCTTTAGACAATGAGCCCAACTGCTGGGTGAGTCCGTAGCACAGTTTGTCTCCTCCTTGAGAGAGCTAGTGGGACCACTCGAAAACGAATTTGTACGTGATCAGTTCATTGAAAAATCGTCATGTGCTCCACTGAGGGAGAAATTGTTGTTAGAGACCGAAGAGCTGACACTGGAGAAAGCACTGGAAAACAAATGGAAGTTGCTCTCGCTGACCTACATAAACTACAGAGCGCATCTCAGTGGGCGGGGCTTCACACACTGGCTGAGGCACCAGTGCAAAATGAGCAGGAAACCACTGTGGGGCTTCATTGTTCTAATTGTGGCTCCAGTGGGCATGCTACAAGAGCATCTCCATGTCCAGCAAAAGGGCAACGCTGCAAGAACTGCAACAAATACAATCCTTTTGCCCATTGTTGTCGTTCAGCAGCGGCAGGACAGCATCGAGCAGATGCAGGTCAAAGTTCACCAGTCTCCATTAACTCTGTACATGATGACTCAGTTGCGGCCAAGCAATGTGACTGCTACATTGAGGGTGTTAAAACCTCACTGGTGATTGACACTGGAGAAAAAGTGTCACTTTTGAACAAAGCCACTTATGACTCATTCTTCTCACATGTGCCACTGCAGAGACCAGCAGTATCCCTCTACAGCTACAACCACACACCGATCTCAATCATTGGGACTGTCTCACTGTCAGTCTGTTACAACAACAAAACCACACCGGCCACCCAGTTCTACGTTGCAACAGATGGCGCTAACATCCTCAGACTGGACTTATTTCATGCCCTAGGGTTCAAGTTGTCAGATTCAACTGGTGCACGTGTGCAGCACTTTCCTACACCAGTGCCTACGGAGTACTCACAACTTTCTGAGGTGCTAGTTCACCTCATCGGCCTACAGTCAACAAAGAGGTCAAGCCAGTAATCTAGCCATTGCGGAGGGTTCCGCTGACCCTTCGGAAGCCCATTGACAACGGACTTGACAACCTCCTTGACACCTCACCATGGGTCTCAAACCTGGTCATTGCACTCAAGAAAAATAGCGATCTTCAAATTTGCATGGACCTCAGGGCCGTGAACAAAGCGATTATCTCCGACAAGGACCCGCTACCAACCGCTGAGGAGCTCACAACCCATTTTTATGGGTCCACGTTATTCAGTAAATTAGACCTGAGGCAGGGATCCCTCCAGGTTCCCCTGGCACATGACAGGGGGCTGTTCAGGTACAAACGCATGCCATTCTGACTCAGCTCCACGCCCAGCTGATTCCAGAAGATTATGACTCTTCTCCTGGCAGGCATCCCTGGAGTGTAAATCTGTTTGGATGACATTGTGGTACACTGTGCATCACAGACAGAGCACAATTCTCACTTGCAGCAGGTGTTTTGTCAGCTCTTCGAGATCGGGGCCAGACTCAACACAGAAAAGTGTGTGTTCGGGGTGTCAGACGTTGAGTTCCTTGGATACATCACCCCCATCCTGTCCCATAGTGGTCCTCTGTAGCTCAGCTGGTAGAGCATGGCGCTTGTAACGCCAAGGTAGTGGGTTCGATCCCCGGGACCACCCATACACAAAAATGTATGCACGCATGACTGTAAGTCGCTTTGGATAAAAGCGTCTGCTAAATGGCATATTATTATTATTATTCTCACCTTACCTGAGCCTCAGTCCGCAGCACAGCTGGCATCATTCCTCGGCAAGGCAACATACTACTTACAGTTTCTTCCAAGCTACGCTGTGACGTTCAGTTTAATTGCACAACAAGCCTCCATTCATTTGTAACATGGTCATTAAAAATATTCATGCGAGTAGTCCGCTGATTGGCCAGCTCATCCTCCATGAGGAAATAGCAAGCATTTGAGGAAATAGCAAGCATTTTTTTAAACGGTCTGTTTGAGAGACAAGTTTGAGGTGGGGTTTTTGAAGTGTTTTCTTTCTCCAATTTATGCTTTGGCCACAAATACAAGTATAGGATGAGTCAACAACATTATCTGGCTATGAGTTAACAGAATATTAACTTTTAAAAGCTAGATTTTCATGGGACAGTCATTAGGGTGTACACCCACTCTGCCCAGAGTGGGTGAAAACGTGCATTGGTGATGACATTTCACTTCCTTATGTTATAAAATACATTTTACAGAGACAAATATGATTCTTCATGTTCTGAATCGTTCAGTGGGATCTATCTCTAACATATCGTTAACATTATATACAAAAAGTCCAATTTCGGAACTGCATACATCCGATAAAATGCACCGAGCTCTGTCGCCGAAACCTTTGAGTATTTTACATTTTGAGAATGTACAAGTTGTTTCTGCTAAATTAGCATGGCACGAGCTGAAATAAACTAAAAGGCTTTGAAAATAAAAAAGCTTGCAGTACGCTCAATGCTAATTTCCCGATTTTTGACCCCGCTTTTACTCCAATAGAAATTCAACGGATTATGATAGAGATATGAGGTTTGGACCATTGGTTTTGTTAGAGAGTTATTTACACAATTTACATATTATTTTAGCCATTGGTCAGAAGATGCGTTTTTGATTGGACACATGTTAAGTGTTGGTCCCATGTTTCATGAGCTGAAATAAAAGATCCCCTGAGGATCTGAGGAGTATTTCTGTCTGTAATAAAGCCCTTTTGTGTGGAGAAACGTATTCTGATTGGCTGGGCCTGACTCCCCAGTGAGTGGGCCTATGCCCTCCCAGGCCCACCCATGGCTGGGCTCCTGCCCAGTCATGTGACATCCATAGATTAAGGCCTAATTAATATATATCAATTGACTGATTTCCTTGTCTGAACTGTAACTCGTTGAATCGTTGAAATTGTTGCGTTAATAATTTTGTTCAGTATATTTCTCTAACTAAATATTTGGGTGTCTTTGGCAGTTTGAACGTTGGGGAGGATGTCAAGCTGTGTAAAGGTGGCTGTGAGGCCGTAGTGGACACTGGCACCTCCCTGATCCTAGGTCCTTATGATGAGATCAGTGCTCTGCAGAAGGCTGTCGGAGCTGTGTCCTGGAACCGTGGAAAGGTAGAACATGACAGATGACAGAGACTAGAATCTCCTATTACTCTCTATCTCTTCTCTCTATCTCCCTAATCCTTTTGAAAATGCATACCAACCGACGAGTATATCGTCCTGGTATCTACCAAACCCAAGGGAGTAAAAATAATTGTAATCATGATGCTAAATAGGTCCTCGAATAGCCATTTCACAACTCTCTAGCGATTCTATTGACATTGAAGCATGTTAGCTGTGAGAGGGTAGTCTGACTGTTGTTAAACGCTAGCTGTCATTTCCCTGTTGTTTCACAGTACACGGTTGACTGTGAGAAAGTGTCCTCCCTCCCCACCGTCTCCTTCGCTGTCAGTGGAAAGGTCTACCCTCTGACTGGAGAACATTATATTCTCAGGGTAAGTACAGTATATACAGTGGGGAAAAAAGTATTTAGTCAGCCACCAATTGTGCAAGTTCTCCCACTTAAAAAGATGAGAGAGGCCTGTAATTTTCATCATAGGTACACGTCAACTATGACAGACAAAATGAGAATTTTTTTCTCCAGAAAATCACATTGTAGGATTTTTAATGAATTTATTGGCATATGATGGTGGAAAATAAGTATTTGGTCAATAACAAAAGTTTCTCAATACTTTGTTATATGCCCTTTGTTGGCAATGACACAGGTCAAACGTTTTCTGTAAGTCTTCACAAGGTTTTCACACACTGTTGCTGGTATTTTGGCCCATTCCTCCATGCAGATCTCCTCTAGAGCAGTGATGTTTTGGGGCTGTCGCTGGGCAACACAGACTTTCAACTCCCTCCAAAGATTTTCTATGGGGTTGAGATCTGGAGACTGGCTAGGCCACTCCAGGACCTTGAAATGCTTCTTACGAAGCCACTCCTTCGTTGCCCTGGCGGTGTGTTTGGGATCATTGTCATGCTGAAAGACCCAGCCACGTTTCATCTTCAATGCCCTTGCTGATGGAAGGAGGGTTTCACTCAAAATCTCACGATACATGGCCCCATTCATTCTTTCCTTTACACGGATCAGTCGTCCTGGTCCCTTTGCAGAAAAACAGCCCCAAAGCATGATGTTTCCAACCCCATGCTTCACAGTAGGTATGGTGTTCTTTGGATGCAACTTAGCATTCTTTGTCCTCCAAACATGACGAGTTGAGTTTTTACCAAAAAGTTATATTTTGGTTTCATCTGACCATATGACATTCTCCCAATCCTCTTCTGGATCATCCAAATGCACTTCAGACGGGCCTGGACATGTACTGGCTTAAGCAGGGGGACACGTCTCGCACTGCAGGATTTGAGTCCCTGGCGGCGTAGTGTGTTACTGATGGTTGGCTTTGTTACTTTGGTCCCAGCTCTCTGCAGGTCATTCACTAGGTCCCCCCGTGTGGTTCTGGGATTTTTGCTCACCGTTCTTGTGATCATTTTGACCCCACGGGGTGAGATCTTGCGTGGAGCCCCAGATCGAGGGAGATTATCAGTGGTCTTGTATGTCTTCCATTTCCTAATAATTGCTCCCACAGTTGATTTCTTCAAACCAAGCTGCTTACCTATTGCAGATTCAGTCTTCCCAGCCTGGTGCAGGTCTACAATTTTGTTTTTGGTGTCCTTTGACAGCTCTTTGGTCTTGGCCATTGTAAAGTTTGGAGTGTGACTGTTTGAGGTTGTGGACAGGTGTCTTTTATACTGATAACAAGTTCAAACAGGTGCCATTAATACAGGTAACGAGTGGAGGACAGAGGAGCCTCTTAAAGAAGAAGTTACAGGTCTGTGAGAGCCAGAAATCTTGCTTGTTTGTAGGTGACCAAATACTTATTTTCCACCATAATTTGCAAATAAATTCATTAAAAATCCTACAATGTGATTTTCTGGATTTTTTTTTCTCAATTTGTCTGTCATAGTTGACGTGTACCTATGATGAAAATTACAGGCCTCTCTCATCTTTTTAAGTGGGAGAACTTGCACAATTGGTGGCTGACTAAATACTTTTTTCCCCCACTGTATAGTATATCAGGCAGTTTGTAGAGAAAACGAAATGCACTATATGGTACTGTAATGTTAGCACAGTCAGAGTCTAGGAAAGTAAAAGGCATATGGAAATATAAAGTGGAATAATTTAGCATCATTATAGAATAGAAACCTTGTTAGCATATCAGTAGATGTCACTGGTGCTCCTTCTTACCTTCTTAACTGTGTGTGTGTGTGTGTGTGTGTGTGTGTGTGTGTGTGTGTGTGTGCGGGCGTGCGCACGTGCATGAACAGTGGACTAGTAAGGGCAAGAAAGTCTGCCTTTTAGGATTTTTCGCCACAGGCTTCCCTGGCTGGACTCTGGGAGATGTCTTCATTGGAGCTTACTACACAGTCTTTGACCGGGACAACGATAGGGTGGGATTTGCCAAAGCAATATAAGGGAAAGAGAAAGGGGATACCTAGTCAGTTGCACAACTGAATACATTCAACCGAAATTTGTCTTCTGCATCCGCGTTTAACCCAACCCCTCTAGATAGCCCTGCCCAGTGAAAATAATGTTGAAAAAGAGAGTAATGCTAAAACACTTAAATTAGCTGCTGAGATTTATTGTGCTTTCATAGATTTAAAATTCTTATTTTAGAATAACAAACTTTGTACAATTATATTTGGCCTGAAAATGAGGCATGCAGACAATTAACTTCTCTCACACTGGTAACATTTGTATCATAAATAATTTTCACAGCATTCAAAGTTTAGTTTGTTTTATGAGTAAGTGGGTGCATTTTCCTGTGTTAATTTCCCTGGTTAATCTCCCTATTTAAACATGACCTCTATTTTACATATTTGTGTGTAAATAGATGAATGAATCAAATAAATACTTAACTCCCAGTTATTTGGCCATTGTGTGTGCGTGGTGTTCTTTCAGAGTAATTGCAGCTGATTGGGTGTAGTTATGATGTTGCACCAACGGCGATGTTTATCAGGATTTGTTATGGTTTTGCTGTTGCCATGAGGAAATGAATGTGGTTTCCTTTGACCTTGAATCACTTCAGCACATCCCCATCTATATGGACTCTCATTAGCCCAGCGTGCCCTCTACATGCTTTTCTTCCTGGGTACATTTATACATGTGTATTATTAAACTTTGGAATTCAGATTTGGAATTTGACATTAGGTATTAAGATAATAGTGATATTACTGATATATGAATGAGTGTTGGGTCATTAGACACAACATTGTTATGGCAATCCGACACAATTACTGCAGTGACAAATAACATTTAAAAAATGTATTCAGTCCCTGCAATGGGTTGGTTTGAGAAGTGGACTTGTTCTCCCCCTGGTACAGTGAGGGAAAAAAGTATTTGATCCCCTGCTGATTTTGTACGTTTGCCCACTGACAAAGAAATGTCTATAAAGTCTATAATTTTAATGGTAGGTTCATTTGAACAGTGAGTGACAGAATAACAACAACAAAATCCAGAAAAACGTATGTCAACATTTTTATAAATTGATTTGCATTTTAATGAGGGAAATAAGTATTTGACCCCCTCTCAATCAGAAAGATTTCTGGCTCCCAGGTGTCTTTTATACAGGTAACGAGCTGAGATTAGGAGCACACTCTTAAAGGAAGTGCTCCTAATCTCAGTTTGTTACCTGTATAAAAGACACCTGTCCACAGAAGCAATCAATCAATCAGATTCCAAACTCTCCACCATGGCCAAGACCAAAGAGCTCTCCAAGGATGTCAGGGACAAGATTGTAGACCTACACAAGGCTGGAATGGGCTACAAGACCATCACCAAGCAGCTTGGTGAGAAGGTGACAACAGTTGGTGCGATTATTCGCAAATGGAAAAAACACAAAATAACTGTCAATGTCCCTCGGCCTGGGGCTCCATGCAAGATCTCACCTCGTGGAATTGCAATGATCATGAGAACGGTGAAGAATCAGCCCAGAACTACATGGGAGGATCTTGTCAATGATCTCAAGGCAGCTGGGACCATAGTCACCAAGAAAACAATTGGTAACACACTACGCCTTGAAGGACTGAAATCCTGCAGCGCCCGCAAGGTCCCCCTGCTCAAGAAAGCACATATACAGGCCCGTCTGAAGCTTGCCAATGAACATCTGAATGATTCAGAGGAGAACTGGGTGAAAGTGTTGTGGTCAGATGAGACCAAAATCGAGCTCTTTGGCATCAACTCAACTCGCCGTGTTTGGAGGAGGAGGAATGCTGCCTATGACCCCAAGAACACCATCCCCACCGTCAAACATGGAGGTGGAAACATTATGCTTTGGGGGTGTTTTTCTGTTAAGGGGACAGGACAACTTCACCGCATCAAAGGGACGATGGACGGCGCCATTTACCGTCAAATCTTGGGTGAGAACCTCCTTCCCTCAGCCAGGGCATTGAAAATGGGTCGTGGATGGGTATTCCAGCATCACAATGACCCAAAACACACGGCCAAGGCAACAAAGGAGTGGCTCAAGAAGAAGCACATTAAGGTCCTAGATGCCTAGCCAGTCTCCAGACCTTAATCCCATAGAACATCTGTGGAGGGAGCTGAGGGTTCGAGTTGCCAAAGGTCAGCCTTGAAACCTTAATGACTTGGAGAAGATCTGCAAAGAGGAGTGGGACAAAATCCCTCCTGAGATGTGTGCAAACCTGGTGGCCAACTACAAGAAACGTCTGACCTCTGTGATTGCCAACAAGGGTTTTGCCACCAAGTACTAAGTCATATTTTGCAGAGAGGTCAAATACTTATTTCCCTCATTAAAATGCAAATCAATTTATAACATTTTTGACATGCGTTTTTCAGGATTTTTTTTTTGTTATTCTGTCTCTCACTGTTCAAATAAACCTACCATTAAAAAAAATTATAGACTGATCATGTCTTTGTCAGTGGGCAAACATACAAAATCAGCAGGGGATCAAATACTTTTTTCCCTCACTGTATGTCATGGGTTAGTCATTCTCACAAATATAGAACATCTATGATTATTGTACATGGATTATTATTTAATTAGGGTACAAAGTGCACTTGTTTGCGTCAGTCTATTGCTCTTTACAGCCCCTGCCTGCTGGTAACGAGGGCCTTATCATAAACAAGCAACAAACAATGGAGGACTTGTTGCTATCAGTATCTGTCCTGCCACATTTTTACATTCAGGTGTCTGTATTATCAAACTCATGTGAGACATGTGAGACATGATCATTCGATATTTGGTTTGTCAAATCATACTTGAGTTCTTTATTATTACATAAATTATTTTATTTTTAACATCCATTATTTACAAAGATACAAAAAAGTTCAACCTTAAGTTCAAACCATGAATGATCTTACCCGAACAATGGCAAAACGAAATTAGTAAGTATTGCACTTAATGTTATTTTTTTCTGTTTGTTTTTGTGTATGATAACACATTGTCTAATAGTACTGTATTAAGCAATAAAGTGAGTTACTGATTAGTGAACGGCAGAGTTTCGGTAAGCAACAAGGAAGTATGACTCCGATGTGTGCCAGGGTCAAAGCTCCACATGATTGATAATGGCTTCTACTGTAATGTTTCCAGGATTGATGAGAAAGCAGCAGAGGTTCTAGCATGTTGTCCAATAAAATAGTAGTCTTAAACCCCATTCCTGTGGTCAAATGACCAAATCGCCCTCTAACGGCATCATGGGTGGAATGTTATTCATTTGTTTCATAAAAAACCTGCTGAAAATCCAGTGTTTCTATGTCAAACGGTTTTGTTATATTTCAATCTTCTGTGATGTATATAAAGTGTAATATTGGGATGCAAACTCAACATTGAATACATTTCATCTGTATATCTGACATGGTACAGGTGTCTTGTTTTCTTCAGTCCATAACCATGTGTGTGAGGTGTACACTTTTGTTTCAAAGTAGATTTGTTTAAGACTACCAAGAAACACTCTGTATGACCCTGATTTAGCCCAATGCAGTAAAAAGTTAATGTGATGCTTCAGACAGGTGGGATCCTAATGCAGAAAATAGCATTTCTTTCTTTCACATGCAGTACTTCAGGTGCCTCGTTTATAAATGTTGCGTACGTACAAAATATACCCCAAAACATGTGTGCACTAGAGTTTCCTAGTTCTGACTAGCACGTGAGCGCGGCAAAGTATTTTGTGCAAATGGGGGCTATTATGACACGTTTATTCATAAAAAGATAATAACAAGATGCAGCCATTTGCTGTTAGTGACAAGAGTGAAAATCTGTGTTTTATTCATAGGAATCTATTCCACAGTAAATAGTCCAGTAGTTTATAAGTAAAATGATACAGCCCACAGTTCTATGCAAAATACTAATTGTTGTTCAATATTTTGTTTATCAATAGATTATTGTGTTTCTATCTCCTGCCTTGGTATAGGCTCTGAGATTCAATAGGCTATGATGTCACGCTCCCATCGCACAGCAATACGGTAGCCTATACCCATACTGTCAAAGTAAAATTGTTCCGAATATAAATTACAATCAATCAAGTGTTTGGCATAGGCAGCATGCATGTTCTGTTTGAAAAAGTCACTTTAAAAGACTAAAACATTCTGCCCACACCTCTACAGAAATGTGATCAAATTTGCCATTGCTCTTTCTTTCAGAAACCTACGTGGCCTAATTCCAATAGTTCCAAATGATACAGAAAATAAAAGGCGTTATTGTCACCATGAAAGGTGAATGGAGGGACATTTTCTGACAGAGTTATAATGCTTGTTCATGTGTGCACAGTTTTACGACAGGTCTGATTTATAGCGGCAAAAATGCGTATGTATGGAATGCGCCAAGTTTATAAATCTCAATATTTTTAGACGTACGTATTCTTTTCAGAAATGGCGCACGCAGATATTTAGTGTGGAAATGAGGCCCCAGGTGTGTAAGATTTAGCTTACTCGGCACAACTGAAAGAGTAAGATAGTCCCCGCAAAAAAATGAAAACCCCACCCGCCCAACCAGACAAGGCAAGCTAAATCCACTGCAGGCCTACCCCTCTACTCCTCACAGGTCAGACGTCTGGATTTTTTCATCCTCAAACCTCGCCCCTCGTCCATCATCCAGATCAGCATCAGAGAAGAACACCTTTGGGGTCTGTGGTGACGAGTTGTCATATTCTTCTTCCTCCTCTCTAGACACCTCCTCTTCCTCATCATCATCATCATCGTCGTCACCTTCCCGCTCCCCATTGTCGGGTATGATGACCACTTCCTCCTTGGCGTTTGGGTCGATGTCCTCTTTGAACCAGACTGACTTGTAGCCCTCCTCCATGCGCCTCTCCTTGGTCAGGATGGGCTTCACCTCCTTCTCGCTGTCGGCCTTGTCAGACCCTGCCAGGCTGCTGGTATCAGGCAGGAGGTTGGGGTACATTGGAGCCGAGACCTTTATGACAGTCTCCTCCACAGCTCTGGAGGTCACTCCATTCCCGATGGCCCACTTCCCATCCATCTCCTCTGGGCCTTTGGAGCCCACGCTGCTGGTGTCCCCGTCATTCTGGAAGCCCTCATTGGTGTACTGCACCCCGTCCTTGAGCTCGCCGGGACCTTTCCCAAGCTGTAGACAAGCAATGCACCAGTCAGAACAGACTGTATTTAGGGAGGCAGAGCAAAAATCTTTAACACTAATATAATTTTTTTGCCACTCCAATCGATTACTACACTTCAAAAGGGTTTTTCAGCTGTTCCCATAGGAGAACCCTTTTTGTTTCCAGATATAACCCTTTTAGGTTCCATGTAGAAACCTCTGTGGAAAGGGTTCTACCTGGACCCAAAACGGTTTTTCAAAGGGTTCTCCTATGGGGACAGTCGAATAACCCTTTTAGGTTCAAGATAGCACCTTCTTTTCTAAAAGTGTAGCTTTTAAAAGCTTTGAACTGCTATTTTTTCTAGCAGTGTAGAATTAACTCACAGAGCTACGGAAGATGCTGGCCTCTGACAGCTTCCTCCAATCTGTCTTGCCCTTCTGGATGCGGAAGACGAGCAGGCCGATGAAGACCATAGAGATGACCAGTAACACAGCCATGCTAGCACCCAGGGCAGCCATGTCCCCAGGACCATACCCACCTGGGGCCCCAAGAATCCCCTCTGCAGGGGAGGTTCGAGGTCAAACACAATGTTTAAAACATGCCGCCCCTCACAGAAATAAATACAACACAAGAATGGACATTGGCATCCATCCAACATGTCTACAGGACAGCCATCTTGGTCAGGGAAAACATTATTTTTAGAGACTAATCAAATATGGTAAAATTGTGTATACAATTTTATATATGCATCTCTATAGCCCCCTCCCCCCTAAAAGTAGGAGGATTAGGGAAGGGGTTTATCAGGATGTGCAATAACCACAGGAATGTCCCAAGAAAGACCTCTAGTCCCAAGAAAGACCTGTGAGTATAATTTCAGCAAGCTTGGGTAAGCGCAGGTTTGCAAGCTATGGACATTGGTTTTACAATCAGTGAATGGCTTTTGGGAGGTGTTGACAAGCCAAGCAAAAGCACTGTGTGTGACCTTGTGTAAGAAGCATAGGCAGCAGCAATAGCCATTATCAGTGAGGTTGTGTTTGGAGTCTCCTGGGAGAAAAATACGGGGGATTAGAGGATACCCACATGAAAAAATACTATTGTATACTATGGTATAAATACTGTAGTATTACTATATTTATATACTATATTATTCACTGTAGTATTTTTGTGGACTTTACTGTAATGCATACTGTAGTGTTTTTGCGGATATGGCTGTAGTATCCTGTAGTAATTACTGTAGTGTTTTTGAGGACATGATTGTAGTATACTGTAGTATTTACTGTAGTGTTTTTGCGGACATGATTGTAGTATACTGTAGTAATAACTGTAGTGTTTTTGAGGACATTACTGTGTATTTACTACAGCGTTTTTGTTTTATTATCTTTGACATAGAAGTGGGGGCTTTCTCCTTGAGGAAACCTACTGGACAAATACTAAAAGAGCAAATTTGAACGGATAGTTCAGAGCTTCTGCTCTTTTCTATAAACTGTAGGTAGGTAGGTAGGACTGGAGCCTGATTGGATAGTTCAGACATTCTACTATTTTCTATCGATGTCATCTCATGGGATGAGAGGAGGAGGCAAGGCAGGCAGGGGGGAGTTTATTAGGTGGTCTGTTTATTAGGTACACCCATCTAGTACTGGGTCGGACCCCCTTTGTTTCCAGAACAGCCTGAATTCTTCGGGGCATGGAAACATTACTCAATTGGTATCAAGGGACCTAACATGTGCCAGGAAAACATTCCCCACCCCATAACACCACCAGCCTGTACTGTTGACACTAGGCAAGATGGGGCCATGGACTCATACTGCTTACTCCAAATCCTGATTCTGCCATCAGCATGACGCAACAGGAACCAGGATTCGTCGAACAAGGCAATGTTTTCCACTCTACAGTTGTCCAGTGTTGGTGATCGCATGTCCACTGGAGCCAATTCTTCTTGTTTTTAGCTGATGGAAGTGAAATCCGGTGTGGTCGTCTGCCACAATAGCCCATCCGTGACAAGGACCAACGAGTTGTGCATTCCGAGATGCAGTTCTGCACACCACTGTTGTACTGCGTCGTTATTTGCCTGTTTGTGACCCGCCTGTTAGCTTGCACGATTCTTGCCATTCTCTTTCGACCTCTCATCCACAAGTTGTTTTCGCCCACAGGACTGCCGCTGTCTGGATGTTTTTGGCTTGTTGGACCATTCTCGGTAAACCATAGACACTGTCGTGTGTGAAAAGCCCAGGAAGCTGGCTGAATCTTAGATACTGGAACCGGCACGCCTGGCACCAACGATCATACATTTTTAGTCATTTAGCAGACGCTCTTATCCAGAGCGACTTACAGTTATTTATTATTTTTTATTTTTCATACTGGCTCCCCGTGGGAATCGAACCCACAATCTGAGCTACATCCCTGCCGGCCATTCCCTCCCCTACCCTGGACGACGCTGGGCCAATTGTACGCCGTCCCATGGGTCTCCCGGTCACGGCCGGCTACGACAGAGCCTGGATTCGAACCAGGATCTCTAGTGGCACAGCTAGCACTGTGATGCAGTGCCTTAGACCACTGCGCCACTCGGGAGACATACCATACCACGTTCATACCACGTTCAATGTCGCGTAGGTCACTTGTTTTGCCCATTCCAACGTTTAATCGAACAGTAACTGAATGCCTCGATGCCTGTCTGCCTGCTTTATATAGCAAGCCACAGCAACGTGACTCACTGTCTGTAGGAGTGAACCATTTTCATGAATGGGGTGGTGTACCTAAAAACTGGCCACTGAATGTACGTATATTTAAAGTAATACCTAAAATTCAATAAGTTTTATTTTATTTACATATTTATTTACTTTTGTTAATAAAGGAAAGAAGAGTGCCAACGAGATGAGTTAAAAGTAGTTAGTGGGAGAATAGTTAAAATAGTAGTAGAGTTTAGAACAGTAAAAGTGTAAAGAACTGTTTGTAGATGCCAATAGTCAGTAATGGGAGGGGAGGGGGAGGATACGAACCCGGATTAGGGTAAGGGTTGGGTGTAGGGGATAGGGTATATGTTAATTAGGGTTATGTTGTGTTTATAAGTGAGGTATGTTGATGTTGTGTGAGGTTGAGTTTGTATCAGTCTGGCTTTGACATCTGGAGCATGATTGACAGAGGTGTTTCCATGTAACCTGTAGGGAACACAATATGTTGCCTATACTTGGCATGTAGGTTTCTCACTCATGGGTGGCACAAATTGGGATACGGGAGATAGGAATGGGTGGGGTATAAGCACATTAAATACTGTAGTATTACTATAGTTAAAAACTATAGTGTTTTTGCAGACATTTTCGTGTTTTTGTGTACTTTACATTACTTTATAACTATAGTGTTTTTATGTGGATAATACTGTAGTATTTACTATCGTATTCTCCAATATACTGCTACATTATAAAGTAAGCACTACACATGATCGAGGGATACTACAGTGTGGAGTATAGTATTCTACAGTATACTACCTTTTACTACAGTTTACTAGAGAATCCTACAGTAAATACTATAATATTCTATAGTAAACTGTAGTATTTTTCCATGTGGGTACCTGTTGTGGAGTTGATGGTGGCAGGGGTGGCAGTAGCCATTTCAGTGGTAGCCATTTCAGTGGTGGCCATTTCAGTGGTGACCATTTCAGTAGTGGCCATTTCAGTGGTGGCCATTTCAGTAGTGGCCATGTCAGTGGTAGCCATGTCAGTGGTGGCCATGTCAGTGGTGGCCATGTCAGTGGTGGTTGGGGCCATGGTTGTAATCCCTGGGAGGAGAGCAGTGTCAGCAGCTGTTCAGCATGGACCCCCTCACCATCCCTGTCCCTCACCAGGGTTAGCAATAGCATAGCATGGAGAAAGACATAGTGCGTGCAATAGCACGTGATTTGCGAGTAATTAAGGGAGAGCAGGGAGGGTAATGGGCAACCAGCATTATTTATAACTATGTAAATATATTAGCTACATTTAATGGGTTTTACCTGGCATGATCTCCACCGTGAGAGTTGCTGTAGTTGATTCTGCATTGAATGAGTCGATGGCACGCAACTGAGCAAACAGATAAAAAGTTCAACATTGAAACTCTAAGTACAAGACGTTTTTTTTTTTATGTCTCACTCAAACACCTACAGTAGACTTTCTTCCAGTTTATTTGGAGGTTGTTGTTTTGTCTTAAAGGGAACAGGATACACTCACCTGCAAGGAAACATGGCCTGGCTCAAGGTTTTGAGCCATGAGGATGAAGCCTTGCGGGGTAATAGAGAAACCACGGCTTTCCTGAACCTCGTATCTCACATCAGGGTTGAAGCCCTGTAGAGAAGGATTGGTTAGCCATACCGTTAGATAGGTGCAATAAGGTCCCTGTAATGGGAAATGTAAGACCACTAAAGATCATATTCAGAGTTAGTGTGATCAATATCAATATCATCTGTAGCATATTTAGTCTCTTTAAAAATGAAATCACAAGATCTGTACTTTAAATGTGCATGTGTGTTCACTGCTACCGCCACAAGGGAATCCGATAGACCTTACATCAGCAAAGTCTTTGTCCTTGGCCTGGACCCTGAGTGGCCTGTTGGAGGCTTTGCTCTCCAGAACCATGCTGTCTATGCCCGCGTCTGCAGAGATGAAGCCCTCGTACTCCGTCTTCTCAAACCGCGGCGGGTTCACACTCTTGGTCACAACAACGATCGTGACCGTTGTGGTCGCGAACTGGTCGCTGTTGGACGTCTGTAAAGCCTGAGAATAAGAACCGAGTCAACATTTTCTATCGCTGATTGTATCTGTGCCGCAAAAACATTCCCATGTGATGTCAACTGCATAATTCTATTAATTGCAATAAGAGGTTATTAACTACACACTCTTAGAAAAAAGGATTCCAAGGGTACCTTTTTGGTTCCAGGTAGAACTCTTTTGGGTTCCATGTAGAACCCTCTGTGGAAAGGGTTCTACAGGGAACCCAAAAGGGTTCCACCTGGAACCAAAAGGGGTTCTTCAAAAGGGTTCTCCTATGGGGACAACCGAAGAACCCTTTTCGATTCTAGATGGCACCTTTTTTTCTAAGCGTGTATAGACTATATGGTTGGCAGAGGTCTATATGGACATTATGGATTTATGAACTATTTCAGATAAACGTTTAATTACCAAAACTGTTAAGGTCAATGGACCCGCTACATCCGCCGCTTTCAACATGGTGATCTCCCCAGTGTTTTGATTGATATCAAATATGCCATTCTCTTAAAAAGAGAAAAAGAGAAATGTGAGAGTCCTGTAAGTAGGGGTATTTTCATTGGAGAAGAAAAGTGTTGTTGGCCAGGCCTATAGGTGAGATATTTGCATTGTGAATGATGGCCGAGTCTGCCAGTATCAATGATCATGATATTTCTGAGAGCCAACATCTGAGAGCATGTACATGTAAAATGTTGAATATTTATGCTGCTTACCAGTTAGAAAACTGTACATTATCGGCACATTTAAGCCTTTGTCACCATCAATGGCACGCACCGGACCTGGCTGCAATGGCAATGCACCAACCTGGGACGTAAATGAGACTTTGCATTACCTACTGTGGCTACTGTTACTACTATTACAATCCAACAATGTCATAGGCTAAGATAAACACATAATGATGGCTAGCCGTACTGAGTAGATTGTGAATATTAGTCAGATGTATTATAAGATTATAACAACGTTGTTGTTTTTTGAGGGGAGATGGATGGACGCACCTCTTGCTCTGTTAGGTTGACTTTTCCTGTATAACCTGAGCTGAGGCAGATTTTGGACAAGCCAACTGTAGTTTCTGTGCAGGGCTGGAACCATGGTGGACGGTTGTCAATGTCCAAGATGTTGACATGGATAGTGGCTGTGGCAGTAAATGAAGGTGGTGTGGGTGTTGGGGTATCCTAAAAAAAACACAACAAAGGACTAGGTGAAGATCAAAAGCTTGGATGCAGTCAGATAGATGATGATTTCAACCAATACAGTTTCTTATTCCACAGCCCCAAACAATCAGTCACTTTTATTACAAGAACTAGAAAAACACAACCAGCACTCACCTGAGCAAATAATGTAAGTGTCACCATTTTCACTGTGTCGTAGTCGAGAACTTGTTGCACTAGTATATTTGGGCTGTTATCTTGCAGTCTAAAACCCGCCTGTTAGAATTTAAAAGGACATTATTTTATTTTAGATAAGTTATGTATGGCTGAGAGGAGCATTTTCTTTTAGTATTCGCTTTCATATTTAGACAGGATGAGGATGGAGACTTACTGTATCTGGCATTAGGCGGTAATAGAGTTGATGATCATCTGCGTCTACTGCTACAAATGCACCGACACTTGTGCCTACAGGTGACAACTGGTCCAAAGAAAATAACACGTATAGTATTAATTACTGTCGCTGTCCTATGAGTAGATGTTTTGTGTTTACAGTAAATGGAATCAGACATTCTACTATGGAACCTTAACAGGATTCTAGAAATATAGCAAAGTACTCATGGCTAGTATAAAAACTGCTAGACTGTTAATCTGCTTGACTGTTTGACTGACTAGTTAAAAACGTGATCCTAACTTCCCTATGACTGATAATGAAGTAAACTAACTAGGAAAGAATGAGAGTCACAAATATGCACTCACCTCATTGACATTGAGAGTGTACTGGCTTTCTGTAAATACTGGCGGGTTGTCATTCACATTCTCAATAAGTACCACTATTGGTAAAGGGAGCTGGAATGAAGATCACATTTGAATTACTGACTCCATAGAAGTAAAATTAGGTTTAACTTACGTTTAACACTGCATGCCATCTGTCATAAATCTAATGATATTTAAGAGTTTTACCTAAAAAAAGGTCACAGTAGATTTAAATATATATTTCCCAAGTCATTTTGCTCTAATGGAATGTTGTCCCTTGAGCACTACAGATATACTGTATCATAGAAATCAAGTGCTATTTGCATGTGAAAATGTCATGGAATGCAGTTTGGAATATTGCTCCATTTACACTTTGATGGTTAACAAAATGTACAGTGGAGGTGTATGTGTATTCCATAAAATGACCATACACAAGTAAATAACAAACGCAGTTATGACTGAATACATCTCAAATCAAAATAATTTTTATTACAATGTTGATCATTGTATAACGGGCATAACTTTTTATTGTAATTGCTTTTTTTAATTATTTATTTATTGGTCCAGATTGCCCATACTGTAGCCACTCACATAATGTATGGATGTTTAAAAGTACAAGAAAGTGCACTTACAACTTGGTCACCTTTTCTGCATTGAAGGTCAACGGTGAAAGACGTGGTAGTCTGTGAAATAAACAAAATTACACATCAACGTCTCATCTGCATTATACAATTGACTATATTCATAATCAACTGCAAGAAAATAAAGGGTTAATTCATGTGGAAAAGGCACCAGCAGAGCCAAGGGAATTACAGTGGGGAAAAAAAGTATTTAGTCAGCCACCAATTGTGCAAGTTCTCCCACTTAAAAAGATGAGAGAGGCCTGTAATTTTCATCATAGGTACACGTCAACTATGACAGACAAATTGAGAAAAAAAAATCAAGAAAATCACATTGTAGGATTTTTAATGAATTTTATTTGCAAATTATGGTGGAAAATAAGTATTTGGTCACCTACAAACAAGCAAGATTTCTGGCTCTCACAGACCTGTATCTTCTTCTTTAAGGGGCTCCTCTGTCCTCCACTCGTTACCTGTATTAATGGCACCTGTTTGAACTTGTTATCAGTATAAAAGACACCTGTCCACAACCTCAAACAGTCACACTCCAAACTCCACTATGGCCAAGACCAAAGAGCTGTCAAAGGACACCAGAAACAAAACTGCCCAGGCTGGGAAGACTGAATCTGCAATAGGTAAGCAGCTTGGTTTGAATAAATCAACTGTGGGAGCAATTATTAGGAAATGGAAGACATACCAGACCACTGATAATCTCCCTCGATCTGGGGCTCCACGCAAGATCTCACCCCGTGGGGTCAAAATGATCACAAGAACGGTGAGCAAAAATCCCAGAACCACGCGGGGGTACCTAGTGAATGACCTGCAGAGAGCTGGGACCAAAGTAACAAAGCCTACCATCAGTAACACACTACGCCGCCAGGGACTCAAATCCTGCAGTGCCAGACGTGTCCCCCTGCTTAAGCCAGTACATGTCCAGGCCCGTCTGAAGTTTGCTAGAGTGCATTTGGATGATCCAGAAGAGGATTGGGAGAATGTCATATGGTCAGATGAAACCAAAATATAACTTTTTGGTAAAAACTCAACTCGTCGTGTTTGGAGGACAAAGAATGCTGAGTTGCATCCAAAGAACACCATACCTACTGTGAAGCATGGGGGTGGAAACATCATGCTTTGGGGCTGTTTTTCTGCAAAGGGACCAGGACGACTGATCCGTGTAAAGGAAAGAATGAATGGGGCCATGTATCGTGAGATTTTGAGTGAAAACCTCCTTCCATCAGTAAGGGCATTGAAGATGAAACGTGGCTGGGTCTTTCAGCATGACAATGATCCCAAACACACCGCCTGGGCAACGAAGGAGTGGCTTCGTAAGAAGCATTTCAAGGTCCTGGAGTGGCCTAGCCAGTCTCCAGATCTCAACCCCATAGAAAATCTTTGGAGGGAGTTGAAAGTCCGTGTTGCCCAGCGACAGCCCCAAAACATCACTGCTCGAGAGGAGATCTGCATGGAGGAATGGGCCAAAATACCAGCAACAGTGTGTGAAAACCTTGTGAAGACTTACAGAAAACGTTTGACCTGTGTCATTGCCAACAAAGGGTATATAACAAAGTATTGAGAAACTTTTGTTATTGACCAAATACTTATTTTCCACCATAATTTGCAAATAAATTCATTAAAAATCCTACAATGTGATTTTCTGGAAAAGAAATTCTCATTTTGTCTGTCATAGTTGACGTGTACCTATGATGAAAATTACAGGCCTCTCTCATCTTTTTAAGTGGGAGAACTTGCACAATTGGTGGCTGACTAAATACTTTTTTTCCCCACTGTAAGTGTACCCAACAATGCATGTGCCTTCCGTAGCTTAATCTAGATCCAAGATGAAAACATATTCATGCTAAACAGTTATAGCATACCTCATAGTCCATAACTTTTACCACTATAAGATTGTTGCCACTCAGACCGAAAGAGTCTGCAGGATTACTGGTAATAGTTAGGATCACTCCAACTTCTGTGGTGATTGTGGTCACAAAAGCACCAACATCATTGTTCTCTGTAATAGTGAAAATATTCCCAGGCACGGAGCATACTGCAATGGAAGAGAGAAAAGAGGTTTGACAATGAATGAACAGTACACAAATGATATAACATTACATTCAATAATTGTCTGTTTTCAATGAAAGTATAATTCAAGCAAAATGTGTTTGAACTCTATGGATATTATCCCACTGGGCACACCACGTCATTTCAACATGGAGAATTTGGTAATATTTGGTAGATACATTGATGATTGAGATTCCAACCTATTTTCACACACTCAAAAAGACAGTCCAAAGTTTGTTGAATTCTCAATGTGTTATCACAGCACTTTCAACCATTTAAAAGCACAACAAAGTTAAAACGGTAATACAATGTCAGATCTTTTGTATTTATACAACAACTTAATGTGCTTAATCTAATAGCACAACCAAATGACCTGGATTGCAGTTGAGATTATATTAAAGTACATAGTGCAAGTGATCAATGCCGTTTGAGATTCTGTGCAGATTATTACAGCAATTGTGAAGATTTCCACAGACCTACGATTCTGAACATGCATGCTTTCTACATAAGAAGACGTTTATTTTTACAGTAAACTCAAAATGTGGCCATGGATGTGTTACTCATTTTAGGTTGAATAAATACTGTTACATTCGTTTTTAAGATATCCTTAACATTAGGCTATTTACTGTCTTACAAAAGTAATATTGAATTGTGTTTGGTTGACAACGCAACCAAACACAATTGAACCAAATATCAACATTTAAAGGAGATATCTACTGCTTGGACAGTTAGATCTGAGCCACTGGCTTAATCCTATTATTTTATTTCTTTAACTTTTATTTTAGGTTGAGATGGAGACATGAATCCAACAATCATTTGTTAACCTGTAGAAAATGTAAAAGGCTATTTACTGTATTGCAAAAGTGATACTGAATTGTGTTTGGTTGTCAACGCAACCAAATATCAACATTTGAAGGAGATGTTTCTTCTGCTTGGATAGCTCCATCTGTGAATCTGAGTCTGCCTTTAATTCCAGTTTGTCTACAAATTAATAATTGATATGTTGGATTCACGTCTTCATTTTAACCAAAAAATCTAAGTTAAAGAATATAACTAAATCAAATCAAATTGAACTTTAAATGCACTTTAAATACAGTTTGATTTGATTTCATCCTATTCTTTAACATACATTTTTGGTTGAGATGGAGATGTGAATCCAACATATTTATTATTAACTTGTAGATTCCATTTGAAATCAACCAAAGCTTGAAACCATAGGCCTATATGTATTTTCTATTTTTAGTTTAATCCTGGGCTGAATTTAAACAATAGCTGTTGATGATTTCCCAAATATGTGATTGATAAAGTATGGTTACATTTCATTGCTCTGTTCAAATAAAAGTGTTAGACTTTACAGTGAAATGCTTACTTACGAGCCCTTTCCCAACAATGCAGTTAAAAAGTAGAAACTTAACAAATAGATCAAATAATATAGTAACACAATAAAATAACAATAACGAGGCTATATACAGGCTATATACAAGGACTATCGGTACCAAGTCAGTGTACTGGGGTACGAGGTAGTTGGGGTGATTGATAAAGTTAAAATGTACATGTAGGTTTGGTTAGGTGATTGAAGTACTATGTACTGTAGGTAGGGGTGAAAAGCAGAAAGTCTGGGTAGACGTTTAATTAACTGTTCAGAAGTCTTATGGCTTTGGGGTAGAAGCTGTTCAGGAGCCTGTTGGTCCCAGACTTGGCGCTCCAGTGCCACTTGCAGTTCGGTAGCAGAGAGAACAGACTGTGACTTGGGTGATGGAGTATTTTACCATTTTTAGGGCCTTCCTCTGACACTGCCTGGTATAGAGGTCCTGGATGGCAGGGAGCTCGGCACCACTGTTGAGCCTAACCTTTGGAATTACTTCGATAGCAACAGTGAATCTATTAAGTCGAGATTTCTCAGCAATCATTCTCACGATAGCACATTGGTTATGGTCAGTGACAAATATCAAAGCTAAGCTGGGTTAAAACTCTGGATGGGCTAAAACTTGGTTAAAACTCTGGATAGCTGTAGATTGATCAACTCTCCAGTAGGAGGTGCTGCCCAGCCTATTGTTTTTTTCTTACAGTGGATGTTACGTTGAAGATCTGACGTTGTTTCAAATGTAAAAATTAAACCTATTTCATATAAAGTTTGTCTTTGTTGAAAATTCGTTACCATGATGACATGATCCTGTGGTAGAAATTGTACCCTTAAATCAACAGTTTTTACTTTTTTCAACTCCAAAGTATTTCCCACGTAGATTCCACGTCACAATATGTTGACAAATTATGTTGAAACAACATTGATTTAACCAGTTTGTGCCCAGTGGGTAGCCTTACTGTTTGTGAAATAAAATAACAATAAAATACAAGTAATACATGTATAGCCTTAGTTTCACTGGTGATTAAAGGACTGAGAAAATGCTATATTTTCTCAGAAGTGAGATGTATTTGGGAAAAAGTCCAAAATTAAAATTCAGAATTCAAAGTGTAAAAAACAAAATTGGACAACCAATCTGCAACATATTACAAAAGCTGCAGACCCTGAAGCTGTGTCCCTGTCAATGTCCAATAATCATTTCAGTTTAATACTTACTCTGTTGAGTTGATCTGTGAAGCAAAAACACAAGCAGAAAGCTCAACACGGTCCTCAAAGTGAAGTGTGGATATTTCTGCTCCATTGCCCTGTTCAATTGTCCGATCAATCCTAATGAAATAAGGTAGGAATAGCAGGGCCTTTGTACCCGCTTGTACTTGTCCGCATAAAGCAGCGACTGTATGCCCTGAGGAGAGAGAACTGACTTTAGTCACCTTTGTGACTATAGGGCTTATCTGCTGTTTTATGATCAGAGGAGAGGAGCATGTCTATGGTGGACTTTTCCCCTCATAAAGATACACATCTGTTGTGGAGAAATCATACAATAATAAGAGCCACACGACTCATGTTTCATTTGCAAAGTACATGAAAGCGGATCTGTTTTTGAGGTTGAGACGAGATCTATTTGTCTGATCATTATATGAGAAATTGCACACAATCTGTTTTGAGGGGAGTATGGGAGAAAGTCATGGACCTTTTTGTCCTATAAGCTGTAGTGTCCAGAGAATTGAACAAAACTGTTGTAAAGTATAGTGAATAACCTGTACGAAGAAATAATGTGAGGCATGATGACCTCCCTAAAGTTGGAGGATTAAGCCCATGTAAAATTTATTTGATCCATTTGTCATATTTTCTATTATGGAACTACTAGGCCACCGGTTCTAAAGGACAATGAAAACAGGAATGTGTGGAGGCCATTGGTCAGTAGCTACAAACTTAATGACTGTGTACTGTAAATGTACAACAACCATCCACATGACGACAACAAATATCAGGAGTTACAAGAAACCTTTCGCGTATACTGTGAGAAAAAGGGAAAGCATTAAGAATGATTGAATAATATAGTTTTACACAGAGAACAGGAAACCATTGGCCAGTGGGAGTCTGTCTCGTATAATAAGAAGGTAACAGAAGCAGGACACAGAAAAGCCTATATTACTGACTATCCAAGTATCAATGTTACCTACAGCAGACACTACTTTAATGATTTAGGGAGAATTAGATCCATATAACATCCATACATGGATTTAAGACTTGGGCCAAACACTGTAAGCCAGAATTCAAAACTACATCAGGTTAATAAGGGAATGATTAGTAAAAGATTGTTTTATCGTTTCGATGAGAGATGACGGAGGACCTTTGAATGGGTGGAACACAGGGGTGTAGACTATAGGCTATAACCTAGTTTCAGATATCATTTAACTCCTGTACAGTCTCACTGCTCATCTGTGACTGTACACCACAAGACTATTCAACTCCACCCACCAAGTGCCACTGTCATACTATGATGATTTTCATTATTTGTTTTTATGTAGTTCAAAGAGAGATTTAGATCGGTGAGGCCAGGTGTGTGGACTGACTCTCTGACCAGATAGTGGCAAAAATATACCCAGTATGCCTATACCAGTGGCGGTCGGTGCCATTTAAGATGAGGGAGGACAATTCATTTCTTTTCATGAGCATGGCATTATTTCTATTACAGCATATTGGATGACTGTCATTCATATTCCATTCACCCATTTCAATGTAACATCGATTGGTTTAGGCTACTACATGATACTAAAATTTTCCCTATACCAATCATGAGGTTGCTACAACAACCTAGCCTATGAATGAACGTTTACAACGTAGGTGCACACAGGTCGAGAGAAAAATTTGATGTGATGGACAGTGACATGTGTACAGACAGTGACACATTCAATACCGCCTTGCACACTCTTGCCTGCATCTAGCTGATCTAGGGTGCAATCATTAGTCCAACAGTTTCAAACAAGAATTTCTATTGGACAAATTCAGGTATGTTTATCCCAGTTTCTTTCCATTTGCTTCTGTTTAAGAAACATTTTTCAATAGAATCGGCGGAATGAATACACCCATGATCACACGTAAACACAGTTCACGTTCATAGCAGCCACGTTGTATTCCTTCTCGCATCTACGCGCTCTACTCCTCTCACCTTTTCCCTTCGCTTGTGGACTTCAATGCACAACACATCAGCTGTATGTGACCAGGCGATAAAACCTTTCCAAACCATATCATAAACGCTACACACAGCCTACATTGTTGTCACCATATTAGGTAAAAAGCTAACCTTGACTTGGAAGAGTTCCAGTGTTGTGTTGGAAAGGCATAGTCAGCTAGCTAACATAGCATCCCTCTGTTTGAGCCGGGTGTTTGAGTAGACTAAACTAGCTAGCTGCATTTGCTAGCTAAGTAAGTGAAAGTTAAAGTAAACAAATTATCTCTCTCTTGCTTCTCCTTCATTTTCAAAGAAATTAATTTGTTCAAAACTGTTCAACTATTGTCTTTCTCTCTCTTTGAGTCAACTACTCAACACATTATATACACTGCAGTGCTAGCTAACTGAAGCTTATGCTTTCAGTACTAGATTCATTCTCTGATCCCTTGATTGGGAGGACAACATGTCAGCTCATGCTGCAAGAGCTCTGATAGGTTGGAGGACGTCCTCCGGAAGTTGTCATAATTACTGTGTAAGTCTATGGAAGGGGGTGAGAACCATGAGCCTCCTAGGTTTTGTATTGAAGTCAATGTACCCAGAGGAGGATGGTAGCTAGCTGTCCTCTGGCTAGACCATGGTGCTACCCTACAGAGTGCTGTTGAGGCTACTGTAGACCTTCATTGCAAAACAGTGTGTTTTAATCAATTATTTGGTGACATTAATATATTTTGTATAGTTTTATCTAAAAAGGATAACTTTTTAAATGTTTCACTATAAAAAAAATAAAAAAATAAATACTGAGGAGGATGGTCCTCCCCTTCCTCCTCTGAAGAGCCTCCACTGGCCTATACATAAAGTACTCAAATCTGAAGCCTCAGAGTACAGGTGAGACCTCTGTGTGTTATGCATGTCTGTATGTGTGTTGCTTCAAGTACACGTTTAATTCCTAATTCCTTTAGCAGTTCCGCGCATAATGTTCATATTCATTATATGCATGGTGCAGATTAGTTGACCTAGGTATCTTGGCCTGAGGAAGACTGTTGTCACCAAACACTTGGATGTAAACCATATACAACCAGTCAAATACTATTTATTCACAACAACAACAAAAAGAACCTGCAGCTCACTGATGGATGACTGGAAAAAGCACCACTGAGACACTTTAAACCAACACTTAAAGCAGGGAACTTCATGTGCTATTTAAACATTGTTATCAGATCAGCGTACAAAGAACAGGGGGAAGTCCATGACAGTCTTTATATATAGTATCACGTATCAGTCCATGACAGTCTTTATATGGTATCAGGTATCAGTCCATGACAGTATTTATCTAGTATCAGGTATCAGTCCATGACAGTATTTATATGGTATCAGGTATCAGTCCATGACATTCTTTATATATAGTATCACGTATCAGTCCATCACAGTCTTTATATGGTATCAGGTATCAGTCCATGACATTCTTTATATATAGTATCACGTATCAGTCCATCACAGTCTTTATATGGTATCAGGTATCAGTCCATGACAGTCTTTATATAGTATCAGGTATCAGTCCATGACAGTCTTTATATGGTATCAGGTATCATTTTACACACCCAGTCTACAGACTTGGGTAACACTTTATAATAACATTAATAAACTAGCCATTACTTTAGCCATTACTAAAAAAGTATTATAAATGTTATACATTCTCATGACTTGCAATGTTTATAAATGTTTATATTTATAAATCGTTTGTTAATGCTTAATCATGAAAGTTACTGTATTATTGTAAAGTGGTACAGACACTGGTGATACAGGTGGGAAACTATATATCTAAATCACTATAACAACTTATAAATAACTACAGATTAGCCTAATTAATACTCACAAAACATGTTTATTACATCCTGAGAACTCTAAATAGCATACATTTCCATGACTGATTAAACATCACATCTAATAGAATAGTATCTTAAAATATCTAAACAATCCATCGTTTACTACTGTAACATTAGGTAGTCAGTCTTCCATGGTAGTCCAGTTGGAGAGACGTCAGTCGTTTCCCGCATTTCCAGCCCTGTTGTCCTCCGGTTACAACTCAGTTATAACTCAGTCCGCCCAGTGGTAGACATTGGGACACATGTACTGCTTCAACAGCAGGTTGATCTCTGTATCTGCTCCTAACCCACTGTGGACAAGCATGCAGTGATACATTATGATATATTACATGATTATGAGTTTTGACATGTACAGCAGGAAACACCAACACATCATGGTAATGAATATGTTTGTTTACTCTGTTCATGTTCTGTTAAAGAGAGAGAGAGAGAGAGAGAGAGAGAGAGAGAGAGAGAGAGAGAGAGAGAGAGAGAGAGAGCGAGAGAGAGAGAGAGAGAGAGAATATGGTGACCCTGGTGATGATCCAAAAAGATTATCTGTATAAAACAGACATCCACATTCAAGTCAACGTTCCGTGATAGTAATTATATTTCTATGGGTGACATTACCTTTTCTTAACACTCTGCATGCGTCGGAGGAAGGCGCAGATTGAGCTGTGCTTTGCTTTGGATCTCAGGTACTCAGCGTATCGGTTGGAGAACTCAATGTCCCCCAACTGTCTCGTCTGTGGGCCCGATCTCCTAGATTGACTGGAATAGCAGGCAGATCAATGAAGTTGTACAAACATGAGTACTAGTGCTTATCTTGCCGATATGGTCTCATTGGAATATTTAACCAATGCAGTTATATGTCACACATGAAGCCACCATAGTGAGAGAGATTGGTTTATATGAGGAGCATGGACGGGGCCTCTGTGTAACCTACCTCAGTCTGGCCTCAACTAGTGCATCCACATAGTTCCTGGCGAACAGGGATGGGGTGATTAAACGACTGATCTCACTCCTAATGATCCCCTCCAGATCCCCCTGGTTACTGTGGTGATGATATGATATGAAGTTGTAGAATAACACACACCAGATAGCAACACCGGCTACACATATACACATGTATGAAATTACTATGAACTAGTGGACAAGAAAATCTTACCTCTCCGACAGAGGAAGGGATGCTGTATGGTGGAAGAGAATGGTTGTGAGCAGTAGCATCTGTCCCAAGCTGATGAGAAAGGCCATGATTTTACCCTGGAAAAATACAATCCTTCAATAGTTTGGAACTAACAAGAAAAGTGTTCTACAGTAGGTCTAGGCTTCAAGTCACATAATCTGACCTCCCAAAAAAATGCATTTGAAATAATCATACAGTATATGATACATTTTCCCA